GTAATGGCACGGCGCGTGGGGAGTCCGAGTTGGGCCTTGTGGGCCTTATCTTCATGCTTGGTGGAGTGCTCGCGACTTGACTGCCTCTGCTCCGCGATGATACAACATCGCGGCGATGGATACGGCACTGAATGCGTGCGTGCTTTGCAGTACATCATGGATATAACCCCCCACACACACACCCTCTTTTCTCGCATTCACCCCACAGCCCCACAGCCCCATTCCTATACCGTTCCACCGCCCCGCCCCCACACCTCATCACCCTCCCGTACTCCGTACCCGCTGCTGGACCAGTACCGGCCCCGCATCACACGCCAGTACGGTATAGGCCACACTGACACCCGTCTCGTTGACCCCGTCCTGAGAGACATGAGGAAAGGGGGGGACGGAGCGGAGCAAAAGCACATGTGGGGGAATGAAGAGGGTGGCACCGGTGTAAGGGGGGGAGGAGGTGCGGGGCGGGGAAGGAGGCCGACGGGGGGACAGGCGGGGTGGGGGGTCGGTCGGTTTTCTTCCGCTGTGATTCCACGTGTCGTTCTGTATGTCATCCGGGATATAGGAATTTGAGTTGGAGGATTTGGGTTATAGAATATTTTGCGTTTGAATTTCTTGCGTTTTGTTTTTTGTGCGGTTAGCTTTCCAATTTGTGGTATATTATGCTGTGTAGGTTTTGCGCCCTCCACTCCTCTCGCCCTTTCTCGCCATCACCCTCACCCCTTCCGCCCCACCCCTCCGCCCACGAGACACACACACCCATACACGTCCTCTCACCTCCAGCGCCCGCTGTACGGGTGCGGCCCCACGGTACTTGGGCAGTAGGGAGGGGTGCACGTTGAGGGTGCCGTACTTGGGGATGTCAAGGAAGCGCTGCGGCAGCATGTTGCCGTACGCTGCCGTAATCGCCAGGTCGGGCTGCAGCTCCTCCAGCCGCCGCAGGAAATCTTCCTAGGACCGTTTGGCGGTGTCGGTTGCGATGGTGTCGGTTGCGATGGTGTTGGTTGCGATGGTGTTGGTCATGGTGGTCATGGTTGTGGTGGTTATGGTGGTGCTCCAAGAACGTGTCCATGGTCCACTTAACAAGCCCCAGGGAAGCGGCGGAGCTGCGGTGGGATTTGACCCGCCGTTTCCCCTCCCCTTCCTCCCCTTCCTTTCAATTTGTACACCAGCACGCAGGCATCGTGCCAGCCAGTGGACTCTTTTCGCACCCTCCCCCGGCCCTTTCGGCCCCCTCTTTGCCCCGCACAGACCCAGCCCCCGCGCCCCGTCCTCTCTCCTCCCGCCCTCTTTCTTATTCCTTACCTAGAACCAGCAGCGGCCCTTTCCCATGGGGCCCTCCCCCTTCCCATTTCCCCCCTCCCGCCGCTGGCCTCTCCCCCCCTGGCGTACCTCCCTAGCCCTGGCGGGACAAAGTATCTGATCCGGCCCCAGCAGGCCGCTGTCGCGGGCCAGGGCCTCCACTGGGGAGGGGATGGCCACTGCGCGGTTGCCGCGACCCTTGGGCTTGCCGGGCTGGGAGACCACCAGGGCGACCTACGGGCGCGGCAAGCGGACATGTTTTCTCTCGCTCTTCACGTTCTTTAAGGTGTTTTTTTTGCTCTTTCTGTGATTTTTTGTGCTCTTTGTGTTGTGCTCGGTACTGTTGGCCGTGTCAGCACAGGTAGGGGTCAGCATGTGAAGTGGGGCAGGCAGGGCTGCGGGCCCGTTGGGACTCGGAGATGGGGGGGAGGGGAGTAAGCTGGAGGGGTGAAGGATAAAAATGTGGGTGCTTTCGTGCGGGTGGTTCTGGAGCGCTGCACCTGCGCAACGTGGTGGATCTTACCTCAAAGGCGGCATCTGGCTTCTGGGCGGCGGAGAGCAGGTCCTGGAGGACTCCCGCAGCGACCTGTACGGGCAGACATTATCCTGACCAGCTGGCTGCTTGGGTATGTTTCTTCGGCAGCTTTCCGCTTGGGTCTGGTTTATTAATATACAAAAGTGCAGCAGTACTTGACGGTTTCCATTGCGGATCGACTTGCGCACCTCGGGCGTTCCCAGGAATACGACACGATGTTTCCTTCCCGCGACTTGAGTATTTTGAGGAGATGTGCATTGCATCACAATTTGCGTCGCTCTGTGTGGGTTCACTGGCCGTATGGAATGCGTGAACGGCCGTGCCGAGCAACTTCGCAACGCCTTTTCCATCGCCCTGAATCACCAAATGAAATAGAACAGAGAATCAATAACAATATTTGCCTAACTTGATGGTTTTCCAAGTATGAATCAGGGGTACGCAATGCATTTGTATTGTAAGGCAGTGCAGGAAAAGATGTGATGCAAGCGCTTTACAGACATCTCCATGTTGGAAGTGCAAAACGATTCCAGGCTTATCGCCAATCTTGAACCAGGGGCTTTATCCTGAGGCCCCGAACGCTACCCGGCTACAGCTCTCGACAGCTGCACAGACACCCATCCCCAATGCGAAATTCCGGTTTCTTTGCACACTACTTCATGGCAATAACTCACGAAGGCCAGCCTTAAGCATCCATCTCCAGAGAACGTTTCCAGGCCACCTCGGGTTGTGTCGGCGCACATCGGCCCTTACCGACACACAGCGAAGCATTACAACCTTTCCTAAAGGGCCCAGAGCCCACGTACAGCTCACACAACTGCATAAATGGCGATCACGAACAAGAAAACCATTGCATATCACACATCGCATTGCTGCTGAGGAGGCAGGTGGAGCAGAGGGAGCAAGATCACGTCCGATTCGCGTCCCGGCGCCAAAGCGTCTAGCGTCTGTAGGAACACACACACACCATGCCTAGCTTATGCTAGACGGACAAAACGGAGCTCCTCCCTCTCCATACGTACACACGGATACGCAGAAGAGGACTGGCCGGTGCTACCCTAGCACTGTCCTACCACAGCAGCACAATGCAGATCCATTTCCGCTCTGTGGTCATGCAGAGGTTGGGTGCAAAGCCCAAACCGCTCAGGACATCCCCCCCCTTACGTCCGTGCCCTTATTAGAGGCCCGGGCTGTTTCCCGCTAGGAGGCATCCCTCCCCTATCCTTACCCCGCCTCACTCCCCCCTTGCTCACTTGGCCCCCCAAACCGCCTTCCTGACCCCTAGATTCCAGATAAGAGCATAACAATCCGCTCCCAAAGCCTATCTGATTTGTGCCATGTGGCTGGCAGTATTCCCACCCTGCAGCCAACAGCTCAACGCAACCACGGCGGGTCAGGTTCAGGACTCAGGAGGATGGAGGATGGAGTCCACACAAACAATATAGAGACAATAAGGGGGATCACGGAGGCGCTGCACTGCGCCGCACATGCCGCTTCTTCACCTTTCCCTAGTGCTTTCCCTGCTGCTGCTGGTGCTGGTGCTGATGCTGCTGGTGCTTCGCGTGCTGCTGCTGCTGCTGCCGCTGCTTCTCCTGCTTCTCCTGCTGCTCCGCCTGCTGTCGTAGCGCCTCCTCGCATTCATCGGCTGAGTTGTAGATCACGCCCTTGCTAGCTATGTTGACACCATTCTTTCCGCTGCCCTTTCCGTTTCCCTTTCCCTTTCCGTCGCTTCTACCGCCACTGCGAGTGGCCCGCCCAATTCCATCATCAGAAACGCCGGCGCCCTTGAACCCACCATCGTCCTCATCTGCCTCGACGAACAGGCGAACATTGCGTGCGTCTCTCTCAGAGCCACCGCCACGGTCCGACAGGAAGAGGTCCCCGGGCAGCGGTGCGACAGCTGCAGCTCGTAACAGCTCGGAAAGCGCATCACCGGAACCGTCACCGCTTCCGCCATAGCTGCTGCCGTCGCCATTGCCGGTGTCCAGAAGCTCCGCCTTGTCAGGAAGGAGCTTGTCTCCCTCTCGCAGCGTGTGAATCCGCTTTTGCTTCTGATCCTGTCCCTGCGCCTCCTGCCGCTCCTCCTGCTGCCATCCCTTCCCGTCTTTAGCTGGCTTACACAGCACCTCCTGAAGCGAGGTGGTGTTGATGGGTAGTAGCGTTGGTGGAGGCGGAAGCACGACAGAAGGGACTTGTTCAATACAACGAAAAGCGAGGCAAGGCAAAGGCAAGGCGACACCGGTGCTGAAGGGCGAGCATGAAGGGCACGGAGGCTCATGAGCTGAGAGGACATATTACGTCTGAAATTGCGATTCCGATTATGTATTTCGTGGCCGCGGTCGGTATATGCAAAACGGCAAGAACGAAGAAGCAAATGCAGGGGCCCGGCTCGGGCTGGGCAGCCGGGCTACCGCTCCGTGCCGACAGTAACGTGAACCCAGCCTCCAGTGGCCGCTTTTCCCTCACACGTACTTACATACGCACGTACATACACGCACACCTAGTTCAACATACGGACTGTCCTGCGTTTCAGCCTGGGGCCTACAAGACATGTAGGGCTTTTAGCGCACAAGTCCCCCGGCTGTACAATCCTTATTGCTCATGCTGCTGTGGGTGGACTGTGTATGAGTGCAATGTGCAATTCAAGATATTTCCTAAGTTCCACAAACGAGCCATTTGACTTCCACAGATGACCCGCAGGTCGGTCCTGGCCCCACTTCCCACCTGCAGCTGGGTCACCCCAACCGTGTATACACTGGTGCTGGTGATGCCGGTGCCGAAACCCCCACCCTGGGACTGCACACGGGTGCGGTTGGTGCCCAGAGCTGAGCCGAAGGACCGCACGATGGCCCTGTGTGCGTGTGTGTTGGGGGGTTGGGGTTGGAGGATGCGTGTGGGCTATAGGGAGTGGTTTGTTAGGGGAACAGAAATGTGTGAGTGAGGAGGTCAGTGAGAGAGGTGAGAAGGTGAACAGCTCGATGCGGGTTTCGGTTTCGATTGCGGGTAAAGGCAGCACAGCGCGGACTTCTCCATGGGGGGTGCCACTTCAGGTCGTAGCTAGCGGCTCCCCTTGGCCACATGTAGGGTCCTGCCGACCTTTCTCCCATACCGGCAGCCTCACCCCTCACCCCACCCCTCACCCCTCACCCCTCACCCCTCACCCCACCCCTCACCCCACCCCTCACCCCACCCCTCACCTGGTCCATCCGAATATGTTAGTGGCTCCAAAGGTGGTCACTTGACCCACAGTGTTGATGGAGTCTTGAGACGGGAAGTTAGGGAGCTCCTCGTGTTGCACCCGTACAAAGCCACCCGCGCCGCCGCTGCGCCTGTGGAGCGTGGGGCAGGCGTGAAGGAGAGTGTGTGGATGCGTGGGTGTGCACGTACGCAAGCACGTACGTATGCATGTATGTACGTACGTATGTGCTCTTTGCGCGTGGGTGCTGTTAATAGGCAAGCAGCAGTGCCCCTCAGAGAGGGCATTACGGAGCAGCGCGGAGAGGATGATAACGATCGGATGACTGAATCAGCACGGTGTATGTCGGCAGTGGGGGAGGATGACTGACAGGTCTAGGACACGCAAGACACATACAGACCAGTCGGGGCATGCTGGGCGGGTTCAGGCAGGGATGCAAACGTGGGACTGATTCGCTCACGTGGGGGGCTTGCCACCGCTGCCGCTACCACCGCCGCCGTCAGAGGCGATGCTGCCGCCGCCGCCGTCGTCCTTGCCCTTTCCACCGCTGTCGCCCTTGCCGGTCTTATCACCGCCGTTATCTCCCTTGCCGGTCTTATCACCGCCATTATCTCCCTTGCCGGTCTTATCACCGCCGTTATCTCCCTTGCCGGTCTTATCACCGCCGTTATCTCCCTTGCCGGTCTTATCACCGCCGTTATCTCCCTTGCCGGTCTTATCACCGCCGTTATCTCCCTTGCCGGTCTTATCACCGCCGTTATCTCCCTTGCCGGTCTTATCACCGCCGTTATCTCCCTTGCCCTTGTCATTGCCGTTATCTCCCTTGCCCTTATCCTTGCCGTCGCCCTTGCCCTTATCCTTGCCGTCATTCCCCTTATCCCGATCATCATCATCAGCATCGTCGACGGGCTTCCCGTCCGAATGTTTCCGATCCTTCTGCATCTGTTTTGCCTTATCCTGCTGCTCCTGCTTCTTGCGTTCCTTGTCTTCTTTGAGCGCATCTCTGGCGCCCTTCAGCGCCTGGTGCTGCATGGCCGCCAGCCGGGGGAGCTCCTTCTTCAGGAGCTCCTTCTGCTGCTGCAGCTGCTGCTGCTGCTGCGCCTCGGACTCGTTGGCGGATTTGGAGACGGTGGCCAGCGAGAATGAGAAGATGCGAAAGTCGGAGCTTTGACCTGCACGCATCCCCAAGTTGATCTCCGTGAGATTTGTGGGTTTCAAAGTCCCGAAATCCCAAATGGAGGGAAGGAAATGCACAAAAAGAAAGAAAGAAAGGAATGAAATAAAAAGAAGAAAGGACGAAATAGGCACGCAAAGTACGCGCCCTGCCGCGACCTGCCTGTTGCCTCCCCCGATGCGGCGTTTTGTGAGCTGGCTCCGGTGCGCAGCCTACCCCGCGTGAACGTAGTGATGGGCCCCGCGACAGAGACGGTCAAAACGGGTACCGCCTGCTGGCCTGAAGGGGGTGGAGGGGATGGCTAGGCAGCGCGTGTAAGTGGGGGCAGTCGGGGCCGCTGGCCATGTGCCAACATAGGGGGCGATGTGTCCCCCACACGGTAGAGCTTCAGGAGTTGTGTGAAGCTGGTAGCTAACCCCCGATCGAACACATGCACACGTCGTCCTCCACCGAGCAGTCAGCCCCCGAGAAGGTCGCACCCGGCCCCTCCTCGAACCCCGCGGCTGCGGCCCCCCGCAAGCCCTCCCGCACACAACATAACCCTTCCCCCGCACACACACACACACACTCACTCCTCACCCGCCAGCGTGAGGCCCCCAGATAGCGCCCGGGCACCCGCATCCCCGCTCCCTGGAGTACTGACATTACCCGCCACCAGGGTATTCCCAGCTGACCCCAGGTTGATGATGGGTCCGCCCGCAGCTGCTCCCCAGGGGTTGGATAATGGCCGTAGAGTACGGGAAGTACGGGAGATGGGGGCCCGCATAGATACAATAGGTGTGTGCAGAGGTGTCGCAGAAAGGGACAGGCGGAGGGACAGAACAAGGTGAGGGATGGGAACCATGCTAGGGCAGGGCAAGGCCGGGGATGTTAAGGATGAGAAACAGGGGAGCACTGTAGCTAGGTGTTGGAGCGGAACAAAAGGCAGGGGTTTACAAAACAAATAAGGGGATTGGGGCAGCACATTTTGTTTAGGTACCTGTGTGGGACGAGGCGCAAGCGGGACACTGGGAGAGTGGTTCACTCAATCAACACAGTGAGAGGGAAGACGAGGTGCGCGTACAGAAGACTTTGCCCAAGAAGACGCTTCAGTACGCGCAGTGCATGCTCGGCAGGTCTTGGTATATGCCAGCCAGCCAGCCAGCCAGCCAGCCAGCCAGTCAGCCAGCCTGTCTGCCTCTCCTCATCCGTCCTTCGGTCACAGCGACCTGGCATCAGCCTGTCCGAACATCCCCGAAATATCCTCTTTCCCACATCACGATAGCATGCTCCGTCCCCGCCTTCCCTCCCCTCCATAACGGGCATTTGACTTCCTTACTTCCGACGTCTTCCGCCACGGATGCGGAGAAACCCTCGGACAAGCCCGCAGCGAAATCCGGGTCCACGGCCGCCGTCCCAGCCGTGTAGAAGCCGTCTGTGCGGTCGGGTCCTAGCTGCAGCTGAGTGGTGGTAGTGCGGCGCTGAACCTCGGAGGACCCAACCGCGGCGGAAGTTGCGTTGGCTACCGATCCCACCCGAGGCGCCTCTGTCGTTGGGAGGCGCCCATGTGCGTTAGGGAAAGAACTTATTTAGGGTTTTGGGAAGATAGGCAAAAAAGACGCACACGTGTGAGTGTGTGTGTATGTGTGTGTGTGTGTGTGTGTGTGTGTGCGTGTGTGTGTATGTGTGCGTGTAGGTTACAAGTATCTGACCGGGCCTGACAATGGCCAGGGGCTGCTGCACAGGCCCAACGGAAAGACCTCTTAAGCTCTCTTCCGCGGACGGGAGAGGGGCGCGAGGGGCCTCAGTCCCCTCCTAAGAGGCCGAAAGCTGCAGTTCCGCTAGCTCCTGAAACACGAAACGAGACTCCTCTCCAGTCCCGGCCTGAGCCGGCTCTCGGAGTTGGGGTTCCCTAAGAGAGCGAGAGAGCGAGAGAGAGACTGTGTGCGTGTATGTGTGCACTTGACACCTCGAGTTGCGTTGCTTCAAAATGTAAATACGCCCATAGTAAAGGGCACGAGATCTTGGTTGGCTCATGAAGGTAATCCCAAAGGGACAAACGGAAAGAAGGAACTGCACCACAGGTTAAGACAAAATCAATCTGCTTATGTATGTATGTGTGTATGTACGTGTGTGCACGGGGCGTATACATGGAATCTATCCTGCTTTCGACCCAGGATAAAAGGTGTGGTTGGGGGAGGTGCGTTGAGGATGTGGCAGCCAGGGCTGGTATTGGGGAGGGGAAGGCTAGGCAAGATCAGGGGTACTGGGTGCTCAGGATTGGGGCTGCGAGTTTCATGTGCATGTGTGTTCATGGGCTACTGAAGAGGGGAAAGGGGGGCCAATCTATATCTGGGGCCCTGTAGATGTGTGGTGTTGGCGGTGCTGGTGATGAAACACCAGGCAGGCGGCGAGCTGGGAATGAGGACTTGGGAATGGGGGATGAACAAGCTGAGGGTGTGGGGGATGAAACAAGTTGACGGGCTCACTTGGGGATGAGAACTGAGTGGAAGGTACAGGTCCAGCAGGAAGCCCTAGACATCCGCGACCCAGTCATCGTAGACCAACCCCACTTGCCGTCAGCTAGACCATTGAGTAGCGCCAACAGCCGAAACATTTGAGCGCCGAAGAAGCTGTCGTCGATGCTCACTCGCTTAGATTCAAACGCCTCCTTTTCTTTGCGGCCATAACTGCCCCTGCCGTCGTCGCCCCTGCCGCCATCGCCCCTGCCGCCGTCGCCCCTGCCGCCGTCGCCCCTGCCGCCGTCGCCCCTGCCGCCGTCGCCCCCGCCGTCGTCGCCCCTGCCGCCGTCGCCCCTGCCGCCGTCGCCCCTGCCGCCATCGCCCCTGCCGCCATCGCCCCTGCCGCCGTCGCCCCTGCCGTCGTCGCCCCTGCCGCCGTCGCCCCCGCCGTCGTCGCCCCTGCCGCCGTCGCCCCTGCCGTCGTCGCCCCTGCCGCCGTCGCCCCTGCCGCCATCGCCCTTGCCGCCATCACGGCTGTCGTGGCTAGAAGGCCCAAAGGCCCGGTATATGAAGGCCCCAGGCTCGCTGTACGGATCATACTCATCGTCATACGGGTCGTACTCGCCGCCTTGGTCACCACTAACCTGGATGGCGCGCGGATCAAATGTTTTTTGTTATCAACATGTTTTGTAAGTTTGACATGTAAGCCAGGGCCGCCATCCTTTGGACGCGGCGAGGGGAGAGGGAGGCGGTGGTGTGTCATGCAATTGCTGCCTGGGGACGAAATCGGTGTGGCTGTCTAAATATCCGGTTGGCTCGTGAGATCTAATACACGCAGCCAAGATCTCTGGGTGAGTGCCTCAGGGTTTGACGGCTTGTCCCAGCCGCCCTGCGATGGAGGACAAGGGCACGATTTTCATCCCGTCCCCGATCCCACGCAGTCCACCGCAGTGGCTGCGGCAGCTGCTGCTCCCAAGGCCCCCATCGGAACCCTCCCTGTGTAGCCATGTCCAGCGGTAGTCCGAACTTGCCTGCCTTGCGGCAAGCTGCTGCTCCCCTTCGGTGGGGCCAGCAGCCTCTTCAGCCATGGGCGCCGCCGCATGCGCAGCTGCAGGCGCCCTAGAGGGCCCCTGCAGCAACATACGCCGGGAGGCCCCCGCTGCAGGCGGGTACCTGTGGACCGCTGACGGTGATGACGCCAGTGATGATGATGAGGATGATGACGATGACGATGATGATGATGATGATGATGGCGACGACGATGGCGATGACGATGGCGATGCGTGCGGGATTTGCAGCGTGGACAGCGGCCCTGGCGCAGGCTGTGGCGCATTGTGAGTCTCCGTCATCACTGCGGTGTTCGCCACTAGATCCAGATCCAAATCGTGACCCACCAGAAGCCAGATCCAGATCCATCGACAGCAGGTCCGCAGCCACATGGAATCATCTACGGAGCTGGCTGCGGCCAAAGTTGCCCTGGAGGTGGTGGTTGGCTTGGGTTTCAGGAGCCGCGGGAGGGTGGTGGTGGGCCGCAGGGTCGCACCCTCCGGCTCCCTGGGTGCACCTAACGGGCTCCATCTGGAGACCGAACGCACAAAGGGCTTCAGGTGGTGGTGGGGATTTTGGTTCCAGCTGGGTTCAAAGTCCGGAACTGGAATCCCCTCGCGATGGGTCCCCGACGCAGGGTCCGAGCGCGTGGTGCCCGTCGTGGCTGCGTAGTGTTGCCGGTCCTGGTCTCCATGCCGGGTATCCTTAGTGCGGTGGTGGTGGTGATCGTGGTGGTGGTGCTGGTGCTGGTGCTGCTTCTGCAGAAAGGCTGGGTGGTGGACCGATGTACGGCTCTGAGCCCCAGCTGGAACCTGCTGAAGGCTGACCATCAATGCCGCCGGGTTTTGTTCTTCTACTGCCGCTGTTGCTGCTGAGATTTTCATGGTGTGGACAGGTGAGCAGCAGCACAGCACCAGCGCCAGCACCAGCAGCAGTGCCAGCAGCCGAGGCTGTGAGCGTCTATGTAGGGGCTGAAGCAATAGCGGCGGCTGCAGTTCGCCGCTCTGTTGCCGTACCATTAGACCCCGGACTGTCTGACCACACTTGCCTTACTGCTTCTCCTATTCCTCACCGTCGTCGCCTTCTTTCCCTTTCCCCTAGCTCGCAGAATTCAGGAGTTGCAAGGTGCGGCAATAAACACGTCCGGCGAATGGGCCACTACCTGCTGACACGGAAGCGCAGTGACTGGGCTATATTCTAACCAGCGCTAATCTTAAGTAATAGAGAGTTCGTGTGTGAGCGCGGACAGGCGTTCATCTATCATTGACGTAGCATGAAATACACGACGTTATGCCGGCCCAAAAGCCGCGGCGCTGATCTGAACCCCCTGATCTTCATGATCAGATTGCCACCGCTGTTGGGAGTGGCGTGTTCGCGACCTTCAGAGGAGGTACTGCATGAAACGTCACAAGCGGTTGCCGCCCGCCGGGACTGGCAAGGGGAGAAATCAGCACACGCAAGTGCTGGTTGCGCGAGCGAGAGCGGATGAGGGACGGGCTGATGCGAAGGCTCCGCAGCGGGCACCGGGCTATGCTCGTGAGGTCTCGTGCAGTCGCAACAAGGGGCTAGAGGAATCCACAACCAGTGAAGCCGCGCTCAAGAAGGCCTAACTATTTTGTATTGGAGGATTTGGATAAAGATTGCATGCCCCTGATATTTCCGTAGGAGGTCGGGAGGACGATTACATTGTTTCGGCCGGTCATCACCGCATTCAGGTGGCTGTTAACCGACCAACCGACGCACGTCTAACGGTTTTTGACAGCCCTCCGTTGAGTCCCACAAATCCTTCAATTCTCCAAGCAAGCTACCAGCTGTCAACCGCAGCGGTCGGACGACGCAACTATCACCAGCCCCGCTGCTGTCTCGCCCAGCACCTGTCGATATATAATTCAGACCGCAAGTAGATGGCACATCAGATCGTACCGCGTTGTTCCTTATCGAGAGGACGCTGAGAGGCCTGGCTGGTGCGCACTAATACGTTGTCCACAATCCCGCTCGCAACTTATCACCATCAACCACCCGCCGACTGCGTGCCTCCCGTTAGGCTCCTCTAAAAACATCAGGCAGGTTTACTTGCGGGCACCTGTCTGGGATTAGTCTGGCACCGCACCACCGTGCCTTTCATGACTTAGGGCTGGGGTTGCTGCTGCTGCTGCTGCTGCTGCTGACCTACCCAGCCATGCCGAGGCAGCCCCGTCAGATGCCGCTGCTGCTGCCGCGGCCATGCGCTCATGCCGCCACCGCAAGCACGACAACCCCACCCGCTCTCTCCAGGGTGCTTGTGACGCTGTCCACTCTGTCTCCTTACCTTATCCAACCAACGCCACCCTGCCGTGTTGCTGAGCAGCACGACGTTTACGAAACGAAACACCTGATTTACAAACAGCCCCTGCGCTGTCCCTGGCCACCCTTCCACAGGTACCTCTAACTCGTGCATTTCCGCCAACGCAGCAGCCAGCAATCGGCAACCCGTCATCCGGCGAACAAGCAGCAGCAGCAGCAGCAGCAGCAGCAGCAGCTGGTCTCTGCTGTTGTTCTCACCAGCTACTTAAGACCGCCCAGCCATTGTTGAAACGTCAACCCAGGCGTCTTGCTCGTGGTCTTGTTCCCACGGTTTAGCTGCCTGAACGGATTACCGTCGCTGTGCTCCAATAGTTTAAAAGCCCTCAGCGTGCTGCAACTCCACAGCCGAAACCTTCGCATCCGGGCGGTGCTGGTCGTATCCTGAAATGCGGAGTATTCCCAGGAGCAGCCGCCGCCTAGGAGCCTCGATGCTGGCGGCAACGGTGTTCGTCCTGCTGAGTGCCACCCTCGGGTGCGAGTTGCGTGGGGTCGTTGTGGAGGTGTATGGGTGGGAGTGAGGGCGAGAACAAAGCGCTATGAGAGATGAAAAGCGCTGATCGTGATGCATTAGTTCACAACTGGAGAATAAGACAAGCCATGAAGGAAACCAATAATAGCATGGTTTGGGGAAGGATATAGACTGATAGTAAGTGGTCTGCCTGGCCCTCCTAGGAGGTGGACATAGCTGTCCCGGTGTTTGTGCGGTGCCAATCCCGTCAAGCTCCGCATGTAACTAAATCCCTAGTCAAACCCTGCCTAGGATTCCGTCCTCCATCCACACCTCCGCCTGTGTGATCACCCGGCCCTTACTCTCCCTTGGGGCACAACAGGACCGCACAGCCGCAGCTGGCCGGCATGCCATCTGCTTCCGATGTGGCTCAGCAGGTCTCAGGGAACGGAGTTTCTCTCATCGCCCAGGCACTGGCTAAGCGTCGGACCGGCGGCAGCCCCGCGCCCGCGCCCGCGCCCCCACCTGCAGCATCGACGGCCGACAGCGAAGCCCCGGCAGACACCGGCTCAGAGACGGGGGATATTACCGCGGCCAATGGTGCCAGCGCCACGGCTACCAATACCACCGCCGCCGGAACTGTCGCCGCCAACACCACGGCTGCCAATACTACCGCCGCCAGCGCCAATGGTGCCAACGCCGCCAGCCGAGGCGGCGTGAACGCGACTGCAAATGATGTCACCACGACCGGCGCCACCGCGGTGAATGCCACCACAGCCAATGGCGCTGCCACCGACGGCGCCGCCGCTGACGGCGCTGCTACCGACGGCGCCGGTACTGAAAGCGCCGCCACCGACGGCGCCGCCACTGACGGCGCCGCCGCCAACAGCACCGCCACCAACGGCGCTGCCGCCGACGGTGGGGCCACACACAGTGCCGCCGCTAAGACTGCCGACGGTGCGGGAGCCGTGGAGACCCCGGCAGGTAGGCGTGGCTACGTATAAAGTGTCTGCAGCGCAGGCCTTGACTCGCGGACTTCGTGGACTTCATGGTCATGCAGGCCTATCACACCCCAAACTCTCATGCACGTGCGCCGTCCCCTGTCGCGATGCGCCATCTTTTGAGTGCCTTTTCTGCTGTCCCGTCGCGTTCATAAATTTCCACACTCCAATTCGCTCAAAGAATATCGTGGTGGATATGTGTCCGGTAGGAGCAAGGTGCCATAAGCGTCAGCTTGGGTCCCAGCCACACCGCCGCGCTCCTTTCGCTGCTCAGCGTTTTGACTTGCGCGGGATAGATAAGTGAATGGATTAAGGGGATGTTCAGCGAGAGAGAGTCATGAGCTTCGGGGCCGATCCCGAACGAGTCTGACTGCCCTCTGCCGCTTTGCCTGACACTCGCACATTCTCTCTCCCCTGCTCCTATTGGCCATTCTTCTGGCTCGTCCTGGTGTAGTGCTCGGCCCTTTCACGTTGCCCGCCGTCTACTCGCGGCTCATGTTGTCTCGTGTCTTGTCACGCCGGGTTGGGTGGTTACCGCCGCTCCTGCCGTCGCCCGCAACTGCTCTCCATCTCTAGACTCTAGACCCTGGACTCTGGACTCTGGATCCTGAAATCTTAATCCTGGGCTCTGGATCCTAAACAAGTACTTTTCCCCACGGCGTGTGTGTTCTGTATGTACGTTCACACATGTGCAAGATGCGGAGGACACCGGCGAAATCAGCGCCGAGGGCAGCGGCGACGCAAGCACCACCGCCGCTGGCGACAGCTCCAAAAACGCCACCGAAACCCCTGCACTGGGCTCCGAAACCCTGCCTCCTTCTGCTACAGAGGCCCCGTCCGCCCCTGCGCCAGCCCCTGCGTCTGCGCCCATTTCCGAGCCGGCTTCTGAACCCGAAACTGAACCCGCATCCGAACCTGCAGGGTCTGATACCGTCCCGGCCGCCGCCGCCGCCGCCGTGCCAGGTGCGTCCAACGTCAGCAGCGCGGCCCCCAGCGCATCGTCACTCTTCCTCACGGGCGCTACACGCCAGGCCGCCGCCGCCGCCGCCAACACCTCCTCCGCCGCCGCCGGTAGCCGTACGGCACCGACGGAGGGGGAGGAGACTGCTCTGCCCTCCACGCTGATCACTCTGGCGGGCAAGAACGGCGGCGCCGCCACCGGCGCAATCGGGGCCGAGGGTGGCGCCGTCAACGGCGGCAACGCCACGGACGGTGGCAACATCACCGACGGCAGCGACGCCGGCGGCAGTGCAGGCGTATGCGCACTGCCGGCGGACGTGGGGCTGTGTCGCGCAAGCTTTGAGCGCTTTCACTACAACGCCAAAACTGGCACGTGCGAGAAGTTCATTTGGGGCGGTTGCGGTGGAAACGACAACAACTTCGAAACGGAGCAGCAGTGCAAGGACAAGTGCGCCCAGTCTCCTGCTGCGGCTGGAAACAACAAAGCCGTGTCACCCGCCGCTAACAGCACCAACGCAGCCAACATCACAAACCGGGTCAATGCCACCAACAGCGTTAACGGCACCAACAGCCTCAACACCACGATCGGTGGCAACAGTACCAACATCACCAGCAGGGGTACCAGCGACAAGGCGGCCAATGCATCTTCACGGTCCCCGTCACCCTCGAAGGGCTCTGCGGGTACAGCTAACAAGCCCTCGACGCTGTTCGCGACGGCGGCACTGGGAGCTGTGTTGCTGCTGTGCACCATGGCGTTGTAGTAGTCGGGTGATTCGCTGGTGATTCGCTGAATCGCTGCTCTTTGTTTTGTACTCTCTGAACACTGTATTGGAGGGCAAACCCCTACACTGAATTGAAGATATCCTCCACCCCGCCGGCGTGTGAAGGTGTGCGCCACAAGACGGCGTATTGCGTTAACAGGAGAAGCCTCGAGTGTGCGTCAAATGACGAGCAATAACGAGCTGGTGTTGTGCTGTGTGCTGGCGTTGTGCTGGTGGCAGCTGGCAAGGGCTGGTTCACGCAAGGGTCTTACCTCAACTGCAAGCAAGACGCAGTGTTGAAGCTGTGGCAGCAGGGTAGGCGCGGTAGAGTAAGGAAGAAATAGGGAACCCGACGTGCTAAGGGTAAGGGGTGTGAGAGACAGGGCTTGAACGGGTTGAAGGAGATGGGGGTAATAACTGCGGTCGAAGGCTGCCTGCGGCTCTGCGGAATGTACAGAATTACGATTCGAAGGGGGAGGGTCAAACGTGTGGTAGGAAAAGGGCACATGGGTGCTGTACAATACTCCACCCCGCGCAACTTCGGAAAGGACTTTTCCCCTCGATGCAACACTCCACGGCCGCTGTATTAATTCAGTTATCTTTCTTGGGATGTAACGTCATCCTGCCTGATGTAACATTACGTAACATTACTACTTACTGTGAAATCGCCAACCCCCTTGCACACAAGCAAGGGCTTCGTCCCCCTGTGTTTCACATTGAGGGAACATCGTGTAGAAAATATGCAGCAGCGATATCGGTATCGGAAAGCGGTGGGCCGGTGTACCTGGTCACACATCACCCCCGTCTTCTACCGTATCGCAACCAACGGGCAAGTGACTCAGCAGCACGTCCGCAGCTATAGCTGGAACCGCATGCAGACACCTCCTGCGTGAGGTAGGGCTAGGTACCCTCGGGACCACGTTACTCGTGCGAACGCATGTATCGTCGGGGACACGACACGCGAAAGTGAGGTGAGATGGCACTCACCTTGAGATGGCTCACACCAGCCTCAGCGGACGACAAAGCTGTATGAGCTTTTGGTTTCGCTGGTTTAGACATTTCAGATTTGCAGCTGTTAGTTCCTCTGAGCTCATACAGCTTTGCTTCCCGAACTCTTTCCGAACTCCATATAAAGTACGGAAAGTAGGCCCTTCCCCGGACGTAAAATACGTCACATGCATTATTCTCATAATTATTACAGTATTGATGCCGTCATGTAACCAAAACCGTCGCGGCCATTACTGGGCCAGCTCGCTGGGTCTCAACCGGAGGGGCCACACCGCCACCCCCTGCCACCGCTGCAATCCATCACATGGGAACACTAAGCTACCCAGCCATCCAGCTACCCAGCTCCGATCCCTACGCTCGAGCCCCTGGCAGCTGCCAAGGACCATGGTAGCTGCAGACTCGAGCCCTGTGCGGAAAGCCCCTCAGCTATCATGTACACAGTCGACTTAATGCTCCCCAACTGGCTACCTCTCCATCCCCCACGCACGGCCCCCGATTGAGAGCTTCTCCCCTTGGGGTTCTTCCCCCTAGAGATGGAGCCTCCGCCTGAGTCGCTTGAGCACTTAGGAATCGCTTAGATGGTGACTGGCGCTCCCTCATCCCACTCTACCCCGAGCTCCGACAGCTTCTGCTGGGCCAGGGCGTAGTCTGCGAAGAACGCCTCCTGGTCAGCAGCGTACTTCTCAGCATATGGCCTGTGGGGAGACGTACAGGCAGGCAGGTAGGCAGGCAAGCGAGTAGTTAGGCAGGCAGGCAGGGGGGTAGGGGCAGCAGGGACAGGTAAAGTATGGGGCATGGAAATGGGGCCCGGGGCGGCAGGTACCTGATAAGCGTGTGAAGGGCGAAGAAAGGTAAAAACTCAGGACGCTAAACCGGATTCAACGGCGGTGAGCCAATTGATTGGCACAGGAGATTTGGACCCATCACAGCAGAGTCCTCCGCACTACAGTCCCGACCCGTTCCCGCCCTAATTCATGTACGCCTCCCAGCCTTCCCACCTGAACCCGTCATCCTCGAACAGGCAGGCATCCGTTGGCAGCACCAACAGGTCCGCATCCCGCTTGGCCTTGACCTGCAACCGAACAACGCGGTGGCCATAGCAGTGGCAGCATTAACTAAGCTTATATAGCAGCAGCAGCCGCAGCAGCCGCAGCAGCCGCAGCGGTAGCATGAGAACAGAGGATGATGTTGGTGGAATCGTCAGACCATGCGAGACACACCACAACAAAGGGGCGGCCATGTCCAACCCCCTCCTTACGACGAAGCCTTCCGAAGCTCTAACCACGGCTCGCCCCGGAACCATAAGGGACTGAATGCCTCGTCCCTCCTGAAGCCCCTAACTCCCCCCGTCGCTTACAACCCAGCTCTGTACAACACCCGCTCTCCCCAGCACCCGTCTTCGTTCTCTCCTTACCTCCCAACCCTTCCCTGCCGCCAACGAGGACTTTCCCCCCTTTTTCCCACACACGACGTACCTCTGTGAAGTAGCTGTTGTCGAACTCCAGCCAGTTGGCTGTCCAGCTGGTCCCCAGCTGGCCCACCGGCTTGGGTGTGACGGGCCGGTCGGGGGAACCTGATGGCGAGGCGGACGACGTGCCGGGACCCACATCGGTGTACTTGGTCTTATCAGCACCTGCGAAGAAGGTTTTATCGGAGTTTACAGGGACCGGTCACGAGCTTTTAATAAATAGCTCCCAACATGTAACAGGGTATGGTGTGAAACAGGGTGTAGAAATTTTTAAAAGAAGGCGGTGTCACATCGTTCGGGAAACGGTGAGATGATGATAAGTCGTCATAAGATGAAAGGGTGAAAGGTTATTGTAAATGTTATTCAAGCGACCCGTTTGCAGCGGTGATGCAAAAGAAATTGGCATAGCCGGAATAGACGTAAGGGCGTGATGGTTTAGGTTATGTTATGTCATGTCATGTCAAGCAAGGTCACGCAAGCTATACATAGTGAACAAGGGCAACACAGGAGAGAGGGGAGAGATGCGGGAGAGCCGCGGCTGCTGTCAACTGATGGGCCAAGGCCCTGGCTGGGGGCATGCGGCGTGGGGGCTGACGATGCAAGAAAAATTAGGGGTAAAAATGGTCTAGGGCCCAATACGGGCCGAGGAGGATACGGGGAGGTGGACGCGCCGCTGGCTCCACTGGTGGACACCGCCATAGCACCGTGCGCGTGCTGCGACAACGTGACAAGTTGACGTCGTGGGTTTTGCTGATGCATGGTGCTCATCGCCGCATTCCATACGCCTAACCTGGCGTGCCGCCGCGTCGTACAAACTCAGGCCCCATTCCCCCCGGCCTTCCCTTGAAGCAAGCCACAGGGCTCGCCCCCATACATACATACGCACAGACTTATGATTCGCATGGTGGGATTTCCTTTCCGTTTTGACCCACAATACGCATAACACAATACACACGGACGCGGCCTCACCGAAGCCGGAGCGCTCAGGTCGGGCCCTGCCCAGCGTGTGCCCCCCGCTCAGCACCACGATCTCCTGGTCGGTGAGCCCCATGCGGCCGAACACTCGTCGGAGATGCTCCGCCGGACTGGTGCTGCCATCCGCGAACGGGTGCGCGGCGCCTGCGTGTCGACCCCGGGCAGGACGGGAGGGCGGGACGGGCCACTCGAGTGCGTGGGCAAGGACATGTCATCCTGGTATGGGTAGGGACCTCGGTTCCCTCGAAGGGCCCAGGGGGGTTAGGGGGAGGAAATCAAGATGCATTACTAATCCGCTGCACAGTTTCCCCTAAAGCTGAGGGAAGGGTGGTGAGAGGCAGGTGGAAGGGTGGGAACGATAAATGGGGGTGGGTCAGGAAAGGATAAACACGGCCAGAGATTCAGGGCTAGTGGCCTGGAGCCACTCGTACTTCCCCCACGAACTTAAATCGTTGACCCGTGGGTCGGTTCTCGGCCACGGTCTTTCTAATGTCTCAATTCCCAATTCGACCTTTGATGATGGGGGGTTCCCGGCCTCCTAACAACCCCAAGGCCCCCAGGCCCACCAGGCAGGCGGCCATCCGGTACACACTGCTCGGGGCTGGTGGCGTCCTTGCGGCCATAGCGCATTGGAATCTTGGGACCTCCAGCTGCCTGGCAAGGGGCGAAGAGCAGGTACAGGGAGAGACAAGGAAAAGGACGTGATTGCCAGGAGGGAGGGTGAGGGACGACGGAAAGGGCAGGTACAAGGAGCGAAGAAAGAAAGAGGTGGAACCTGGAAGAGATCACGCACACATAACACGCACACGTAGGCCATTACGCAAGCGCAAATGTGCGCACACTCATTACCCTGCCCTTGCCCCCATCCGCTCACCTCCACAGCCACCGCAGAGGCCATTTGGAACTGCACCGCACCGCGGTGAACACGACCCGGCAAATGAGCCAAGGGACAAGCAAGGGGAAGGGCGGGAAGAGGGGAAGCGGGGAGGGAGGGACGTTGAGCCTTTGAAGAGGAGTTCGTCCTAAACGCCCTTTCACATGGGGATGGAAAAAACGTTCACACCGGGCTGGAGGAGAACCAACCTTTCTCATGGAGAAAAGGTAGGGCGCTGATAGATCAAACATACAGCACGATCTGGCTCTTAACAAGGAGTAGTTGGGAAACAAAGCCGGGTTCTGGAAAACAGCGGTTGGAGCCAAGGAAGGATTGAGCCCCGCCATTCGGGTAAGCACCCGGCGCAACAATTACGCCTGGAACCTGGTGAGTTTAACTGCCGGGATCTGATTGGGAGCTGATGTGAAGATATGGGAGTGCTTCGCTATGCTGAGTTGCATCTGAATGATTTTATGGGACATGGAGGACTACTGAAATTGTGGGTCGAGCTGCGTCATTCTGAGATTCCGCACTCCGGGTTATTCCGGATGCCCCCTTCGCCCAAGTCTCAGACCCTTCCCTGCCGTACCAGGTCAGCGTAGGACACTTCGGGGAACTTCTTCTTCATGGGTCCCAGGATGCCCAGTGCGATGGCTAGGCCTGGGAAAGATTGTCAACGGCAGAGCATCGGGGCCAAAAGGGTTGGAAAGACGAAAAGGTTCTCCAAGCTGCGGACGACATGTCATCAAATGATCTCCATACGATATTACTCTCTGTAAAGGAAGGTATCATTGTCTAAGCTGTGTTAAGCCATATGGAAATGCCAGGTTGAGCAAGTATAGCATCCCATTTTGCCATGTCGCGGTTGGTCGTCGTTAACCTCTTCCGCGAAGGAAAATTTTATGGAGGCACATGATCTAGGTGAACCCCAAGGCAAAAATCCATTTACTTCAGGTATGAGCGCAGTACGTTGCGGACGCTTCTGGGCCGACACTGACCAACATCCAGGCAGTCGATCAGGAGCCTAAACACACGCAAGAAATCGTAAGATGTAATGATACATTATCCGCGAGCTATCGTATGGTCAAATGCAGCCGAGAATTTCTCCTAAAATTTAACCTCCGACACTTCCACAATTGATCGGATGGATACAGTCGTCCCCGCGATGCAAACGCTGGCTTTCACCGCCGCCAGTCAATCAACCTGAGGCCAATTGCCGAATCAAATAGTCCAGCATTTGCTTGCGTCCCAGTTGCAAGCATCCAACCGAGATGCAACCCTCATGGCTTACCCTTATTCGCAGCATGATCGATCTCCGGTTTGAAGCGAATGGAACCAGTTGCACCCCCGCGAGCGGGCCATTCGGCGATGTTCTGCAGCATGGCGACATCCCGCAAAATGGAAGCTCGGTTTGCTTCGCGAGAGCACGCCCAAATAAGCCAAATTCATTCATACCTTGTCGTAGGTGCCGCTGTCATGCCAACCAAGGCGGACGATGATGGGGTTGCAGCCACGACTGTTGATGTAGCTGAACAGCTCCTGCCGGAGAGCTTTAAGTTGCTCGACGTTGACAGCCGCACGAACGCACACCGTAGGAGTCCTTCGACGGCATGAGCCGACGAAAGCCCGTTTAGTTGTGCCCTTCGGGAAGCAGGTCTGCATGGTGCCTATGCTTGCACGCACTTGTTTGCTGTCCGCGAGTGTAATATCTTGGAAATGATCAGCGACAAATGATTTGACAAATGCGTTGTTAAGTCAAGCTGAGTTACGCTGTGGTGCGGCAACACCGCACATGATAGGAGAATGAAGTTGGACGAGCAGATGCTGCAGTTGCCGATGACACTTCACAAGCATCCAATTACGATTGCGATTACATTTATGACATGGTCACGTGCTGCAGTTGCTAAGTACTCGTTCGCCTCTTAGGATTACTAGAGCACGTTCGGCTTCAGTCAGCGTCCTCAAAGCCTCACTGATCACCAAATCATGCAACCCAGCCCCATCACCACCATGAACACAAACACCGCAAGCATTAACCCGTTTTACTAAAGCAGCTGTTTAGGAAAATGTTGTCCGGTCAGTCTTTTGCGCAAACGCCTTCGCCAGTTCCTCATCCAAAAGGGACTATGAGGACGGGGTTCGCCGGGTATGGAACATAACGACACGCAGCTCGCAATCCGCAAACAGGTCGCAACGCAAACAGGTTCGCCGGCAGGTAAGTGGCATAAGAACACGCACGTGGTTCGCAGCCTCTATAGCATGATGCGGGATTGGGAACAAGCAAAGGGGTTCTGTCGACATCTCTTCAGGAGAGAGAGACCGCCCGGGTCGCATTCCCTCCTCCTCCTTTCAGTTGGGGGCTACCATCGCTGCCCGCACCCTCAGCACACCCCAGCAGCAGCACGTCCGGCAGGCAGCAACGGGTGATGCAGTGCGCGGCGGGGAAAGGTGCAGGGCAGGTTCCAGCCGGGGCCCCCCATCACAGCACAGTCAGTCAGGATTTTCCCTCACGCTGCCCCGCCCGACCGTCAGCCCATCCCAATTTCTGCTTCTGCTGCTTCTTCACTTGATGGTAGCCCCCACGATGGTGGCCACCTTGACTGGCCCCGCACTCGTGGTGAAGGGCGCCCCCTTATATATGGCCACACATTGCGCATCCGTCGTGAAGTCAGGCTGGACCTGCGACAAGGAACACAACACCAAAACAACGGACACAATGGGGTGGGAACGGCGGAGTAGCAGGAGGGATTGTTGAAAACGGGGCCGCAGGAACAGAGGACCCCGTTAGCAGGAAAGGACACAGCCCGTTGGGGCTCATTGGCAAGCGCGAGCTACGAGGTGCACAATGCCAGGAGACCTGTACAAAGCCCAAAACCGCCAACAGCTCCCCAGGTGCCTCTCACCGTCTCGAAGATCTTCTTCCGGGGGTTGAGCACCTCGTCGGGCTGCCGCCCCTCGGCCCCGTACCCAGGCCAGGTGACTCGCTCGCCCAAGGGGGCGCCCTCTGGGGGCTCCAACAGCTCCAACTACAGGGGCCCGCGGGGGGACGGAAAAAAACGCGCAGCGAGAGGGTTTAGAGGGTAATGAGGAGGATAACGTAGCAGCTCCATGGTAAGGAGAAAAAGGGATGCAGGACGGTGGACAGCCCCGGTGGGCAGCCCCGACGGGAGGGATGGCCACTACCCGCAGCCTTACATCTCGACATGGCGAGACCCCTCCACCGAAATGTCCACGAGAACCTTTCTTCAACAACACCCCCACGCCAACCTCCCTGGACCCCGCTCCACACAACAGACATCACTACAGACACTACAACCGCTGTAACTCTGTTGTCCCCTGCCCAACTCGACAGGGGCCCCCTCCACCCGCCGCACCTTGGCTCCGTCCTGGCTGGTGGCCGCTAGTACCATGGCCTGGCTCTGCACCCCTCGCATGGCCGCCGGCTTCAGGTTGCACAGCAACACCACCCGCCGGCCCGCCAGGTCCTCCGCGGAAGGAATGAAGCGAACCAGACCGCTCACAACCTGGCAATGGCGGTGGTGGCGGTGGTGGTGATGGATTAAGGAGAGCAGGACATGTCGTCTCAGAGGGATACGTCAGGGATAAGTCAGCTCAGCTCAGCTTAGCATCCCTTGATATCTCCACACCTCGAACGGCGAGGAAGGCAGGGACTAACAAGGACGGTGCTTCTCAACGCAACCTTTCAGTCTCTCTCCACCTGACAAGAACACCACACACACACATGACACAACACCCCCCAGGCTATCAGAGGAACGAGGCGTGGTGACGATTGATTAACAGGTCTAGCGGCCCAAGAAGTTATATGGGGTCAAGGTTATAGAAGGCACAGTGCCGTTACACCTGCGCCTGCTGGGAAGGGGGGGATCCCCCATCACCCGTGCACGCATGCACGTACACACAAGGAGGGTCCAAATCAAGCGAGTGTAACACCACCCACCCACCTGCCGCGGCTTCTCCTCGCCAACGTCCACCTCCTCTACATACAGCGAGTCCGCATCAGGGTGGCGCCAGGCCTTGAGGATGCGGCCCACACGCACATCCAGACGGCTGACGTCAATGGGACCGTCGTCCGCCGCACCGCCGCCACCTCCACCACCTGCCTTCTTGTCTCCTGCTGGTGCACCCGATGCGGCCTTCTTGTCTCCGGCGCCGCCCTTTGATGCTGCTGCTGCCGGCGCTGCTGCCGCCGATTTCTTGTCGGCACCGCCCAAGGCGGCGGCGGCCGCGGCCTTGCCTTTCCCTGCCGCCGCGGGCTTGGAGGTGGACGCAGCCGCAGCGGCAGCCGCCTCATCCGCAGCCTGGTTCCCGCCGAACCTAGCAACACGACAAACGAAACCCATTCGTCGTGATGCTCAGGAGCAGATCCCCTCTTTTAAGTACTCCGTAACCCCTTTTACTTTCTAATTCTTGGCTTCCCATTTGCGGCTTCGGTCCCCTTGAGCGGCGATGATGGCGGCCTAGTTGTGCAAGAACACACCCGAACTTGCCCATGCACACCGAAAACCGCGATGCTACGCTGATCCTCCGACCGCAACATGCAACGAAGCGAAGCACCATCACGGCCAGAGGCAACAAAACACAAATCAATCCCGTCAAGCTTTTAACTTGCCTGACGCGCCTCTCACTATGCCGCCCCATCCCCATCCCCAACAAACACCCAGGCAGGCTGCGATTCAAACGTATCCCTTCACTTCTCCTAACCCAACCACACCCTCACACATCCCCCATTCCGCACCGAAGGCCAGAGGGCCAGCCAGGTAGGGCCCACAGGCAGCCCCCTTGCCCTTTCCGCAGGGCCCCCAAGAGCTCATCTGAACTCTTTTGCTCCTCCCTGCTCTCTCCTGACCCCCTAACCTCCTTCCCGCCTGCCCGTTGCCCCTACCTGGCCCTCAGCGCCTCCACCTGCTCCTCCGTGATCTGGCTGATGAGGGGCCCCGGAGTGCCGATGGGGTGACCCGCGGGAACCAGCGTCTGGGGCCGGTAGCTGCCGGCCACCAGTTCGTCCGTCAGGGCGATGCTGGACTCCAGGGGAAGCGCCATCTGGCTCAGAATCTTAGACGACAGAGAGGGCATGTATGGGGCCATCACCGCCGCCAGCAGCCGCACCAGACCCATGCCTACGGTGACCAGGCGAAGGTGAATGTGCGACGTGTGATGGCCATGGTGATGGTCATGGTAATGGAGGATGTGTGCAGAAGTCAGTAGGTGCGCGCGCGCGCGTGTGTGTGTGTGTGTGTTTTGGCATGTGGCATGTGGTCCGTATCTGTGCGAAGTTCAAGGAGCGAGCAGGTAGGCGAAGGGGCAGGCAGGTGGGAGCTGAGTAAAGGGCACTGACTCAATAAATTAAAACCCTAAGACATTCGCTCAGCCCCATCTGCCCTTTTTTCTCCCGTTCTTTTCCTCCCTCCCTCCTTTCTCTCCCATTCTCTTCCTCCTTGTCCCTTTCCTGCCGTCCCTAGTCACCCACTTGTTGCCACCAACGTGGCGCACTTGTCCTTATCCTCCTTGACCGCCACCCACGGCTTGGTGTCCTGGGATGGAGGTGTTGTGTGGGTGGGCGGAAGAGGGGGTTGGGTTGGGTTGGGGGCATGCAGAGCAGTGGGGTGAGGTGGTGGGTCCCGCAGGGAAGAGAGGCCGAGACTGCCCACAAGGCGATTGGCACGGTGGGGCAGCTACACGACTCATCCACACCTTTATCACCACCAATGGTGAGGTCCACAGCCACTGTAAAGGTCCTGGACCAGGACTCAAAAGGACAGAACCTGACCGAGCCGAAGACCACTGCCGGCCCCCGTCTAACACGCTTACTACTTTATTTCCTCTTCCCCGGCCCCCTTCATTCCTGCCTAACCCTTCCCTTCATTCCTGCCTAACCCTTCCCTCCCTCCCTGGACTGGACTCCCCACCTGCAGGAACTTGTTTCCATCCGCCGATATGGACATGACCAGCCTCAGGCCCTCCTTCAGCTTAATGCGCTCCAGCGCGGATATGTACTCCTCAACCTGGGGGTGAGGGATGGAGAGCGTACGGGGGTGAGGGAGTGAGGTGTGTGTGTGGGGGGGGGATTGAGGTGCGGACGTGCAGGAGGAAACGCAAGGCCTGGATCCAGTCCAAACACTCCACATACAGTGTCTGAGGCTATCTACGCAGTAGCCATCCCCCCATCTCCACATCTATCCCCATCCCCTCACCTTGGGCCCCACAGTCTTGCCCAGCTCCTCCGCCTCCGCCAGCCCCGCCTCCGTAGCCCCCGGAATCACCCCCTCGAAGAACTTGGCCACGAACATCAGCGACCTGACGGACAGGGGCCGCACCGGGCGCGGAGGGAGGGCTCTGTGTGTACCTTGTCGCCTTGAACCCCCACCCACCCACCCACATTTACCCGCGTTCCCTCTTCTCCGGGGACCAAAAGCCGCCTGAACCACGCCCAGCCGCACACCTACCTGCCTTCCGCAACCCCCACCCCACCGACCCCAAACCAGGCCGTTGCCGCCTGCCTCCCATCGCACCTGTTGATGAAGTTGCCCAGGTTCGCCAGCAGCTCCGAGTTGTTCTTAGCGGCCAAATCGGACCATTTGAAGTCCGTGTCAGCCTGCTCGGGGCGGTTGGCCAGCAGGTAGTAGCGCCACACCTCCACCGGGATGCCCGTGTCCTTGGCCTGGTTGCCAAATACGCCTGAGATCCGGGGGCCGGGGGCCGGGGTGGGGTGCGTGTGTGTGGGGGGGGGCCAAACGCAGCATTGGGGGAACTGAGGCGGTGGCAACAAGGAACATACATACATGCAGACATGCATGCATACATGTACACACAAAAAAACCTATATGGACAAACTCTTTCTGCGACGTACTAGCTGCACTCCTACCCCCCCACCCCCTTCACCCTCGACCCCGCTCACCCGTCCCCCTGCTCTTGGAGAACTTGCCGCCCTCGTAGTTGAGGTATTCCGTCACTGAGATGCTCTTCATCATGGTCCAGGGCTGCTGGGTGCCCAGCTGGGTGGCGGGAAAGATGACGGTGTGGAAGGGCACGTTGTCCTTGCCCATGAACTGGACCAGCTCCACATCCTGCACGGCACGGCACGCGGGGGGGGGGGGGGAAAGACGAACCACTGGCGAATTGAGTAGATACCAAAAACGGCTAGTCCAGGAGAAGATAGGAAACATTACTGACGCAGCATGAGATGGGAGTAACGGCGGGAAGCTGAGACCCGAGGACAACGTGCGAGGAGGAAAGCGGCGGCAGCACGGAGGAAGGAAGTTGAAGGAGAAGGGGAAGGCAGTAAGAGCGATGGCGGAGTCAGGTCACAGTGAGAATACGTCTTCAACGGAATTAGGGGGCCCAGGCCAGAGCGCCGCGACACGGTGGGGCAGCTCTACCGGCCCCCGCTCCAGGCGCCACCTAGCTGGCGCCGGCCTGCCAACCCAAGCCAAGTAGAGGAGACCCCACAAACTGACAGCACCGCCATGTCTCTCACCGGAAGCCATCGCGTTTAGGTACCTCAGCCCCCCACCAAGCATACCCTCTAGCCCCCGCCCTTCGCCACCCCACGAACCCATCCCAGCCACAATCGGGTTGGCCAGCTGCCTAGCTTCCCCTACGTGCCCTACCTTGGGGCTCTTCCACCAGGCCTCCCAGTCGGGGGTGTACCCGGCAGTGATGGAGATGTAGCCGATGGGCGCATCGAACCACACGTAAAACACCTGGAGGGGGCAGGAGCGGGGGATTACATGCAATACCTAGCAGTACCTAGGATGCCAACAACGCTGCGATCAACTGCGGCGACCAAAGAACGAAGCATTCAGGTCGACCCATGATCTCCCAACAGCCTCCGCTGGGGCGATTGGGAACTAAGGATGCGAAGGAAGTGAAGGAAGTCAACTGCCGACTGCCGGGGAGGTGAGAAACCGTAAGGGCCCGGAGGGGAATGACATGCCAGAGAGCACCACCCAGAACCCACCACACTATACCTCCACCCTCCCCTCCCCAGCCCTTGACCTCTTGGGACACATTGAAGAGATCCGTGAAGAAGTAGGTACCAAGTCCCCGGACCTAGCTTGGGGGCCCCAGTCGTCCTCTCCCGCTTTCTTATCTGTCCGACCCTCAGCCCTCCTGCCTTCCGTGCCCTCTCTGCCCTGCTCGCCCCGCCCCGGCCTGCCCCTGTCCCATCCTCCTCGGGCCCCCCCCCGACCTTGTCCTCGTATCCCTCCAGCGGCACCGGGGTACCCCACTTGAGGTCGCGGGTGATGCAGCGCAGCTTGAGACCGTCCCGCATCCAGGCGTTTGTCAGCTGCACACAGTTGGCTGACCAGCCGCCCTGGGTGCTGGTCGTGGTGATGTACTCCTGGAAAGGCGTGGGAAAGGAGTGGGCGGGAGCAGTAAGGACCAGTGTGTGGTGGTGTGGACGAGAAAGGGCGGGAAGGGTAAGGACAAGAGAGGAACTCGGGGACAACAAACGTACCCCTCCCAGGGCCACGGTCAGGGTCACGGCCGTAAGGACATTTAGGTATTTATATCTTTTTGCCTCTACTTCTACTTTTGCTGTTTGCTGGTGTTGGTTTCTGGATGGAAGGTGGTTTTCCCTCTTTTCCCTCTTCCCCCGTTTGCTCCCCACCTGCAGCGCGGGGCTGAGTTGCGGCAGGTCGAGGAAGACGTGGCGGGTGGAGCGCAGCACGGGGGTGGTGCCAGTCAGCTTGCAGCGCGGGTTGATGAGCTCGGTGGGGTTCAGCAGGTTGCCGCAGCCGTCGCACTGGTCGCCGCGGGCGTCCTGAAGGAGGAGCGCAAAGACCCCCCAGGGAGAATCGTATGCAAGAAACTCAGAAATGCCCCCCCGGGGGAACGCCAGGAGAGGAGGGGAGGGGGCTGATAACGGGTCATGAGACAACCACACGCACACCAGTTCGGTTCCCTTAATGTCATATTGTTAACCAGCTCCTGCGTCGGGCCCCGGCCGGGCTGCCGTCCTCGGCCGGAAGACCGGGGCAAGACGTCAACAGGGTTTGACGGCACGAGCCATGCCAAATCCAGAAGCATCCCCCCAGCCCCGGCCCAACACTCGCGTTCAAGTGCGGTCCAGGTGCGAGGGTGCGACTTTTCCCCAACGTTTCCCAAATAAAGTCCAACTCGTCCCCCTTCGATACACAGCCTTTGCCAAGTCCCAAACGCCCGCCCGTTATCCTCATCCCTCCCCCCCCGAAAAGCCATCGCCTATACCGCACTCACGTCATAGCCGCACTTGGGGCAGGTGCCGTACACGAACCGATCCGCCAGGAACTTTCCAGCCGCCTCGCTGTACAGCTGCTGCATCTCCTGCTGAACCAGCTGACCGTTGGCGTGGAGGGACCTGGGGGCCGTTAGGTGGGGTAGGGCGCGACGGCGACAGGGCCGGCGGAGCCGAAAGAAAAGGGAGGTTGGATGGAGCACATGCACCACTGCCTCTGCGCGGAAGAACGGCGGACACGCATACACAGAACCCTACAGGACGTGCATCTATATTCGAAACTGGGCTGCCGTTCGCTGGACTGGACAGTCCTGGGCTGGTCCTCTATCTCTATCAGAGCCGCAAGAGCTGCCGGGACCCACTTGAAGATGTCCTGAGCAATGGCTGTCTGCGCGCGTGTAGGCGTGCGGCCGAACCGGTCGAAGGCGATGTCGAACCAGCGGTAAATCTCCGCGTGGATGGCGTGGTACTTGTCGCAGATTTGCTGACACGTGAGGCCCTCCTCAAGGGCCTGGGAATCAGGGAGCGGGGGACAGAGGGGGGGGTTGAGGGGCAGGATGACGGCGGACATGGGACACCGTTCTGCTCCGTGCCTCCCTCTAAAACCCCTCATATCCCTCGTTCGCTCCACTCCGCTACATGGCGCCCCCGGGTCGTACGACGCCGTCACAAAGACCCCCTCCGCAGGCCTTTGAAGCAACCTTCCGCCGGAGTCTGGACGCGCACGTCACCCTCCATGATGCAACCCCTCCCCGGGGAGAGCTTCCCAGCACGTCGCCCGCCCTCGTGCACCTTGGTCTCCGTCGCCGTGCCGTACTCGTCCGTACCGCACATGTAGATGCAGTTGTGGCCGCGCGCGCGGCAGTACCTCGCGTAGCAGTCCGCTGACAGCACACAGCCGATGATGTTACCCAGGTGAGGCACGTTGTTCACGTACGGTAATGCAGACGTAATGAGGACGTTGCGGCGGCCAGGGACAGGCAACCGAGGGCGCGAGGCGCGATACGCAGCTGCGTCCTCGTCAAACACCGCAAGCGTCGACGATGGAGTTTCGGCCGCCGGCGAAGGCAGTGTGGCGCCCATAGCGGCTGCGGCGGACTGTACGGCGTCCACGCCTGCAACCGCGGCGGAGAAAGCTGCTAGCGCCGGCGACAACTGGCTCCGGAGCGCCAGCGGCAGCAGGCCCGCGAACACGTAGACCTGAATGGGTTGAAGGGATGACCGGGTGAGGAATGGCAGGGAACGGCCACCAAGGGGTTGGCAAGGCAGAGTTGGCAAGGTTCACCAAGGCGACCGAAGGCGAGTCGCTGTTACGATGTATACACCCCTCACTAGTAGTCAGTGTTGGGGTGTGTGGGGTGGGAACTGGAGGCTGGCGCCCGCACCCCGGATCGCCTTATCCCACCCCGGCTAGCCCGGCCCCCATATTGATTAAAACGTCTCCTTCCTGCCTGGGATCCTGCATCAATCTAGGTCAGGGGTGTTGTGCCGGGGGCCTTTTGCCGCTGACCTGTGTGCTTGTGCTGCTGTGCAAACGTTAGGTTCCGGCCCTCCGCCGATGGTCAATTAGACTGAATGAAGCCGCTTTTCCTTTCAAAGGTGTCTTCTCCCGTACTCGTTCCCCGTCCCAATTAATTTCAATCTTTCTCCCGTCCTCGTCGTTGTCGTCCAGGCTGGCGGGACTCTCCGTCCCCGAACTGCAGCCGCATGTGAGGCAGGGGCCACGCTCTTCGAAGCGACCCGGATGATAGTCGCTGCAGTCCGATGCTGTCCATGCCCTGCACGGCCCGGCCCAATCGCGCGTACCCACCTCAGCGAGGGTGACTTTGCTTGAGTTGAGCTCGCCTGAGGCCACAGCAGCTTCTAGGTGTTGCAGCGCTGCTGCAAGGGGGTCGCCTCCCAGCATGGACACCGGCCGCAGGCATGTCTCAGCCCACTCCAGCCACTGAAGGACGCTCAGGGGTAGGGTGGAGGTGCCGCCAGCTGCATGGCAAATCCGAGCCGCACGCCGTGAAGGAAACCGCATGGGGGTAGTCGTGGGTTTGCTGAAGATACCCTAGAGGAAAAATTACGGCTGTCGAACATTCCCCTTCAGTTACTTCCGGTACTCTAACCTATGGAAATAATCGCTTTATTTGGCACAACGGTTTCCTTGCACTTGCATTGTGTCGGCGGTCTAGGCCCAAGCAGGCCCTGAAACGGCTGACCTGAGGCAAAGTGACTAGACGTGTAGACTTAATAAACAAACCAAAATCAGTTTCCCACGCCGGTAGCGCTTTTGAACACTTACTCAGGTACGCAGCCGCGGCGCTTGGCTCCGACAGCTGCACAGACGGCGTAACAAGCAAAATTGAATTGTTCTCAAATGGATTGCTGCCCTTACTGACCACATCCCGTATGCTTGCAGCGTCAGAGAAGGAAAGGTTTGCATTCGATAAATGCGCTGCAGCGTACACCTTCAGCGCCTGTGGGTCGCCCTTTCGGGCGTATAACGTAGCCATGGCGAAGAAAATTACTTTGCAAGAGCGAACTGTAGAAAGGGGTTTGCCTGATATTTACTCATGCTGGCGGGGGTTCCGTACCTCGCGGTTTGCGAGACGCACGTTGAAGGATTTTTTGGCCAATTTTCACGCTGATCCTGGATAACCTCTTTAAGATTGAGAGATAACTCCTTACCCCTGAGGATTAGGCACGCGTTCCAGCCGATCAGGTGAAATGGCCGCCAACCCTCAAGGTGTTGCCTCAGCTCTGAGCACTGCTCGCACGCTCGCTAATGTTGTAATATTTGGCGGAGCGACTGTATGGGCGGGCACCAACAGTCTTTTCAACGTGGAGGGTGGTCACCGGGCGGTAGTCTTCAACCGTCTGATGGGTATTAAGGACACCGTAAGTGTAACAGTCACGGGTGTCATCAAGCCATAATAGGAACTGTCCCGTGCTGTCTGGGTGCCGCCGACTTGTTCCGATGTCCCGAGGCGTCATCGATTTTTTTCTGCTGCTGCAAATGTAGGTATATCAAGAAGGGACGCATATCATGGTCCCATGGTTTGAGCGGCCAATTATCTATGATGTGCGCGCTCGGCCAAGCGTCATCCAGAGCCAGTCGGGAAGCAAGGACCTGCAGATGGTAGGACTTCCCATACCTTGTCTGGCGGGCGTTCACTCCTTTTGGAACTTGCTGCCATTCTATATCCAATGAAATACGGCTGCCATGCAGGTGAACGTCGGTCTCCGTGTCCTCACCCGACCCAACCCCGACAAGCTCCCGGAGATTTATCGCACGCTCGGCACGGACTACGCGGAGCGAGTTCTACCATCAATCATCCAGGTATGATGCCCATGGGATCTATACGGGATGTTTGCAGATACCCTGTCGTGCATCTTACGGCACGCATCATGTTATGCACGCTTATGGCTCCATCCATCCGCGTACCCGCTCCAAACACACAGGCGCCTTTACAACGATAGCCCTGATTAACAGTTACCCCTGATTAACAGTTACCGTGCTTGCACACTCTTGCCTGCACCCTGCCCGCCCCAATCCTTCCCCCTTCACAGGAGACGCTCAAGAGCGTCATTGCACAATACAATGCTAGCCAGCTGCTAACCCAGCGTGAGGTGGGTTTTTCCCTTCCCTAGACTTGGGCAGACTAGCCATGTGGGTCATGGCGCTAAACCATTCGCTTTTAGAGCGCGGGCGAGCACGCGTGGCTCCTGGGGAAAGAAGCTGCAGGTGTGTGCCCAAAAACCCAGATGGCTGTCCTGCAGCAACAATTTGGCAGCCAGCCAGGACCATACTGACGGTCGGTCGCCGGATATGGGATGCCCCAAGCCGCTGGTAGCGCAAACGCCCTGCAGCTATGGCAAATTGGTGCAGGGTGTGGGTCATGGTAACCGTGGTATGGTATGGGTCCTGGCAAAGTCAGTTCCATCTGCTCATGGGGACACGATGCACCTGGGCAGCATGGCCCGCGTCCAGGGAGATCAGCAAGCTCTTGTCTCGAATCTTCGAACTTGCCGCCAGCGCACCGTAGCCTTTCCTGGCCCCCTGCACCACAGCTGTTGAAGGCATCCATTCTCCTAGAAGTAATAGAAATGTACAAGATGTTAAATATGCTGATAATCAATCCAAAGCCACCCCAGCTCACACGTCAGGACCGCTTCCCCTAGGTGGTCTCTCGCGACATCCGCCGCATTCTGACGGAGCGTGCCCGCTACTTCAACATCATTTTGGAGGATGTGTCCATTACCAACCTGACCTTCTCTAAAGAGTACACGGCGGCGGTGGAGGCCAAGCAGGTGGCGCAGCAGGAGGCGGAGAGGGCCAAGTTTATTGTGAGTGGGGGTGCGGGCTGAGTGCATAGTGTTTTATGGCATTTGGGGTGGTTCGGGAGGCGGTGGGCCGAGGCGGAGGGCGGGTTGTGGTAGAGGACAGGGTATGCAAGTTAGTTAACCGATCAGCACATCTCTTTGCTTAGCTCGATTGGTGTCCTGCGGTGTGCTACGCCCGCGCAGTGTAGCATAGGCAGTCACATACACATACACACATAATCGCCGCTTTCCGTTTTGTGGCGGTCCTAAACAGCTTTTCTCTCCCACAACCTTGACTGTTATGCGCAGGTGGAGAAGGCGCTGCAGGAGAAGCAGAGCGCCATAGTGCGGGCGCAGGGTGAGGTAAGGCACCCTGGCTAGCGGCCATAACAGGAGCAGGAGTGGGGGAAAGAGACAGAGGGCCGGCGTTGGATTTCAGGATTCTTTGGGGCACGCGCCGGCGGGGAGAGGGCGATAACAGTGCAGAGGATTGCGGCTAAAATTCTGAGTTACGTTTTCCCGGAGGCCGGCCCGCTGCTTTAACGTGGGCTCCGGGGCCCTTCGTAGATTTCCAGCTTTTTTGTTGGTCTACATGGACATGAGGGGTGGTCCTGCTGACACGCCCGGGGATACGAAGATGTGGGAGCTGGAGCTCTTGTGGGGCAGTGCCTGATCCCGGGGTGTAGTTGAAGCGCGGATGTGAGCACGGAGACAAGGGGGCCGGAAGGCGACGGTGGCGGGTACGTGGGAGGGGGCTCCGGCTAGTTACGTGGACCTCAAATGAAGTGCCAGACATCGTCGTCGTTTCCCTGGCCGCGGAGTCCCTCCCAGTGCGGTTCCCCTCCCCCTTGCTACTTGACGTTTTGGATATTGACAATTGATATCTTTTTTGTATGACATGCTTTATCGCTATCCATATACTGCCGTAGGCCCAATCCGCCAAGCTCATTGGTGAGGCGGTCAAGCAGAACCCGGCCTTCCTCACGTTGCGTAAGATTGAGGTGCGTTTCCTAGCCCTTTATGGCTAGTAGCAGTCGCAATAACACCCGGTTGGGGTAGCTACAGCGCTCGGGCAGTTTTTCCGATCTCTTCTGGGTCTTCTGGGCATGTTCTTTCGCTTCTGTTCTGGGGGTATGGCAATGGAGAGGAGGGAGACATCTGGCCGCGGCGGCCGCTGAGGTAACCCTGCGGCGCCGGGATCAGTGAGGGCTGCGTGGAACGGGTTGTTACGGGGGACCCTTGGGACGTTCTCATGCTAATCCGGCTTCTCTGCTTGACTATTTTCACATGCGTCTTATCCCCGCCTCCTTACAATAGTGCCCTCGCGTGGCTACCTCCCCCTCATCCTCCGGCATGTGGTTCACCGCACCCACCCCCTTAGGCTGCTCGTGAGATTGCCAGCACGATATCCCAGTCGGCCAACAAGGTCTACCTGGGCGCAGACTCGCTGCTGCTCAGCGTGGTACGTGGGGAGGGGGGCAGTGGAGGGAAAGACGAAGTAGGGGAGGGAGGGAGGAAATGGGTGGGATTGGAAGTGCAGGAAATGGAGGGTAGCAGCGTGGTTGGCATGGTGTAGGGATTTCATTGATGCTGGTTGTTTAGGGAGCTGAGCTTGGGCGACGCGGCAGTGCTGGTGGCAGGCCAGCGGTAGGCCGAAACGAATGTGTGTAAAGCAGGACCGTGGTTAGTGGATTCGATGGCCGGCGATGTGGGGCGCATATGGCTGCGCCGTGACTTGTCTGCATGTTGCGCAGCACGGTTATTCGTGAAGCGGCCCATTCCGCGTTTTGGTCAGTTGTCAGTCAGTGCGTCTCGACCAGCGGTTATCTGGTTTCTTCGTGCCTGTCTGAGTTGCTTGTGGCACAGCACGACACGGAGTTGTTGGATGTGGATGATTTGCGTGATGATTTCCCCAGCTAAGGGCGTATTGGCGAGGGTGCTGCACACACATCATGGGCCGCATCATACACCTTCTCTGCTCCAATCTGTTCCGATGTGTTTGGTGGGAGCTCACCAGTAAGGCTATCTTAGTAGTATAGGGCTGGCAACTGCAGTTGCCTGCCCTACACGACGAGCTCAGCCAGCATTCCCTTCAGCACTTGGTGTAGTCCCACCGCCATAATACCTCCGCCGCCTCCCATGCAACATCGCCACTGGCTCTCCGCTCCGCACCTCCGCCGCCTTTTCCTGCACTTTCGCACCTGGGACTATCGCATCTGGGCTCCGAAACCAGGTTGGGCTCCAGGTCCCAGTGAAGCCGGGCACTGCCGCTGGCCAGGTAGAATAAAGACCCTGAGGGGGCCGCTCCTCGTCCAGGTGGGCGTGTTGTGAGCCGCCGGTTTGTATGTGTGTGTGGAAGCGGGGAGGGGCCTTGCAGCTCTGCGTCGCGCGAGGATGGTGTGGTCCGTGTTGGATTTCAGCTTCGGGCCATGTACGATACGTCGTATGTGTGTTGCGGTGGAGATTGCCTGCGGCCAGTCGGCATTTATGTTCGCAGGCCGTTGATTTTGAGGGATGCTGGCGCTGATAAGGGAACTGGAGGGCTGTGCGTGCACTTGTGTGTCTATGTGTGTATGTGTTCGTGTGTGGCCCGGTGGTGTTGACCCGAGTCTGTTTGGGGACTAGGGGATGTCTCGACCCTTTCCCTACACACATACAACCTTACGGAACCTGCACATGTACGGTTGCTGGGCGGGGCCCGGCATTGCCCTAACATGCGCCAGATTGTTATCACGTTTTGAGGGATTCCATCTGGTTTGGAGATCGGCAACAGATGGCCGCTGGCAGCGCAGCAGTGCGGTGGTTCGGGGGGAGGCGTTAGCAGGGAAAGATGATGGGCGGCAGCGTCACATCCGATCGGGCAGCGGAGAGCTGCACACGGCAATCTATGGGGATGGCCTTTACGGCCTAATAAAGCTGGGACGGGGCACGGATGGTCGTCACCGTCTGTCCTGGAGCTTCTGGATGGAAACAGGATCGGCATCGGAAGCAGGAACCCCACGGATTTGAGAGTCCGTCGCATGTTGGGCTGGGTTTGCCAGCAGCACTACGTGTACCAACACTTCGTCTCAGGACGGCCAAGTTCAGTCACCGTCCTGGGTCCGCCCATCCGTCCGTGTGTGTGTATGTGTGTCCCCCAGATCGTGTGTAGTCCACATCACTCGGGCTTTCTGGCTGCCGAGGCGCCCTTGTAACAGCCCCTTGTATGCGGCCCTTTCGTATGTCGCGCAGAACCAGGCAGGCAAGGAAACCCCGACGAGCGCATCGGAGCTGCCGCCCCTGGAGCCAACCAAGTCGTCCAAATCGTCATCTTGGTGGTGGCCCTGGTCTAGCAGCAGCAAGAGCGCGTGAGGGGGAGGGAAGCTGGTCCGGCACGGAGCCAGCGATGGCATCGGCGACAACGCTTCTGTTTTCACTCCTGGCGTGAGGCTGCAGCGCCCGTGCAACGGGCGTGTGGCGGCGGCGGCGCTGTCTATCGGACAGGAAACTGGGGTAAATATAGGTCGTTGGTAGTTATCAGGTAGAGTGGTTGAAGCGGAAATGGCCGGGTTTACGCCGTGAGGCGGGGCGCTGCAGCAGATGCGAGAGCCTGGACGGGTATGGCCGTACTTTAGGGGAAGACCGCTTAGCAGGGGTGGGCGGCGGTAAGAGGATGAGCGCGTACTGCGGCCATGCGCTGGGATCGCTGTAGGGAGGTGAGGGGAACAGGGCTGCCGTCGGCTACGTCGGACTAGGGAGTGGAGTGGTTTGGTGCATTCAGATCCATCTGGACGTTGTTAAAGGGCTCCTGGTGGAAGACTCTCTATCGTTGGATGTGACACTTGGTTGAGGTGGGGGGAGCGCCATGCAAAGCCGCGCCGCATGTTTATTGGCATAAATGCAGAAGTTAGGTGGTCCAGAGGCGCTCCAGTCAGCGCAGCGGTCTAGCTGAAGCGGGGGCTACCGGAAACAGGATTGCACGCCATGCAGTTGCGCGTGGTTACGTTGTTCTGTTTTTGGATTATGGCTGGACGCATGAGTCTCGTGGGGCCTCCGGAGTCCGTTCCCTGACTCCCCTCAACATTTTGCTCGATCGAGCATGTTAAGGTCTCGGGTGGTTGTTAGCGATCGCTGCGGGGGAGCCTATTGAACAGGAATCAATTGGTTCATACATTGGTTCATACCCCCAAGCGGGGCTCCTCGCCGGAAGGAAAAGTAAGGGAGTGCCTTGTAATGAGCCCCATGGCGCCTGTGCCCTGAAATGGTAGCGGCAGCTACCTCGCGAATGCGTTCTTAGTGACGGGCGGAAACGAGTTGAGGTTTATAAAAAAGACGCGTTTGGCTGCTGCTAGTGGATTGACCGCAGCCACACCACCGTGACATACCGTCATTCACTCCTTCATGAAAAAGGGACTCACAATGAACGGGATCGTCCTGAGGCTTTCCACGTAACGGTCTCATGAAACAAGAGTCAGCTGTCAAGTGGGCCGCCCGTTTTATAGCACAGCCCGCCCTCGGCTCGCTTGGAAAGGAATCAACGGCTTAAAAAGAAAGAAGGGCTTTTCATAGAGCCACGATGCAAGAGGGAGCGCTTTAAGGTAGGTCAGCGGACACGGCCGCCTCAAAGCGGGTCAGCGAACAGCAACGTCCCTTCCTGACTCCGCTTTGTCCAATCCGCAGTAGAAGGGTTCCTCAGACAACACGATAGCGCCCGGCTCGTCATCCTTCCGTCGGTGGGACCGACGACACCGGCTTCATACTCATGCGCCCCCGCCTGCTCTTCATCCACATCAGGGCGCGAGGGCCGCCTGCAGCCGCCTCCGCCGCGGTAAGTCCCGGCGCCTGCCCATGCATGTGCTGTGCTTGCCCATCATCCGCGCCTATGCCGGGGACGTGCGCCAACGACGTGAGCCTGCTCAGCCCCGCTTGCCGCACCCCAGCTCTTCTCTCACTGCCACTGCCATTCGCCTCCGTACCTAGGGCTGCTAATGGGGCTGGGCCACTCCGAGCGTCGGAGAGAGGAGCTGGGGCCGCGGCGGGTCCCGTCGGGCTGGGCACCGCCGACTGGGAGGAGGGGAGTGCGGGTGGGGGGGGAAAGGCGGGGAAGGGCGGCTCGCTGCGGGTCGACAGCTGTTCCAGCCCGCCAAATCCGCCCATCATGGCCGCGTCCTTCTCCGCAAGACGGGTCTTGAGCGCCGCGATCTCCCGGGCACACCTGGACGAGGGCGGGGAGGGCGGGAGCGTGTGTGGAACACGTGCGACAACGGGTGAGGACTGAGGGGTACATACACATACACATACACATACACATACACATACCCCCTCGCGGCTCAGGTCGTTAATACACGCATACACATACACACACATACAGACACACATCCCAGTCGTGTCCGTGCACCCCCCGGGTGCCGACCGCCCGGGTGGAGCCCGCATGTCCCTCACTCGCACTTCCTCACTTTCGAGTCACTTCTGCCAGCTCGCTCTGTGCCGCCTCAGCCGCCCCCTCCGCGTACTCAGCTCTCAGCTGTGATGCGGTCCTCTCCTCCGTGAGCTGGGCCAATTCCAATTGCAGTTTCCGGACCTCCGCCGCAGCGCTCTACGTAAGGGCGAATGTGGAAAGGAGCAACACGGAGCCGGACGCGAAACAGACCGACGTGAAACAGTGCAGGTGGGAAGGTGCGTCGGGCGGGTGGTGCTGCGTCAGAGACCATGCAGCCCGTGCGGCGAAGGTGCAGAGGCGCAGGCAGATATTTAATCATCACACGAGAATGTGATACACCTTTGGAGGGTAACGCAGCTCAAGGTGTAACTCACACACACGTATATGGAGCGAACCCAACAGAGGACCACTTCTGGGTTTTCCCCACCAACAGGTTGCGCATCTCCCTGCTAACCTCCTCTTCGCTCTCGGACAGCTCCCGGATGCGCTCCCGTGCCGCCACCAACTCGCTTTCTAGACTCTGTATTCGTTCCTGCAGCTGCTGCAGCCGCTCGTCCGTAGCTTCGGCCTCCTCTGACGTTGCTGGTCCCGTCTTCTTTGCCTGATCCTCTTCCGTCCCTCGTCGCGCCTCGCTTTCCGAGCCGGGCGTAACGCCGCCGTCGTCCTCCTTCTCCTGCTTCCCTAACGGCTGCTGCATCTCCACGCCCAATTCTTCCAACAATTCATCCCCTTGTGCTCGATCCCCCGCGTCCTCCTGTCGCTTGCCCGTAACAGCGCCGCCACCCTTTTCACCACGGCTCTCCAGCCGCTGCCCGGCGGAGGTGCCCGGCCGTTCTTGACGGGGCCCCTCTCCCGCCTCCGCAGCCTCCATGTCCACTGCCGGGAATTCCGTCACCGTGTGTTGCCGTAGGGTCTCCAGCTCCGCCTCCATCCGCTGTATCTGCTGATCCTTCTCCTGCGCTGCTGCCTGCTGCACAGCTAGCTCATCCTGGAGCTGTAGCAACCGCTGCTCCGAAGCCTCCAGCTGGGCTCGCAGATCCGCTGGAGTTCGCAAGTCAATCATTTCGCCGGAAACAGCGGCAGCTCCAGCTTCGATGTCAGCTGTAGCTGCAGGAGGATGAGGATTCGAGGCGCCGATATTCTGTGCTGTAACTGGAGCCCGCGGCTTGACCTTCTGAACGGCCTGTGCGAGCAAAGCCTGCAGCGACACCCAGGGAGGGGCGGACAGAGGCCCGTTTAGGGTGCGGGATAGAATGGATTAAAAGGATTCGGATTAAGCATAGTCGGAGGGGATTAATGGGATTTAGCATGGAGGCAAAGGCTGACAGAAGATGATGTGTTGCCATCTGGGCCGAATGCTGAGCCGAGGATTTAAGGATTTGAGTTCCACGCACGATTAAGAGCGTTTGGCACGTCGATGGTTATAAATGGTCCCTTTGTAACTGCAGGCGTATATAAAATATAAAGGAAATTAGCAGTAGAAATAATGCGAATAGATATCCTTCAGTGACCACCGAGAATGGTACACGAACAGTTTATTACCGCGCTCGGCCTAGAAAATTCGCTGCTAATATTCAATTTTTGGTTAAATGTTGTAATGGCAAGTGATTCATCCCAGTATGTAGATGGAAGTGGTACATATTAGTAATGATGCTCACATGCTTACAGCTTACAGCGTCAATAAGCCTGAAGTGCGGCATGAAGTTCTTTGACAATACCTGGACACCGCTATCCTCATGGCAATGCAGAGCGCCGAGGCATTGAGGCAAATGGCGTGCCACAGAAAATAATGGCAACGATAGGAAGGGAAACTCATGGGGAAAATGGTAATCCCAGGGATGAATGACATATGCATTCATGGCAACGAAACGACAATGAACTGTCTTTGCTACACCGGATGCAACAGGACTCAGTTTTAGTCGTAAAAATGATCGGAATTTGAAACATGAGCAGCACGTCCTTCATGTAAGATATTTCCCCACAAGAAATTACAACAGCGAGCTTTCTCTGGGAAGACACAATAGAATATTCTCAGAACATTTGATCGAAGTCAGTCCAGCAAAAAATGTCCCTACCCGGATTCGAGCCGGGGTCTTCACGGCCACAACGTGATGTACTAACCACTATACGATAGGGACTTGACATAATTCGTTGACCTTAACAATTATATATTTAAAAACATGGTATTGCTATCAACAACAGCAGATAATGTGCAATTCATGCGCTGCCGCCTGCGGCCCGCGGCCACACCGTCGTCCGCATTGGATGTGTTGAGCGCAATGGGTAACGTTTGATGACTAACCTGCCTAGATTCAAACATGCCTGTGTTCGTTGTGGCTTCTGGTGGTGTGTCTGTACTGGTGAGGAGATGTGGACCGTCGCAAACGGATCTCGTGCGCCTGGCAGGTCGGAGATTGCAGTTGTGCCATGTATGTATGCCAATCGAATCGCTGCCCATTCTGTGCAGGGCTTTTGACGCAGCTTTGTAGGCCAAGGATGGTGACATTGGGCGGCGCACGGCGATTTTGGAGTGCTTAGGGATTCTGTGGAAAATAAGCTCACCACAGGAAAAGGCGGTCAACACACGAAGTTGCTCGGGTTTTTTCGGCCACCGGCGGTCGCTTGTGCCCCGTTTCCCCCCCGCCCCGTCTCCCCCCTCGAGCATTAAGGCCCGCAGCCGACCTGCCGTACCTCAAGGTTGTGAATGATCTCCTCCTGCGTCTTGACAGTTGCACGCAGCTGGGCCACCTTCATGGACTCACCCTCCAGATCAGCGTACGCACGCGCCTGGCCACCAGACCCAACAACAGTGCGCGGCAATGGAAGTGGAGAGCTGGGTTGTTGATATCACCCAGGACACATCATGCATTACCCACGAGCACATGCGCGGGCACATGCACGGACGGGCCCAAACTGGATTGTGCATATAGAGGAGTCCGGGAGTCCGAACTGGTCGTGAATCTTGCCACCGCCGGACGCTTCCTGTGTATCGGTTGGACTCCAGTGTTGGTTTCCGTCTTGCTTTCAGAAGCTGAGGTGATGATTGAGAATTTAGACTGGGCTTACACAGGGCGGAAGTGGAATCCAAATTGCGGTAGATCTTGTAGCAGCTGGCCGCTGAAAAGGCCTCTCGAGATGCTGGTGGCCGCGCTACGCGCGTATTTATAGTGCCGTACTGTGTATCAGCTGCTACAGATCTGTACTCACGTTGCAAAAGCTTATTCGGTGCGGTAAGTCTCTCACACTGCGATCTACGGTTCGATCCCCAGTTACCCACCTGCTCTTCGTGCGCCTCTTGCAGCTGCTGATAGCGCTTTTTGAGCTCCAGAGCGTCCACCTGCCGCACAGGTGGAGGAGAGGACAGGTGGAGGAGGAGATCGTGGAGACAGATGGCGATAAGAGGGCGCGGGCAAAGGGCAGGACGAGGGAACGGGTTCCGGTAATTCGTCACCGGATGAGGGGGGACTTCGAAGGTAAGGAAAGCACACATATCCACCGCTGGTCCCCCGGATGGAGTAGATTGGGGTGTCGAATGCTGAGATGAGACACGGGGTTCTACCAGTGCGCTGGGCGGCTGGAGGGGGAGCCCAATACGTAAGCCTATACACTGCCGCAGAGCAGTGGGCAGAGAATTAGTTCTGCATAGGGCCTGGATCAGACTGTATCCTAGGTGGTGATTGGATAACTAAACTGGGCGACGGCAGAATTCGCAAGGAGAGGGTGGCGATTGGCACCGGTGTGAGTGCATTGGTAGGTCGCGCAGCTGTAGAGCATGCGCTCGGTGGAACGAAGGTTGCTTGGCATCTGAGCTGATGTCTGTAGCTGGCTAGAGGATCGTGACGACGCCTTGCGTTGGTACGGGAGAACGGTTAGGATCCTGGCCGATATAACGCCCCTCCAATGATGAAGTGCTTCGGCGGTCGTTCCCGTTGGCATACGGTTAGGTGCCGCTGGCCAGCGTCAGGCCCGGATCGTTATGTAAGAGATACGATACACAAACACACATACTCATATACCCACACGCGGGGTACCTGCTCTGAATGCAGCACCCTCAGTCGCTCCACCAGGTCCCCATTTCGAGCCCTCTCCCGCCCATAGGCCGCCATCACACTCTCACACCTGCGCATGATGAGGGTCACACACACACACACACAGGAGGCTCCGTAATGCCCCTAAATTTCCCGCACAATCCCCCCAACATGTTACTAGGTCTCATACGCGGCAGGTACCGCCCGGCGACCGATTTCTACGGCCGCCTCTTTCTCGACCGGGCCGCACACCTCCTACTGGCCCCTATTACCATGCGTCCGAGTGCAGTTGTCTCTCCCTTGTCCCCCCTCCCCCCATCACCCAAACGTCGTCCTCACCGCTCAATGAGCTCGTCCCGACTCAACATGGCCGAATTCACCAACATCCTCAACTGGGGTATCCGCCAAGCCTGATGCAGGGAGAAAGGGAGGGGCAGGGGCCCGGGGGGGGGGGTAGGGAAACTGAAAAAACGAAGGGGGAAATTAGGATGAAGGATGGGATGTGTGTGGTTGAAGGACGCGGCAAGGGCGGCACATTAACTGGGGCCGTGACTGGCAGTGGCTGGCCTTTCGCGGCCTGTTGTGTTGAGGGAAGGATGCGGGCACGCGCCACGCGCCCCTTAAACTCCCCCCTCTGTACCACCTTGTTAACGGCCATTCTTACCGCTAACTACCAGCCGCCAACTCACCTGCTGCTCCGTTTGCAACAGCTGCTGCAGCCGTTCGTTGTCCGCCACGAGGTTCCTGATGGCAGTAGCGGGCAACAGCAACAGCAACAGCAACAGCAACAGCAACAGCAGGAAATGGCTTCGGAAATGGCCGGAGAAAGATAACCCTTTCTCCCACCCGCACCCGACCCAGAGATCAGGAGGCCCAAATGGGGGTTGGGCGGAGTTCGAGATGACGACATTTTAGTTTTACTCATGTATGGGACGTGCGTGTGAGACGAGTAAACGCCGTCTACATAAAACCTCTGACAGATTATGAACGGTGCTCGTGCAGACCCTTCATTCACAGTGGCAGTGGCAGCAGTGGCAGAGGCCATATGACACCATCATGGCCTCCCGGCAATCGCTGTACGGCCTAAACAGAGCAAGAACAGCAGCTATAGCATCCGTAGCGCGCGCGTGCGTGTATATGTGCTTGTGTGGAGCCCCACAGGCTGCAACACCCACCGGCTGCGCTTCTCCGCGTCCACCAGCCTCCAGGATAGCTCCTCCGCCTTACATGTGGTGCTGTCCAGCTGCCTCGCCACTTGGGACATGGCGGCCTGGGCGGGGATTGACGGGGGGTTTGAGAGGTGGGAAACACACACGGTGAAACGCAGACGCGTCACCAGGTCTTTCCTGGGTTGGTTCCACCCAGCCCGGCTCTCCTCAACCCCCCTCTTTCCCAATCTGGCCACACAGACCTGCTTGACAAGGCATTCCTGCACCAGCGCCTCCAGCAGCTCTAAAGACGGGGAGGAGGAGGAGGGGGAGGACGTGGCCGGGGCCTCCGCTGCCTCACCGGCTGCATGGGGGGGAGGAAAGGGCATTGTGGGGTCTCGCCAGGGGGGAATGTAACGGTCAGGTAACCGCAAGGACGATAACACACACTCCTGAATGCAAGCGAGCAAGTGGAACATTCGACAAGGGAGGGCAGTTGGGGCGCTTCGTGCCACGTGCATTCGTGCCACGTCCCAGGTCGCGTTTGTGCTTCATACCTTTCCCTCTCCCTCCACTCCCTTTCCCCTCCCCGCCATCCTCCGTCTCCCTTCCTCTCTCTCTCCCCCTCACCTCCCTGGAGCGCGCCAAGCAGCTCCAGCTCCAGGAGCACCTCGTGGGCCGACAGACCGGCCCCCAGACCAGACAAACTGCTAACCACCACCTGCCGGCAGCCAACGTCACAGCGTCAACGAATAAAACAGAAATAACCGCCAGACAGTATATAGCATTCACAGAGCTCCACTCCGGATGCACCCTCGGAGTCATCAAGCCTCTCAGCCAGGTGCTAAGCGCTGGTGCCGTACATTACTGTACGGATACAGAAACTGTACGATTCCAGCTTCATATACCAGCTTTATACGCCGGCCGTGGATTTACAGGTTTAAGGAGGATCGAAGCGGGCCAAATCCTCCAATAGCAGGGGAGGATTGCTGCAGTAATACACGTACAGCAAGACCAAGCTCCTTGTTTGTTGTTTCTTGTTTGTTGTTTCTTGTTTGCTGTTTGTTGTCCCACTTTTTCTTTATCTTTACCATGAATCTCAGATCAGATTGGGATGATCTGCTAACTTAACGGCACGCTCAACGACGAACGACATTAATCCTCAATCCTTAAAACTGAACAAAAATTTTAGCAAATCCGGAGGTTCTTCCGCCCTTGTGAAAGAGGAGGTGTATACATCTCCCCAAAACGTCCTACTCTCGCGGGCCACCGCAGGCCGTCCATCGCCGCAGGGCCCTGAGACGTTGTAAACCCACCTTGCCAAGATCGTTGCTGGCGGACGCCGCCTCCAACCCATTCCCCAAATCCCCCAGCAGTGCCGATGCCGATGCCGATGCCGCGTCAGCAGTCAGCGCCAACGTCAGCGTCACTCGCTGCCCCTGCAACAGCCTCGAGGTGGCATCTGCGCCCAGGGACGTTCCAGCCACCAAGCCACTGGCCACCAGCCGACCGGCTAGGCCACCAGACTCCACATCGATCCCTGGAAAAGACAATTTTCCGAACGGTGTTATTTCAGGTCACAAAACCAAATGGTCCACTGTCAGGGATTTCTGAGTTGAGATATCTTGAGCGTGAGGGGGTTACGCTGCAATGAAGGGCCGGCCTAACCCCCGCACACACAGACGGGGCTGTAGGGGAGCCGACGGTTGCAGCCACGGTGCCGCACCTCCGGAAGGTTCCAGACCCGGCGCGGAGAAGAGGTCCAGTCGCAGCAGTGGCTGCTCCGGAGGCAGGACGGCCAAAGGGGCAGGCAAGCGCAAGAGAAAGGAGCTGCAAGCGAAGTCGGGGTTCCTGCTGGGCTCGGAGGTCTCCGTGCGAGCGGTCTGTTGGGTGGATGGAGTGGGATGGGGAGGGTGGGAAGGGTTGGGGTGAGGGTTGCATTACGGGAGGTGCATGGGGAGGAGAAAGATGGGACCTGCGGGGGGAGTTCCTGGGAGTGTCAGGAAGAGCTGGGACCGAAAAACGAGCTCAAGTTGCTGTTGCTGTGGACCTCAGCAGATTTTGGGGAAGTTTGGAATGCTTTCATGTCCAGTGCTTGGCGTATGGGTGCTACATGGGCGCTAATCGGTGAGGGGAAGCAGCACACGACCGCAAAGCAAGTCATTGTTGAGGCACGTACGGTTGCGTGGGCCGAAGGAGTGCAAATTAAGTATCAAATGCTTACCTGGTCATGCCGGATGCTTTTTAAGCTTATCGTGCTGGCAGACGTCTTGCTTCCGCTGTGAGGGCATTGAAGAGCTATATAGTACCGCTGTGGCTCCTGCGACCCCGGGGACGTAATCAGGGAGCCAGGCGGCGACGTTCATTTGGGAGAAGCAGAGAAATCGGTCCCACTACCTGACATCGAAGGCGCAGTATGCCGACTCTCAGTGTCTTCTTGTTGCTAGACATGTTCCATGTAAACTCCGCAGCCCCAGGGTGATAAGCGAAAAAATCTTTTATTTGAGATAACTAGTGTAATCTGTTTCATTATAATATAATAAAAGGCTTCAGTATGCCGATTGGAGAAACCATATCTTCATGCGTCAAACGCGATGGTGATTTAAGTGCCTCTGATAAGAAATGAAAAAGAATCAAGACGAATTCAGTAAATCTCATCCATTTGGGTGCGCTTGTCGTCAAATAGTCAACCCGCAAGGCCCACCAAAACTCGAGTATTTACTCTTTCTCGATGGAGACACTTTGATAACCTCCACACGCGAGCTCGATTGCATGACAGACAATTACTTCTGGCTTAAGGTTGCCATGTATGGGCACGACAGTCCCGAGCCTGCATTAGCGTTACGAGCCTTAAGAGCTGAAAGGTGTCGAAAGGGTGTTCCCGCCGGGAATGAGCACAAGGTTGGAGTGCAGTTCGGGAGGATATGCACAACGGTATTACGATTAACATGGTACACGCGCAGATGTGAAAAGGTAGACATTGAGTAATATGGCGAACACCCTTCGACACGTGCAGGTGCGTTCGCATTAGTACTAGCGACCCGGATTGATAAGCTAGCGTTGCCAATATCTTGTGGCCTGGGAAGATCAGTGGATTTGTTTTTAGGGTTCATACACATTTGCCTGTGCCACGAGGATTAATTTATGAACAATTAGCCAAGCGGGGCGGTAATGAGTCTACAATAACCGCCTTGGACTTGCAGCTCGTATGGCGTAGTACAGTGCGGTAATGGTGGATGGCAGAGGTCGGCAAATAAGGCGTATCTTGAGACCACAATACCCGCAGCCGACATTCTGCTCAAGGCCCTGGCTGCGGGTCCTTTATAACCCCAAAACGAGATTAGCAGCCTTTATTGCAGCCCGCGCTGGACTTGAACTCTGTGTTTGAGTTCGAATATTTTCAGGTTTACTGCCCTAAGTTATGCCCTCCCGCAGCCGTAGAAACAGATTTGCCGACCTCTGGTGGTTGGTGTTCAATCCTAGATGACACTCTAAAAGTGGCCCAGAAGCCTCCTACTCTGTAACATATAACAACAACAAGAACAATTACAACAATAACTATGGCACGACATATTCAAAAGAGCCCGTCTGCTCGCCGCGTCTATTGACGGTCCTCAGGACCGGGTCCTGCGCTTCGATACAGTTGTCTAGCGGTTGTAATGGTTGCCACCTGAGAAGCATGCAGCGTGAAGGTTCTGATCTTCCCACTTGGTATTTTTAGCACGCATGCTCATAATCCGGAAATTTGCGGACGGTGCGTTCCCATGTTTGCTATGAAAAAGGGTCTGTAGATGAAGTTCTGGTACCTGTCTGATACACATCATCAGGTCTGTGACGTGATCTGGTGAACAACATGCTGCCACATATAATGCTTGAGTGGCCGGACCCTCATCCGCACAGTGTTAGAAATTTGCAGAAAGGAACCAGGTTTCGGGACCATTCCTTTTCATTCACACGTTTGGCAACGTAGTTAACACGAAGTTCACAGGCAGCGGCGCCATAAGTCAGGATAATTAATTGATCTATTACCTATTTGGAAGTTTGCCGAGGTCGCTTTGAAAGCAACGAACACGTAACCGAACACGCTGGCTCCCCCACTTCAACTCATACCGACCCTGAACGGGGCATCACGACTTGTGCGTGGATCCTCGAGGAGTCTTACTGGTAGCGCAACAGGCATTTTGGTAAGCTGGTCAGATAATCCACATTTCCCGCTTGTCAACCCGTTTGGCCAATCCAATTTGACAGTTACAACAAGTCAACAGGCATGTACTGGAAGAATAAATTGCATTACTTTCAGCAACTACTGTGGCGTCTAACGGCTGGGCCTTCGATGGCCACACAGCGACATTTCGCTGCCACCAAAGAAATCGCCACGCAGTCATTTTAAAACCACTTTACTTAGGTTTTCTTTGCGTAATTGAGAGCATACATAACCAAAAATGGTGATGTGGAGGACAATGCACGCCGGCTGTAGCTGACACTTGTTCTGGCCACAAGCCCGGTGGCCCGCACTTGAACCTGCAAAACGACGGCCCCCTAACCGATTTTCTTCTTGTCACGCATTAATGCCCCTCCTGCATGATTTCCACCGTTATGGTCCAGCGCCCGCCTACGCCGTACTCCTTCCCAACTCCTGGCGCCCGCCGCGTATTCAGCGTCCGTGTAATGGCCGCCGCCGGCTGCGGCAAGCGTGTCGTACTGTGGTTCAGGAACGACCTCCGCCTGCACGACAATTACATCGTGCATGATGCAGTGCAGCGTGTAAAGCGTGGTGAAGCCAGCGAGGTATGTCAGTACGCTGTTCCAGTTATTCACATAAAAGACGGCTGGGTGCATATGTGTATTACCCTTGCGTTGCATTACTCCCCGAAGGTATAACGGGCCCATGCGATAACATGCATAGCCACAAGGACATGCAATACCTTCCATACCGATATCAGATCAGGAGATCCTTGCATTTCCTTCCCAGACCCCTAGCCCTGTTCTTACCCAAGGATTTCCCCTGGAGCCCTTCACAGTACCCATCCCTCATATCATACCACTTGAAGGAGGGAATGGACTATATTACAGGTGGCTCGAACGGTGTCGTACAGCGCTGGATGCGCATGGGACTCGCGTTTCAAACTAGTGCAACCACCAGCACAATAAGTATCAGTGCCAAGGGGGAAGGGTCAACAGGGGAGGGTGAGGGGCCGCCGGGACCCGGGGGCCGCCCTCTCTCGCGCCTTCTCGCCCTCAGCTTTCTCTAGCGAGGCTCCTCCGCCCTGTCCCCGGGCCCCCGCTATGGTGCCCCGTATGATGGAATCCGTTCCGTACATCACCCTCCTGTCCGCCACCAAGTCGCCCCGTACCCTACAACACAGGTACTGCCGGTGTACTGTTTCGACCCACGTGTGTACGGCACTACCCCGTGGGGTCATTTCAAGACGGGGGCGCACCGGGCAGCCTTCCTGCTTGAATGTGTGACGGATCTCAAGGTTGGTTGGTTGGTTGGTTCTTAGTTAGTTCGGTTGGTTGCAGGTGTCGTCGTGAGTGGGGGCGGCTGGTTGGAGATTTGCGTTCTGGATGGTACTTATTAGCTGAGTGTGAGGCAGGGTGGTTGAGGCGTTGGGTTCAGACCTCCCTGCATGGTCCGGCACCCCGTGCCGGAACGGTGTCACCCGCCCTTTTAACGCCCCACCTCACTTTCCTCTGTGCCTGGGCTCGGAAACCCTGAACTCGCGGGCCATCGTCTCTCCCACCTTGTACTATGCAACGCTGGTTTGGCATCCGCAACCCCCTGTTTGCGTGTGTATGATTCGCTTGCTTTTTCCTTGACCCCGGTACTCCCCGCTCGGTGCTCGTCCACCCAGTCCCGGCTTCGCGATGTAGGCAGTGACTTGCTGGTGGCATTTGGGAAGCCCGAGGAGGTGCTGCCGGGTAAGTGAGGCAGAGGAGTGAGACTGCGGGCCACGGGGGCTGCGGAAAAGACGAGCAAACCCAAACGCTACCTGAACCCGAATTCGATCATCATTATCCCGGCCCCGCCCCCGGCCGGGGAGTTATAGCTACCTGGAAAGTAAATGAAGCGCGGTTTGGACGCAGGGTGTGGGAATTGAAGAGAGTGACGAGGAATGTGGCTTGCATTGTTGGTTGATAACCTGTTGGACTTCCCAATGGCTCCAGCTGGCAGTCTTGCTCTTCCTTGCTTCCACACACCTCTCGCGTAAAACCAATTCCACCCCCCATAACCCACACATCCCATCTATCCCAACCCCCTCGGCCCCCCTCAGGTCTTCTGGAGGGCAGCTCTGGTCCCTCCCTGGTCCTCACTGCGGAGGAAGTCACCTCGGAGGAGACCCGGACGGATGTGGCGGTGGCCCGGGCCCTGAAACAACAACGGAGACCGCAAGCGGATGCTGCAGCTGCGGCGGGGGGTGGAAGCGGTAGTGCGAAGCTGCTGCGGTTCTGGGGCCATACCATGTACCATATTGACGACCTGACTCAGCCACCAGAGGGCGGCGGCAAGGCTGCCTTTGCACCGGGTAAGGGAGTGGGTGGGTGGGTCGGTGGATATGGCCAGGTAAGCTCCATGCGGCCCACGAGAGAGTGTGTATGTGTGTGTATGTGTGTATTTGTGTGTGTGCATGCGTTGGTAGTGGTGCACAGATGTACGTTCCGATGGGGCCCCTCCCCATGTTATATATGTTCCCTCCCCCTTTTCCTTTATTTCGCCGCCCCACCCTCGCGGCCTTGTTTTACCCCTTCAGGCATGAAGGACATGCCCGATGTGTTCACTCCCTTCCGTGAAAAGGTGGAAAAGCGCTGCCCGGTACGGAAAGACCTGCCGCTGCCGCAGAAGGGCGACCTGCCGCTGCCCCCGACGGAAGCACTCCCCGCCGCCGCGGCAGCGGCCCTGGCGGCGGCCCCGCCCACGTGGGAGCAACTGCCGTACCCGCCAGCGGCGAGGCCTCCGCCGCCCACCAAGCATCCTAAAGCGGTGCTGGACTTCAAGTAGGTTTCCGGGGTGGCGGACGGGGAACGTGGAGCCATGGGTTATTACAAAATATGGGGTCTTGGGGCCTGCTTGTCTGTGCCACTGGGTCCCTCCTGCCTGCATCTGCCCGTTGGCTAAGCGACCACACCAAGCTAGGCCTGATGCGGTTTGGTGACGCATGGCTTTGGGGGGGGGAAGTGGAACTGACATCCTTTGTGTAACAGCGGAAAATTTATCACGAGGCGTAGAAGGCTTTGCCGCAGGAGGCTCTCACTACAGTTTTCACCACTGCATCTTCCCTAGAGAGGTTTCACTCACTTTAACTCTGAGGTCGCGTACGCGGAAGGTGCATTCATATCCACATTCGGTCATGCTTCCAGCCCCTCAGGCCTGCTCAGCGCCTTGAGGGCAGCCTCAACCTGATCCCCGCCGTCCATGGTCCATTCCACCGCGTTACCCAACGAAGCAGCGCACCTAATTAAACAGCGTAACAGCACTAAGGATAATGAAAGGGCGGTTTTCTGTTGCTCCGCTCTTCTGTTTCCTATGACGATGTCTACCGAGCCAAGGGACGGCGCACACTTATCCACTTGCCACACATGGTGGTGCATTCCGCGCCCTACCAGATTGTCACATGGTGCGTTGGGAACGTTAGAAAGTACGACGTTGGTGGGTCATGCAAACCGGAGGTGTGCATGTATCCTGCGTTATGGCGCCGCCCGGCAGTTCCCCCTCACACGCCCTTGCCCGGTTGCGGACGCGCTTGTATCATCACAAGGAGACCCTCTGCTCTATCCTACTTGAGACGCCACTAGTTGCTTTTGCGGCTCTTTTTACCCATGTAAGGCAAGCCGGGCCTGTGGCGAGAGAGGCGGGAAGCACTCCGTTGGCGGCTTGCAGCTGCCGCAGCGTCCTCTGGGTTGTAGCGAAACACGGCGCAGCCGTCGCGCTTCTCCCCCGTCGGGACGTAGCCACAGCGCGCCCTCAGGGCCTCAGCGACCCCGTGCCTCCATCTGGGGACTGTTCGGTACCGGAAGTGAGTCCGCCTATCCAGCAGCGGTGCTATGTGGGGGTCCCCCTCTAGGTACGCACATATGTCAATTAACGTGCCCTGGTGATCAGGCAGAGACTCGAAGGCCTTGCGAACCCATGCTGTGTAGGTAGCACCCTTGCTGCTGCTGCGTTTCTGCCTCAGGACCACTTCATCTGGAGACACCCCGTGCTCCAGCTGTGTGCGTGTTGAGAAGAACTTGTCCCTGATTTTTCTCTCCAGTTTTTTGTCATGATCCGGAATCCTGTCCCAACCCAGCTCCTGAAGAAGTTTTTCCAAGGGTGGCGGCCCGGTGGGGTGCTCCATCGCCACCCTTACCATAAGGTCGTTTTCGTGAGGCTTCCACGCGTACCTCTTAGCCAGCGGCGAATGCGCATCGTTGAAATCAAACAAAGGACCCAAGGCCAGCTGCGCCGTGCTTGCACCGTTTGTTGCTTGATTACCGAATTGCGTTTGGAAAACTGCTTGCAAAGTGCTGGCATGTCTCACTGCATTATTGACGATGAGGGAAGCAGCTTGGCTAGCTTTGAACGACAGCTGCGGCATTGGCTTAAGAGTCCCGTCTGTCCCGCATAACCTGCATAATATAAGAGCAATAGCAAAATAGTGGACTCCGTAAAGCGCATGTGTGCGTAGTCGGGACGTTTTGGCGTTTGACGTTTTAATTACAAGCTTCTTGAGCTTGTACGGCCCAAACGAGTCAAGAGGCTTATGACTGCCTGGTGATCATCACAGACCCGACACCACCGTGCTGCACGCTCCCTGCCGTGTGGTCGGTTGACAGCCAGCGCCTAGACACACGTCCTAGCACATCAGTGTACGTGCTGTTTCGGCGACATATAACCGTCTCAGTGCCTAAGTTGCCCCATCCACCGCAGGTATCGACACATCTTCACTCCGGTTGCCTGTTGTCGGAAACGAACACATGTGTTTCCACCGCCAACCTCTCACTACCCAGTCCTCATTAAGTCGGTCTCGGATCTCCCTCGTCAATCGATTTATGTTTAGGACATGCTATGCAGCGTTATGCTCTAGCTTCAAAACCTTCACCCCTACTGATAAGCTTCATTCCCCAGACATCGTATGATAAAGAACAAGTGAAGGCCAGGCGGAGCTATTCGCGAAAGCAGTATCCTGAAACGAATATTCGAAGTAGCAACACCGATGCTCCTGGTGGGGGTCGTCACCACTCCAGAGCCCGGGGGACCCTGTCGGGGCGTCTGCCATTGAGAACTGCGCATGGCTCGTCCAGCGGTCATAGATGCCGATGGCCCATCCATGCGAGCTTTGCAACACGAAGGTTAAGGCATTCATGCCTTCACGCCACTTTTTTTAGGCGAAAATGGACTGTGGAGCCGCTAAATCATGCTTCGCGGCACGACGTCTGCTCAACCATCGCGTCACATCCGCAGCGCACCCATCGTACCTCCCCATCTGCCTTTACCGCTCTCATCCCCAAGCACCTTCACATGCCAATTCACGTCGTTACGCACACCCGGCCAGGGCAGCAGCGATCTCCCCTTCTACTGCCCCGGGCCATAAAAGCACACGCCACGCTTCTCCCCCACAACCCCGCCGCCCCACGCCGACTCCCCGTCAGGCACCCCTCACCCTCATCTTTTTCCCATTCCTCCCCTTCGACCACCTATCTCCTCTCTCCTCACACACCATGCACTCCCCTGCATCCCCTCCCACCCCGTCCAGGGGCGGCGAGACGGCGGCTCTGGCCCGGCTGCGCTACTATCTGTGGGACAGCGACCTGATCGCCTCCTACTTCGACACTCGCAACGGCATGTTGGGGGGAGACTACTCCACCAAGTTCGCCCCCTGGCTCGCGGCGGGATGTATCAGCCCCCGGAAGATCTACCGTAGGTTTGATCAGCGATTGCGATTGCGGTGGCGCGTTCGTGTCTGTATGTGAGAACGAGTGATGGTGCTGGCACGTGTACGTGTTTACAAGGTTGTCGGGTTGCAGTTTTGTGTGCTTTATGTGGGAGTGTGTGGGGTGTGGCTGGCTGTGTGCGTGTGTGCGTATGTGTATGTCTCTGCAAGGGAGCAAGGGACTTTACATCCAGTGACTCCAAGTTGAGCTCTCTGCCGCGATATCCTTTCCTGGCCCCACCTTTCCCGTCCACCACCACCCTCTCTCCTCTCCACCTCCATCCGCCCCTGGACCTGCCCCCTGGACCCCCTGGACCAGACGAGATCCGCAAGTACGAGGCCCAGCGGCAATCCAACAAGTCCACATACTGGGTCATATTCGAGCTCATTTGGCGGGATTACTTCAGGTGGGCTGTGGTGAGGGGGTGAGGGGGACTTGCGGGCTGGTTGGAGGTGCGGGTATGAGGGAGCGTGCGGGGTGGGAGCTGGCGCAGAAATCTACACACAGCTGATTCGCAAAAGTGAATATCACACGGGTTCCTAATTTCCTCTCTCTCCTTCCGCTCTACACCTCCGCGCTTTCCCCCAAACCCCAACCCCAACCTCTTCCCCGCCCAACCCGCCACAGGTTCTTCGCGCTCAAGCACGGCAACCGCATCTTCTTTGAGACGGGAACTTCGGGTCTCCCCTTGGTTTGGAATCCGGATGCAGATCTGTGGCATCGGTGGCGGGACGGCCGTACGGGGCTGCCCCTGGTAGACGCCAACATGCGCGAGCTGGCGGCTACGGGTGTGTGTGTGTGTGCGAGGGGTTGTTTCGGAGCGTTGGGTCGCCGCGGGTCGGTCGCCGGGGTTCCCCACAGATGAGGACTTCCCGTAGCACTGCATCAACAATGTGATGGTCCTACAGGTCCTATGTGATTTATGGGTCCGTCTCTTCGATAATACCACTTCCATTTCCACCACCACCACCACCACGACCGCCGCCGCCACTGGCCCAGCACCAAGGGCACAGGTACCGCCTTCTGGCTGTGCCAATAATTCTCGCATTTCCCTGGCCAGGCTTCATGTCCAATCGTGGCCGTCAAAACTTGGCGTCGTACTTGGTGCTGGATCTTGGAATCGACTGGCGGCGCGGCGCCGATTACTTTGAGAGCCAGCTGTTGGACTACGACGTGACTTCCAACTGGGGTAACTGGGTGGCGGCTGCCGGGCTGGCGGGGGGCAGGATCAACCACTTCAACATTGCAAAGCAGGCAAGTGATGTTGGAGCGTTTCGGATTGGGGGAGGGGTATTTCAGGCTGAACCAAGCCGCCGACGCAGACGTAACATTTAGAGGGCTGTCGGTCAGCAGCCGTTTTAACCAACCTTACCAACCCAACTAACCCAACCAACCCAATTTCCCCCCCCCCAGTCCAAGGACTATGACCCCCAGGGCGACTACGTCCGCACCTGGTGTCCGGAGCTGCGCCATGTGCCGGTGGGCAAGGTGCATGAGCCCTGGCTCATGAGCAAGGAGGAGCAGGAGAAGGCGGGGTGCAGGTAGGGTGGGGCCGTGCGTGTATGTATGTATGTACGGTGTATAGGGTGGGTCTTATTAATTGGACATGTACACACACACGCACGCACGCACGCACACACACACACACACGTGTACGTTTACCCGACTGACCTGGGCCCCCGTGCAGGATCGGTGTGGACTACCCGAACCCCATCCCCGTGTCCAGACACGGTCGGCCACACGCCAGCTCGGGTGGGTATGCGTAGGGATGTGCGAGGGCGTGTATTTTTGTAGACATGCATGTATGTGAGTACACTTTTGCACGTGTGCTTGGCTTGGCTTGTTTTCTGAAGTACAAAGCACTTGATTTGAGAGATCTCAAAACGTTACCCAAATGGGGATTCTGTCCATCAGAGCAGCACAGCAACCCGGTCGGCAGCGGTAGCCTAATGCGCGCATGTGCCACGGGCGTTTCGTTACCAGCACTGCCGTTAGCGTATGGCAGGGACCGAGGCGGCAAGTAAAGGCCCCGCGAGTTGCGCCGTTTCGGGTGGGAGGGGGAGAACATCGGCATTGGGAGGGGGATTGGGGGGGGGGGGGGGTGCCCCGGTGGGAAACGTTCCATGCCAACCCTCCCAGCCGGGGGTTGCTTTGGACGTCAGTTGGCCCTTTGCTTCTTCCTGTGCCATTACCAAATGCTCCCCACCCATCCCCGCGGAAGGCGGTTTTTCCCGGCGTCTAAACTCCCCCGGTGGCCACGGCTCGTGCTTGTGCGGTGTGCCACGACCCAGGTGGCGGCGGCGGCGGTGGTGGCGGCGGGTACCGCAAGTCTGAGTTCGAGCGTTACAAGTGACATGTGAACGCAAAGAGAGCACCGGGTGGTTGTCCTAGTGAGGACCCATTTCCCACCATATGACAATCAGAGTTTGTATGTATGTCTGGCACTATGAGAGTTCCGCTAGATACGGCAGAGAAGTGTCCGATCGCGCAGTAGCTGGGTGCTGGTGACATAGCGGCAGCGGTGAGGTATGGGAGCTCACGGTTCTCGGAAAAATGGATTGGATCTCACCTCCACTGTAGGGTCTGCATGAATACGTAGCTTAGCTGTCTGCGGGCTGCGTAACGAAGTTGAGTCATGGTGTCGTACAATGGTGGTTCAGAGCAGCGCGGAGTTGAAAGAAGGGTGAATTCGAAGCGGGCGATAAACGCGACACGTACTCTCAGCGCTGACTATCTATCTGTCTGTCTGTCCGTATATGTATGTGTGTGTGTTCGTTGTGATTACGTGACCATTACGGATCAGATCGTACGGTCAGAATGTGTATCGAGAGTGTTTTTGTGCCTTCCAAGGGCCTGTGGCGTCGAGTGCTGGGGGGGGGATTGGGTTGCAAGATACGCACTGCCCGCACTGGATTGGAGACATCGAGAAGGGCGGAGCCGGGGTTCATCGTGGTTTCGAAGTTCCAGTATTACGTGCGCGCGCACGCGTGCGTGTGTGTGTGTGTGTGTGTGTGTGTGTGTGTGTGTGTGTATATATGGAGAGGGATGGACGGCTGGAAATACCGTTCTTCCCAGCTTGCCGTGGACTTACGTTCCTCAAGCCACTCCGCGGCATCACCCTTCAAAGCAATGGAACCCTCCACTCTTATTCCTCCGATTCGGTCTTACTTGATAGCAAGTGATTTACCGTACTGGTCCTCTGTGCATAGAAAAGACGATGTGACGATTTGCCATTCCGTAACTCACCCAACCCATTCTGAGTCGAAACCGGTCGGTCGGGACCCCTCCACAAACACCCACACACGAGCCCCTCAACCCCACCCACACAGCACGGAGGTCGGGGTAGCTTCCCTAGGAAATCCGAGACGCAAACGGGGCTTCCAAGTTAAGAGAAGTGGAGCGACCTCATCGGCCATCCCAGGGGATCGATCCAGACCACCCAGTACCCATAACCCCTAGCAGTAGCAGCAGTAGTAGCAGTAGCAGCAGCAGCAGTAGCAATACTGAGCCTGGCGGACCCTCCACACATCCCCCCCAGGGTACATCACCGTTCAGCAACTTGGCCCCCTCTATAAATCCCCAACCCCCGGTCGGTTGCCTATGGTGTGAATTGTGACGAAATTAACAAAACGGGTGGGAGCGGTACGCACCAATCCGTGCCTACTTAGGGCGGGCGGCCGCTATCACAGAGATTGCTTTTTTTCAACACAAAAACTTGGCCGCGTTTGGCACACCACCGACCATTCGTGCATATCTCTGCACCTCGCTTGATCCGGATTGGGATTTGGGTTCGTGAGAATTCGGATTCAGGCTCGGGTTCCGAGGGAAGGGCGCGAATGAGCGAACAGCTGCTTCCTCCGTAGTTATCCTTCGTTGAAAATTCCAGATCACCATTGGCCCTCCTTCGCCCTGCACCGCCTCACCACTTCTCTCCTCCACACATACACATGGTCACACGCACGCAGCTCCCTCTCCCCCTCCGCACCCTTCCGCCCTCCCTCCTCCGCCCTGCCGAGTGGCCTATTGCACTTCTCCGCTGCTACTGCCACCGCTGCTGGTCCCGGTGCTGCTACTGCTGCCATCACTGCCGCCAGACGCCGCCGCCGTCCGCACCGCCAGTGGCACAAACGGCATCTGCTGTGCCAGCATGCCATCACTGTGCCGTACGTAGGGTGTTTGACCTCCTTGTACGGCAGTTTCAACATGGCCTCCACCACCTCCATGGACTGGCTGTCCGCCAGTGTCCCCCACACGGTCATGGAGGAGCCCCACAACTCGTGATCCATCACGTTGATGAAGAACCTGAACACCGAGGGGCGGGAAAGCTGGTTGCTGGTGTGGGGTCGCGGGTTGCGGGTTGTTGGCTGGAGAGAGAAGACCGCCACAGCGGTCCGTGGTTGTGGTTGCGATGTGGTGGTTATGCTTCGGGGTGTGGTGGTTGTGGTGGTTGTGGGTCATCGTCAGGGCCCCTGGGGGCCCCTCCCGCTCCTCTTCCTCCTTCCCAACCTGCCCGCCGCCATCCCACGCTTTCTTTCGCTCCTCCGCCCAAAAGCCCTGAGTCTACACGCGTCACCCCCCATACCGCCCCAGGAGGCGGAAACTCACTCTCTCGTCCCGGGTATCATGGCCACGTGGCCGCGTCTGTACGGCAGGGACACACCATGGGCCAGGGCAACCGGGAGCGCGGCTGTCAGCGATGTTGGGGTCGGGGGGCATCCAAGGCGGAGGATCGCCGAGGAAACAGTCGACAGGTTGCTCCCAGCTCTGGCATCATAACAGGTATTAGCCACGCAAACCCCCGCTCGCCCCTCCCATCCTCTTAACCGGCAACTTCCATCAAACCCATCTCGCGTAAACCAATCCCACCCCCCATAACCCACACATCCCATCCCAACCCCCTCGGGCCCCCTCAGGTCTTCTGGAGGGCAGCTCTGGTCCCTCCCTGGTCCTCACTGCGGAGGAAGTCACCTCGGAGGAGACCCGGACGGATGTGGCGGTGGCCCGGGCCCTGAAACAACAACGGAGACCGCAAGCGGATGCTGCAGCTGCGGCGGGGGGTGGAAGCGGTAGTGCGAAGCTGCTGCGGTTCTGGGGCCACACCATGTACCATATTGACGACCTGACTCAGCCACCAGAGGGCGGCGGCAAGGCTGCCTTTGCACCGGGTAAGGGAGTGGGTCGGTGGGTCGGTGGATATGGCCAGGTAAGCTCCATGCGGCCCACGAGAGAGTGTGTATGTGTGTGTATATGTGTGCATTTGTGTGTGTGCATGCGTTTGATAGTGGTGCACAGATGTACGTTCCGCTGGGGCCCCTCCCCATGTTATATATGTTCCCTCCCCCTTTTCCTTTATATCGCCGCCCCACCCTCGCGGCCTTGTTTTACCCCTTCAGGCATGAAGGACATGCCCGATGTGTTCACTCCCTTCCGTGAAAAGGTGGAGAAGCGCTTCCCGGTACGGAAAGACCTGCCGCTGCCGCAGAAGGGTGACCTGCCGCTGCCCCCGACGGAAGCACTCCCCGCCGCCGCGGCAGCGGCCCTGGCGGCGGCCCCGCCCACGTGGGAGCAACTGCCGTACCCGCCAGCGGCGAGGCCTCCGCCGCCCACCAAGCATCCTAAAGCGGTGCTGGACTTCAAGTAGGTTTCCGGGGTGGCGGACGGGGAACGTGGAGCCATGGGTTATTACAAAATATGGGGTCTTGGGGCCTGCTTGTCTGTGCCACTGGGTCCCTCCTGCCCGCATCTGCCCGTTGGCTAAGCGACCACACCAAGCTAGGCCTGATGCGGTTTGGTGACGCATGGCTTTGCGGGGGGGGGGGGGAAGTGGAACTGACATCCTTTGTGTAACAGCGGAAAATTTATCACGAGGCGTAGAAGGCTTTGCCGCAGGAGGCTCTCACTACAGTTTTCACCACTGCATCTTCCCTAGAGAGGTTTCACTCACTTTAACTCTGAGGTCGCGTACGCGAAAGGTGCATTCATATCCACATTCGGTCATGCTTCCGGCCCCTCAGGCCTGCTCAGCGCCTTGAGGGCAGCCTCAACCTGATCCCCGCCGTCCATGGTCCATTCCACCGCGTTACCCAACGAAGCAGCGCACCTAATTAAACAGCGTAACAGCACTAAGGATAAGGAAAGGGCGGTTTTCTGTTGCTCCGGCCCATTCCTACGACGATGTCTACCGAGCCAACTTATCCACTTGCCACACATGGTGGTGCATTCCGCGCCCTACCAGATTGTCACATGGTGCGTTGGGAACGTTAGAAAGTACGACGTTGGTGGGTCATGCAAACCGGAGGTGTGCATGTATCCTGCGTTATGGCGCCGCCCGGCAGTTCCCCCTCACACGTCCTTGCCCGGTTGCGGACGCGCTTGTATCATCACAAGGAGACCCTCTGCTCTATCCTACTTGAGACGCCACTAGTTGCTTTTGCGGCTCTTTTTACCCATGTAAGGCAAGCCGGGCTTGTGGCGAGAGAGGCAGGAAGCACTCCGTTGGCGGCTTGCAGCTGCCACAGCGTCCTCTGGGTTGTAGCGAAACACGGCGCAGCCGTCGCGCTTCTCGCCCGTCGGGACGTAGCCACGTTGCACCCTCAGGGCCTTAGTGACCCCGTGCCTCCATCTGGGGACTGTTCGGTACCGGAAGTGAGTCCGCCTATCCAGCAGCGGTGCTATGTGGGGGTCCCCCTCTAGGTACGCACATACGTCAAACAACGTGCCCTGGTGATCAGGCAAAAACTGGAAGGCCTTGCGAGTCCATGCTGCGTAGGTAGCACCCTTGCTGCTGCTGCGTTTCTGCTTCAGGACCACTTCATCTGGAGAGACCCCGTGCTCCAGCTGTATGCGTGTTGAGGAAAACTTTTCCCTGATTTTTCTCTCCAGTTTTTTGTCATGATCCGGAATCCTGTCCCAACCCAGCTCCTGAAAAAGCTTTTCCAAGGGTGGCGGCCCGGTGGGGTGCTCCATCGCCACCCTTACCATAAGGTCTTTTTCGTGAGGCTTCCACGTGTACCTCTTAGCCAGCGGCGAATGCGCATCGTTGAAATCAAACAAAGGGCCCAAGACCAGCTGCGCCGTGCTTGCACAGTTTGTTGCTTGATTACCGAATTGCGTTTGGAAAACTGCTTGCAAAGTGCTGGCATGTCTCACTGCATTATTGACGATGAGGGAAGCAGCTTGGCTAGCTTTGAACGACAGCTGCGGCATTGGCTTAAGAGTCCCGTCTGTCCCGCATAACCTGCATAATATAAGAGCAACAGCAAAATAGTGGACTCCGTAAAGCGCATGTGTGCGTAGTCGGGACGTTTTGGCGTTTGACGTTTTAATTACAAGCTTCTTGAGCTTGTACGGCCCAAACGAGTCAAGAGGCTTATGACTGCCTGGTGATCATCACAGACCCGACACCACCGTGCTGCACGCTCCCTGCCGTGTGGTCGGTTGACAGCCAGCGCCTAGACACACGTTCTGGCGCATCAGTGTACGTGCTGTTTCGGCGACATATAACCGTCTCAGTGCCTAACCGGGTGTTTCCACTGAAAAGTTTGTTAGCGACGTTTTTGAAAATTCTCACCCGGCACCTCGCCTTTGCTCACTTTCTTTTGCAATATCGCTTATTCTATATAAATGTATGATAGAAATGAAAAGGGAATGTTGGGAGGCGAAGGAACGGCGAAGAACGTAGGGCCCATGTGGAAACAGGGGCCTTGTTAGCGGTCCAATAAGTCCATAAAAGTTATAGGACCCCCGGACCAGCCAATAAGGTCCGATAACTTTGAGCGCGAAAATTTTGTGAGCTCCTTTTTGAAATCTACTTGCACCCGGTCTTCTGTACACTTTCAGTCTACAACCCTGACTGCTTGCCGGCCTGCGTCGTTGACCGAACCGAAAATGTCGCAGAACCAGTCGCCCTCGCCGATTCCTTCTGGCAATATGCCCTCTGCTATCCATAACGCCTTTATGGCAACGATGCAGCAGCCCCTGCAGGGCGCGCCGTCTCTTCGCTTCGACGCCGATGTCCATGCTGCCGCCCAGGCCGCTTCGCAGAGCATCACCTCCGAGCTGCAGCGCTACAATGTACTATACTGACTACAATATTGTCCTCGAATTAGGGTGTTTTGGCGCTAAATGACGTCCAAAAAGATGGTTTCGGGGCTACTAGTGGAAACACCATTTTGTTAGGGTTTGTTAGCGCGCCAATAACTTTTTCGCGGCTAACAAACAGACTCGACAGTGGAAACAGGCCCTAAGTTGCCCCATCCACCGCAGGTATCGGCACATCTTCACCCCGGTTGCCTGTTGTTGGAAACGAACACATGTGTTTCCACCGCCAAGCTCTCACTACCCCAGTCCTCATTAAGTCGGTCTCGGATCATCGATTTATGTTTAGGACATGCTCTTCAGCGTTATGCTCTAGCTTCAAAACCTTCACCCCTACTGATAAGCTTCATTCCCCAGACATCGTCTGATAAAGAACAAGTGAAGGCGAGGCGGAGCTATTCGCGAAAGCAGTATCCTGAAACGAATATTCGAAGTAGCAACACCGATGCTCCTGGTGGGGGTAGTCACCACTCCAGAGCCCGGAGGACCCTGTCGGGGCGTCTGACATTGAGAACTGCGCATGGCTCGTCCAGCGGTCATAGATGCCGATGGCCCATCCATGCGAGCTTTGCAACACGAAGGTTAAGGCATTCATGCCTTCACGCCACTTTTTTTAGGCAAAAATGGACTGTGGAGCCGCAAAAAACCCTCATGCTTCCTGCGGCACGGCGTCCGCTCAACCACCGCGTCACATCCGCAGCGCACCCATTGTACCTCCCCATCTGCCTTTACCGCTCTCATCTCCAAGCACTCACCCATGCCAATTCTACGTCGTTATGCACACCCGGCCACGGCAGCAGCGATCTCCCCTTCCACTGCCCCGGGCCATAAGCACACGCCACGCTTCTCCCCCACAACCCCGCCGCCCCACGCCGACTCCCCGTCAGGCACCCCTCACCCTGATCTTTTTCCCATTCCTCCCCTTCGACCACCTATCTCCTCTCTCCTCACACACCATGCACTCCCCTGCATCCCCTCCTACCCCGTCCAGGGGCGGCGAGACGGCGGCTCTGGCCCGGCTGCGCTACTATCTGTGGGACAGCGACCTGATCGCCTCCTACTTCGACACTCGCAACGGCATGTTGGGGGGAGACTACTCCACCAAGTTCGCCCCCTGGCTCGCGGCGGGATGTATCAGCCCCAGGAAGATCTACCGTAGGTTTGATCAGCGATTGCGATTGCGGTGGCGCGTTCGTGTCTGTATGTGAGAACGAGTGGTGGTGCTGGCACGTGTACGTGTTTACAAGGTTGTCGGGTTGCGGTTTTGTGTGCTTTATGTGGGAGTGTGTGGTGTGTGGCTGGCTGTGTGCGTGTGTGCGTATGTGTATGTCTCTGCAAGGGAGCAAGGGACTTTACATCCAGTGACTCCAAGTTGAGCTCTCTGCCGCGATATCCTTTCCTGGCCCCACCTTTCCCGTCCACCACCACCCTCTCTCCTCTCCACCTCCATCCGCCCCTCGACCTGCCCCCTGGACCCCCTGGACCAGACGAGATCCGCAAGTACGAGGCCCAGCGGCAATCCAACAAGTCCACATACTGGGTCATATTCGAGCTCATTTGGCGGGATTACTTCAGGTGGGCTGTGGTGAGGGGGTGAGGGGGACTTGCGGGCGGAGGTGTTGGAGGTGCGGGTATGAGGGAGCGTGCGGGGTGGGAGCTGGCGCAGAAATCTAAACACAGCTGATTCGCAAAAGTGAATATGACACGGGTTCCTAATTTCCGCTCTCCCCTTCCCCTCTACACCTCCGCGCTTCCCCCCAAACCCCAACCCCAACCTCTTCCCCGCCCAACCCGCCACAGGTTCTTCGCGCTCAAGCACGGCAACCGCATCTTCTTTGAGACGGGAACTTCGGGTCTCCCCTTGGTTTGGAATCCGGATCCAGATCTGTGGCATCGGTGGCGGGACGGCCGTACGGGGCTGCCCCTGGTAGACGCCAACATGCGCGAGCTGGCGGCTACGGGTGTGTGTGTGTGTGTGCGTGTGAGGGGTTGTTTGGGGGGTTGTTTCGGAGCGTTGGGTCGCCGCGGGTCGGTCGCCGGTGTTCCCCACAGATGAGGACTTCCCGTAGCACGGCATCAACAATGTGATGGTCCTACAGGTCCTGCGTGTTTTATGGGTCCGTCTCTTCGATACTACCACTTCCATTTCCACCACCACCACCACGACCGCCGCCGCCACTGGCCCAGCACCAAGGGCACAGGTACCGCCTTCTGGCTGTGCCCGCACGCCCAATGATTCTCACCCTTGCCTGGCCAGGCTTCATGTCCAATCGTGGCCGTCAAAACGTGGCGTCGTACTTGGTTCTGGATCTCGGAATCGACTGGCGGCGCGGCGCCGATTACTTTGAGAGCCAGCTGTTGGACTACGACGTGACTTCCAACTGGGGTAACTGGGTGGCGGCTGCCGGGCTGGCGGGGGGCAGGATCAACCACTTCAACATTGCAAAGCAGGCAAGTGATGTTGGAGCGTTTCGGATTGGGGGAGGGGTATTTCAGGCTGAACAAAGCCGCCGACGCAGACGTAACATTTAGGGGGCTGTCGGTCAGCAGCCGTTTTAACCAACCTTACCAACCCAACTAACCCAACCAACCCAATTTCCCCCCCCCCCAGTCCAAGGACTATGACCCCCAGGGCGACTACGTCCGCACCTGGTGTCCGGAGCTGCGCCATGTGCCGGTGGGCAAGGTGCATGAGCCCTGGCTCATGAGCAAGGAGGAGCAGGAGAAGGCGGGCTGCAGGTAGGGTGGGGCCGTGCGTGTATGTATGTATGTACGGTGTATAAGGTGGGTCTTATTACTTGGACATGTATACAAACACACACACAAACCTGTACATTTACCCGACTGACCTGGGCCCCCGTGCAGGATCGGTGTGGACTACCCGAACCCCATTTCCGTGTCCAGACACGGTCGGCCACACGCCAGCTCGGGTGGGTATGCGTAGGGATGTGCGAGGGCGTGTATTTTTGTAGACATGCATGTATGTGAGTACACTTTTGCACGTGTGCTTGGCTTGGCTTGTTTTCATAGGTACAAAGCACTTGATTTTGAGAGATCTCGAAACATTTCGCAAATGGGAATTCTGTCCTTCAGAACGCAGCACAGCAACCCGGTCGGCAGCGGTAGCCTAATGCGCGCATGTGCCGCGGGCGTTTCGTTACCAGCACTGCCGTTAGCGTATGGCAGGGACCGAGGCGGCAAGTGAAGGCCCCGCGAGTGGCGCCGTTTCGGGTGTGAGGGGGAGAACATCGACTTTGGGAGGGGGATTGGGGGCGGGGGTGGGGGTGCCCCGGTGGGAAACGTTCCATGGCATCCCTCCCAGCCGGGGGTTGCTTTGGACGTCAGTTGGCCCTTTGCTTCTTCCTGTGCCATTACCAAATGCTCCCCACCCACCCCCGCGGAAGGTGGTTTTTCCCCGCGTTTAAACTCCCCCGGTGGCCACGGCTCGTGCTTGTGCGGTGTGCCACGACCCAGGTGGCGGCGGCGGCGGTGGTCGTCCAGGCAGTGCTCGTCCGCAGTCAGGTCGTGGCGGGAGCGGCGGCCGTGGCGGCGGGTACCGCAAGTCTGAGTTCGAGCGTTACAAGTGACATGTGAACGCAGAGAGAGCACCGGGTGGTTGTCCTAGTGAGGACCCATTTCCCACCACATGACAATCAGAGTTTGTATGTATGTATGGCACTATGAGAGTTCCGCTCCGAGGTTCGTACATTCGGCAGAGAAGTGTCCGATTGCGCAGTAGCAGGGTGCAGGTGACATAGCGGCAGCGGTGAGGTGTGGGAGCTCACGGTTCTCGGAAAAATGGATTGGACCTCACCTCCACTGTAGGGTCTGCATGAATACGTAGCTTAGCTGTCTGCGGGCTGCGTAACGAAGTTGAGTCATGGTGTCGTACAATGGTGGTTCAGAGCAGCGCGGAGTTGAAAGAGGGGTGAATTCGAAGCGGGCGATAAACGCGACACGTACTCTCAACGCTGACTATCTATCTGTCTGTCTGTCCGTATATGTGTGTGTGTTCGTTGTGATTACGTGACCATTACGGATCAGGTCATACGGTCAGAATGTGTATCGAGAGTGTTTTTGTGCCTTCCGAGTGGAGCGACCTCATCGGCCATCCCAGGGGATCAATCCAGAGCACCCAGTACCCATAACCCCTAGCAGTCGCAGCAGCAGTAGCAGCAGCAGCAGCAGTAGTAGCAGCATAACACACGGGTGGGAGCGGTACGCACCAATCCGTGCCTACTTAGGGCGGGCGGCCGCTATCACAGAGATTGCTTTTTTCCAACACAAAAACTTGGCCGCGTTTGGCACACCACCGGCCATTCGTGCATTCTCTCTGCACCTCGCTCGATCCGGATTGGGATTTGGGTTCGTGAGAGTTCGGGTTCAGGCTCGGGTTCCGAGGGAAGGGCGCGAATGAACGAACAGCTGCTTCCTCCTTAGTTATCCTTCGTTGATCCCAGATCACCATTGGCCCTCCTTCGCCCTGCACCGCCTCACCACTTCTCTCCTCCACACATACACATGGTCACACGCACGCAGCCCCCTCTCCCCCTCCGCACCCTTCCGCCCTCCCTCCTCCGCCCTGCCGAGTGGCCTATTGCACTTCTCCGCTGCTACTGCCACCGCTGCTGGTCCCGGTGCTGCTACTGCTGCCATCACTGCCGCCAGACGCCGCCGCCGTCCGCACCGCCAGTGGCACAAACGGCATCTGCTGTGCCAGCATGCGCATCACTGTGCCGTACGTAGGGTGTTTGACCTCCTTGTACGGCAGTTTCAACATGGCCTCCACCACCTCCATGGACTGGCTGTCCGCCAGTGTCCCCCACACGGTCATGGAGGAGCCCCACAACTCGTGATCCATCACGTTGATGAAGAACCTGAACACCGAGGGGCGGGAAGGCTGATTGCTGGTGTGGGGTCGCGGGTTGCGGGTTGTTGGTTGGAGAGAGAAGACCGCCACAGCGGTCCGTGGTTATGGTTGCGATGTGGTGGTTATGCTTCGGGGTGTGGTGGTTGTGGTGGTTGTGGGTCATCGTTAGGGCCCCTGGGGGCCCCTCCCGCTCGCTCTGCCTCCTTCCCAACCTGCCCGCCGCCATCCCACGCTTTCTTTCGCTCCTCCGCCCCAAAGCCCTGAGTCTACACGCGTCCTCCCCCCCATACCGCCCCAGGAGGCGGAAACTCACTCTCTCGTCCCGGGTATCATGGCCACGTGGCCGCGTCTGTACGGCAGGGACACACCATGGGCCAGGGCAACCGGGAGCGCGGCTGTCAGCGATGTTGGGGTCGGGGGGGATCCAAGGCGGAGGATCGTCGAGGAAACAGTCGACAGGTTGCTCCCAACTCTGGCATCATAACAGGTATTAGCCACGCAAACCCCCGCTCGCCCCTCCCATCCCCTTAACCGGCAACTTCCATCAAACCCGTCCCCTCTCCCCTTGCCATCCGGTCGCACTTTCCACCCACCCGCCTTCCTTTCCCTCCTTCTCCACAACCTACCTCATGGCTATGTCGCCGCCCTCCTTCTCCGGGATCTTGAGCAACCCCGCCAAACTTCCCTGGAGCAGTCCGTATGGGGGACCCGAAGAACCGTCCTGCGACCCGCGGGTCCGTCGGTAAAAAGAGCAGTGGGTGGGTCACAGACTCACAAAAACACATAACCCGACAGGGGCATGACAGGGCTCAGGGATTTCGGAGCCAGTAGGGAACCTCAAGTCGAATGCCAACCCTCTGTCAAGAAGGACATCAAGTTGCGCGGTTGCAAGGACGCCACGGAGGGAAACGTGGACCCCTACGACCCACAACACACGCTGTAATAACAACAACTACACACCTATACTGGAAACTTGGTGTCTACCACCAAAGGCCGCACCAACAAAACAGCTAATCAACCCGTACACCTTCGTACATCATGTGCAGCAAACGAAAAGCATGTTACCAAGAAGCCAGCCGCAAACGTTTAGCTTCAGCTTCCGTCTCAATGCGCACACCCACATTCGCAACCCCCCAATTCCCCCTCGTCACACTGCACACCTGAGGCACCGCCTCGTTGCGGTAAAAGTTACAGGTATGGCAAGCGGCTGGGTGGTGCGCCAGCTCCAGGACCAGGGAGCTCGTTAGCGGGGCCCGTTCAAAATCTGGCGTGATCCGGATCTGCCGTACAGGCGCAAAGGAACGGGGTACGACACGGAACGTGATGGTATATTAATCCTCGATCACACAGAACCACCAATTCGGTATCAAAACGGTTACCTCGGGAAAAGTGTCATGGTCGAATGCAAGCTGGCCAATGTGGGAGGACGCTGAGGTGCAACCCGCCACCCTCAGGACCTCCTGCGGGACCCCCTGCCCTCCCTAGTAATGAAATGAGCCAGTGGAGTGCTCCCACGAAGTCTGGCCGAACAGCTATTCGAGTAGCGTTATACACGCCCACATTCACGCAAACGTGAGCCTTGCTGGTGTGTGCTGGACACCCGCGACGGCTGTCATGCGGGCATTGTGGTGCTGTTTTTACGGGGAGGCCGTGCACGTCATCATCATCACCATCGGCAGCGGCACCATCAACAGCAGCGTGAAGCTAGCTTTGGGGAGGGCTCTGTCCCCGGCATGCATCTCGAAGAAGGTTTTAAGAAACCACGGATCTGAGCTGCCAGCGACCCAAAACCTTCTGATCATACCGGTGCGGGTGGGGGAGGAAGGGGTTTTCCGTGCTGACCGCCGTTGCAACTGGCAGCGGCAGGGCACTGTAGACTGGCTGTCGGGGTTCGACACCACGGTAGGTGACAAAGCGCTGGGCAGGGAAGGGGGTGGAAGGGGACCGATGGACCAGCAGCAGGGGCAACAGGGCCGATCCCCGGTGCCTGGCATGCTCACAGCAACGGAAGTTGTGTCTCTCCTAGCTGTTTCTGTTATTACGCTGCGACTTTGTTGCTGTGGATGGACCGCGGTGGGGCAGCTGAGCTTTTCCCTCCGGCTACACCCTGCATGCCTACTGAACTTCTTATCCCGGGTGAGAGGTGATTCGGGGCAACATTGACCCCGCTTCCAAGAAGCCCGCTGCACCAAGCCCGACTTTCAAGTGTTGCGACCCGCTGTGGTGGGGTGAGCCCGCAAACCCGCGCACGCTGCAAACTCTGCTTCCCACCTGGCCCAAGGAGCAGTTGAGCACTAGCATTTCGCCGGTATACTCCCGGGGATTGATCTCAGGAGCCTGACATTGCTTGCAAGCCAGCGGGCATCGAGTAAGCATGTACTTGGGGTTCCCTTCACACTCGCCCTTATCGGCCCAGTCTTGGCATGCAGATTCCTCGTCGCGGCAGTCGCCCTTTTCTGACCAGGTTTCAAATGCATTCTGCCTATCGGTTGCCGCGTGTGCGAGTTGGGCAAAAGCTAAAGCGCAACAGAGCGCGACAACCGTTATCGTTGAAAACATCCGTGTTTTAAGAAGTTAGATCATTAAATTGTATTTAACGACGAAAATCTCACGCAATCCTTCACGCGAATTAAGCTGAGTGGGACGGCAAAATGAAGTGGTAGACATATGTGCGTCCAAGACAACCAAGAACAACCAGAATACCAAGAACAACTGTCGCATAAGAACGAGAAAACAATTCTGCCTATGCCTGCGAAGACATAACGCACAAGCCTCCAACCAAAAAAATGCCGTGCAGCACTCGTGCATGCAGCAAAATAGCAAATGCTCAAAACTGAACTTCGCAAGCTAAGACAGTCTTATCTTTCCTGTGCCATGTGTGCTCATGCGCACGCATCAGGGTAGATACATTTCCACAGCTGGATCATGCTCTTGGCGTCGGTAACCTTGAGATCCGCTGGCATGGATTCAACACGCTGCGAGCAGGGCAGGACAGGGAGATACTGTTGGACAAGAAACTGATAGCAAATGCGCAAGGTGTCACGTGGACCATAACAGCGTCTAAGGGTGCATTTCCAGTGCGGATTAAGGCCAGGGATTAACCCTCTGTCCTTCATCGATACTTGCTCAAACGGCTTAGATGTTGGCAAACTTACCTCGCCTTTTCAACCTTTGGTTCCCTTATGGAACAAAACTATGTGGTTAGCTCGTACCAAGGACTTCCGTGCCCTAATCCCTGGCCTTAATCCGCACTGGAAATGCACCCTAAAACAAGCAAAGCCACCTTACCCGACAATACCAACGAGCGCCACGTTTGTGTCACTCCTTATAACAGCTGCATCCAGATAAAGAGAACGGCGGACTGCGGTATCGCAACCGCGGAATCGATACCGAAAGCTATGTTTTCCTTCCAAGAAGTCCACCTCTACGGTCCATTTCATGAAAGGTGTACATCTAGTGTACCGCAAACAAGAGAAGCTTCTCCTTCCACACTTCCAGCCCAAGGCGTACGGAGACCCTCTTCCCCGGGCCAGTCTAAGCCAAGAGGCCCAAGCACCGCACCAAGCCAAGATTGACTCCGGGCTCTCCCCTACCCCTACGCCCTGGATCCAGCACCGAAGGCTTCCCTTAAGCCGTCCTCTCGGCAAAATGCAATCCTGCTCACCAGCTTGAGCAGCACGCCATCCTCCACAACCGCGGCGTAGCGCTGGCACTTGGGACCCGCGCTCTCAAGTGTGCCAATCTCCAGTCCCAGCAGCCGCACCAGGCCCCCATTTCGGTCCGCCAAAAGCTCCACCTGTCAACACCATCGCCGCCAAATGGGGTCAGAACAAACTCGGCAACGACACAGACCAGGTCAGATAAGCGTATAAAACCACTGACAGAGGAGGAAAGCCGCATCCAACAGCGCCAGAAACCACCCCGGAAAAAAAGGAACATGTGAAGAATACGACAATTAACACAACACCTGTTCCGTATTAAGATGGCCTCATGGGGCAGGCCATGTTATGGAGGTGAGCACGGAGAGAATGGGGTTGATGGCGGTAACATGGCGCCCCGTTAGGCTGTGCGCCGTTAGGCGGTATGCACTGAGTCGTGAACAATGCACCATCAGTTGCAAGTTCGTTATAAGAGAGGTGGACAACTGTAGATGAAACCCCATAGTGCGGCTGCTACTACGAAGCGAGGCGGTGACCAGGGGGGCGTTGCAGGAGGTGCCTCACGGACGGCAGCAGGCGCTCATGTGCGTTACTGAGTCCGTCCCAGGGCCACTCTGCCGCAGACTGGATGTCTTGCGCCTCGGCGAGCCTGCCAACCAGCCCTTGTCACTTTCCAGCCCTGTATAGTCCATTGCTCTGCATTGCGGCCGCACCAGAGCCGCCGCCCTTCTGAAACCCACTGCCGAGAGCAGCCACTGGGATCCTCAGTGCAGCGGGTCTGAACCAGATCGCCACGCCAATCGCATTCGTTTCCACGAAAAGCCGTCAGTAAAGGCCGCCAGTGGGCTCCAGGTAAGCCCCTAGCTACAAGCTCGGAAACCCCACGACCAATGCCATGGAAGTTCCTACTCCAACCAGCTAGACCTCGTTTATTCAGAAGCGAAGATGCGCGTCATGGAAGATTCGGTCTGCCTGTGGTCAGGAATTTCTACTTTCTTTCAGACTTAAACGGCAGATCGACGCCTCCTTCCCCTCCTCGCGACCCCTGGAGGAGCTGCCCTGCCAGCCCTCCCTTGACACCAACCAGGACGGGGCCCCGGCGTCACATGGAATCCCTGACCAGCGCAAGCTTAAGAAGTGCGCCAGACCAGGCTAGAGCTAAACTCGTGCAGGGACACGGGCCGAGAGGGTTCGCGGGTTTTAAAACTTATTTCCATCGGCAGCCTGGTCAGAACCCAGCGCCTGAAGGTTGAAGGGGATTCACTCACCTTGCTGCTGCCGGTGGCTCCCAGCTTGGTCGCCAGCTCGGCTACCTTGGCTGGGTCATCCACGGTCACACACAGCACTTTGTCCACGCCCATGCTACCTAATTTGTCCGCCTGAATCAGGGGCACAATACGATAAGATGAAAAGTCAGTATGTATCATACGATTCGGAGGGATCTTAACTGGTGTTTCAGCCATGCCATGTCCGCGCCATACCTGGGCGATATAACCGGGGATGTGCTGTTCAACACAAACTGGACCGCCGGGAAATCCCACGAGAACCACCTTCTTGCCCTGCTCGGGAATACGACACGGGCAGCCAGACAAATCGGACGAGGACAGACACAGAAGCATGAGTCAAAGTCGCGAACTGATGGCACGTGCGCTCCAGGTGTACACGTGGGTTTATTGGCTCGCGAGGCACTGGGGATGCTTGCCTTGAAGACGTCGCCGAGAGCTAACTGCTTATCGTTTTGCCAAAGGCGAAGATCTTGGCGCAACGTAAGGTCTCTGCGCCGCCCGAGTCCGATGTGGCACACCGTTGGGCTGAGGTCCGAATTGAGGTGCCCATCCGGCACAGCGCCCGCTTTACGGAGCTCTGCTGCCGCTGCAAAAAGGCGTGTGGCTTGGTGGTTCAAGCCTTCTCTTTGAGCGAGCCCAAAGGCCAATCGGAAGATGCTAGGCGCGGAACGGTTCATAGTAGCTTTCTTGCACTATCTATAGATCTGCAGAGCGATGCAACTGCCCCCAAAGGAAACACTATCGAGGCCATAAACGTAATTGACTAAGAAATGGTTGTGTGCGGAGCAAATGAGAAACGGAGGCAATGTCGTACTTGCATTTGGTCGCAGTTTGGCGTATGAGCAGTGTGGTCATGCTTCATCCTATATTTTGTAAGTCTTCTGTCTGAGCACATTCCTAAACCGTCAGGAGTGTTGGGTGATTAAATCCCGAAGCTTGCGTCTCGAACTTTACCATCGGTCGAGGCAAAGGAACGCTCCAATGCCACGGTTATTGCTACGGGGCGGGTAGATAATTGCTCTATGAGACAATTCGTAGCTGTCTATTGGTTTAAATTTCACTTGCGCACAACTAGCACTCAAATAGGCGCGAGTTGACAAAAGTCAGGGAGCGACCGTTGCAGCCTTCTGGCGATTAGGGCTACATTTTTGCAAAGTCTCGGGCTCCCTGGCGGGCGCCCTGGAGGACGAGCAGCCCTGGCGGATGACCACCAGCAGCAGCTAACGGAACTGGAGGGCCCCGCACCGTCTCCGATCTGCAAGCTGGGTCTGCCATGCGCATGCCGGTGCTGAGCCAACCTGTCGTTGATGGCATCGACTGGGGCATCGTCGGTGTTGCAGGGTGCCTGCTGCTGGTCAGCGTTGTCGGGGCGCTCCTAGCTCTAAGATACTCCAGCTCCAAACGCCGCCCTGTGGCCCGCGAGTTCAACTACCTATGGCGCGTCCGGGCGTTCACGGAGCTCCTAGCAGCTGGATATGCCCTCGCGCACCTGCTCAGACTGCAGGTGCTGTGGGGCCCGGCGTCCGTGTTCAAGGCCGGTGGCTACCACCCGACCTCATTATGCCGCGTGTACATCGCAGCCACCTACGGGGTGTTCGAGCCGGGCTTCCTGCTTCTTGCGCTGTTTGCCTGTCTGTACTCCGTACAGGGTCGCGACTCATCAAAGCACCCCAACTTCAACATCGTCGTCTTCTCCACAGCCCTCTCCCTTCCCTCCTGCGCCATCCAGCTCGTCGCTGCGCTCTTCACTCGTATCTTTGACCTCAATTATGCCAACAACCGCATGCTTGGTCGCCTGTTTTCAGCGTATGACACATCCCTGCATCAGCACTGCGATGCAGTCGGCAGTGCTGGAACCGGCGACCCCACAGCAATCGCCAACTGCGCCTTCTGCGTCTTCCCGCTCCTCTCCACCTTCGCCTCTACAGCCCTCTCCGCCGTCTTCCTCCTCGCCTTTTGGCTGGTCACGCAGCGCATCGCCGCAACAGTCATCAACAAGGCGTTATCGCGACGTGTACGCATGCTACAGGCCTCCGTAACCTTATGGATAATCGTCAGCCTCGCCTGCCGCGGCTGCACCGTGTTGTTTCGGCCTTTCGATCTGGGTTTCGAAGTCCTGCGTGCGGCACATGTGTTGGCAGTCGCTGCACTGGTGATTACCCTCGAGTTCTTCCTAGTCCTGAAGCCCGTGTGGGACACGCACGTAGCCGACCGCGCCGTCAAGCGCTTTGAGCGTCAGGACACGGGCGGCCTACCACAGCCGCTACTGCCAAACCCGCTCTATCCGCCCACAGAGCTGCAGCTTCTGGAGTCGTCCACTTCGACACGGCAGCATGGGGAGGAGGAGCGGGTATAGGTTGTGGCGGCCAGCAGATCACCTGCCTTCCGTCGTGCGCCTTGAGCCTGCAGTGCTTCTTGCTTCTTCACTAAGGCCCATATCCTTGTAGAGGCCGTCCTCGTTCCCCGAATTGCAGCCCCAAAACTTTAACCCGCGGGTCTCAGTGCCATGCGGGTTGAAATTGTGCACCGCGGACCCAGGCATGAAACCCAGATGCGGCTGATGGAGGGGAGCGCTCCGGTGCCCGGGTCTCTAGGGCGGTGTGTTGCAGCGGACCGGTTGGGATTTCATGGCGTATCCGGAGATGAGGGAGATGATGCTGCGGAAAGAGGGCAAGGAAGAGGAGGAGGAGGACTTTTGAGTAGCTGTACCTTCTCCGCATGGTTGCCATGCGGAGCGTTGGCAGGGCTGGACCTGAGGAGGGTTCAAGAAGAGGGCTGAGAGATAGGGAGGCAAGGAGGTAAGGGGAGTGGGGTGCTGCCCAGACGGTGACGGTTAGGCGGCCGCGCTCCCCTGTAGTGACGGTCACACAGGGCAAGACATGTGGCTGTGAGCGAGGCTGAAGAGGGGAAGGGCTTCAGAAGGTTAGCGCGATAGGGCCAAAGTACGTGAGGGGGGAGTGCTCGGAATCCGAGCTATGGAGTGGGCGAGGGTTTTAAAAATCATCAGGCCCGCCCACCGGCATGGCCGTGCTCGTTCATGGGAACGGCGGGTGGATCGGCGGGTGGAAATAGGACCTCAGGACATGAGCGGTGCTTCGGGGGCAGCCATCTCAGAGGCGCAAACCTGGGCTGCCGCGTGTGCACGTGTGCCGCGGCTGCCGGAAGTGTAGTAGCCGGTGAACGCGCTGTCTTCTTCCCGGGGATGTTGGGCAGCCTGGGAGAGACAGCGGCCATCTGGCTGGGCACTGATGTCATGGATATGGAACGAGGGGGCATTGGACTGTCCGCGACTAGTGAGGACGCACGTTGGCTATATGCAAGCAAAACATGCGTCGCTGCTGTGCCTGCTGGTTATGATGATGATGTATGATGTATGGATGTTAGCTGCTGTCGTTACACTGATTACGGCGGTGGTGATGGTTGCCGCTGTTGTTAACTGTTCGACGACGATGCAGCTGCTGCTGCCATCGATTTCTGCGTACTGCCTCTCATTCGCTTGCTTTTCTTGTTATCTTGGTTGACATCGGCAACCGCTTGGCTGCGGTAAACCTAATGATGGGGAACGTATTAGTTATTGCTTTCCTGGGTGGGGCCTAGGGAACAAAAGGTTTCTCTAGGTGCCTGACTTTCTCCTGACGCCAATGTTTCCTTGCGTAGCACATTGGCCTATGGTTGCCCGCACTAGCAACTTCACGTGTGGGATTCAGGCGGAGGCGGGGTCTGTATACAGCAACGGAGGGAAATACGTTTGGACGCTGATTGGCTGCGCGATCTAGCAGGGTTGTGGACTTGGGCCAGCTGACGGCTGGGATATAGTGCTTTTGATTGTCGTGTGTACTGATTAGGCAAGCTGACGGTATGTTTAGCTGACAGAATGACGTGGCTCCGTGACGAAGAGGATGGGGAAGCAAGAAGAAACCCTAAGTTGAAAGGAGGCGCATAAGCTATTATGATGCATGAAGGACGGGGCCACTTCAGGGGCGGCCCAAGTATGTTTCAGCTGCACAGGGTCGAGACTGAAGAGTGTGTGGTGGCGGTGCTGTGGCTGCGGCCCGTTCAGTTGGTTGCACGAGGTGTGCCGCACGGAGGAACGCTGCTTCGCTTTTGCTGGGACCGCGTGAATTCGTTGCGTGGGCTTGCGCTTGATGTCAACTTGGGCTTTGTGTAGATGAATACCAGGGTTGTATGTGTATGTGTGGTCGTGTTGATGTGCAGCTGCACGCGACATTCCGACACATGCATGGTGACTGTGCAAACGACATGAATCGTATTCTTAACGGACGTATCTCAGCAGGGAAGCGAGGATTAGGGAGGTGTGCGTGTGGTGGTGCTCCCGCTCAGCTGTAGAGGTGCCGGGAGTGAACAGGCGAGGGCTGCCCACCGAAGGCGTCCTCGTGGAGGCCCCAGGCGCCTGGGTTCCGTGCAGATGGCTCCGAGAGGTGCGCTGGCCCAGGGTGACTCGGATGCCGTTGTGCGTGTTGACAACAACGGCACAAGGAGCAGTGAGGCGTTGGCGAGGCGCGCATAGAGTGCTTGGCTGGTGCCAAACAGTGACGGTAGGGATTTGACTTGGCAGCGTGCCGGAGGGGATTATGTAGTGGGGCCGACATTAGGAGGGGGTGCGGCCCACAGCCACCTCTTGAGGAGTGAGCAGGGGGATTTGGTAGGGGCATGTGTCTGTGTGTCTGTCTGCATAAATATATATTATGATGGTGCCGTGACTAACGGAGGTTTGGGATGTATTTTTTGTTTGGCCCATTGCTGTGCGCCATCGCGCTGCTCGTCTGACCCCACTGACGCTGCTTGCTGTGCGGCTGGTGGTTGGATGGGCTTGTGTTATGGACAACTTTCGGATGTTCCCGGGGTCGGGGCTGCTGTTGCGATGGTGTCATAACTGCATACTACTGCTGCTGTGAGTGATAGATAGTCCAGGGCAGCCGCACCGAAGGCGGCATAGTGATTTAAACAAATTGGCAGAGAGGATGTCCATCCAGGTTACTAGGTAGGAGAGTATGCTGCTGCACGCCGCTTGTAGCGCACTGAGGAAACCTAGGAAGACTACGCCAGAAGAGGTACGGTTTGTCTAAATTGGACACGTAACGCCATGTATTATGTGTAAGCCAGTGGTCAGACGGATTTCTTATGGGAGCAAACTGGCAAGTAGTGGCGGCTTTGGGACTCCTGATAAGACGTAAAAGGAACCTCCGCCACGAACGCTAATATATTGGAAAAAGGGTTTTGCACGGATGGTTTTGCAGAGTGTGATAGTAGTCCATCTGCCGTGACGCACAGCCATGGCGCTCTTAATCTACCGTCGTTTCTACACAGATTGAACTAGCAGCACGGGCAGCGCTTGACATCACGAACTGACAGTAGAAAAGTCGGGTGCTCGCGTGTTGCTAGCCCCAAAAGCAGCACGGGTGGATAAGCAACCGAAACACTTGAGCAAAGCGTTACCCACTTCACCAACATCTCAGGATGACAGCAGACGTGCACATGTATGGTACAGTATGTGTCCACATGCGTCCGACCTACAACCCGCGCAAGGTTCCATTTGACGCCACATCTTCACGGCGATCTTAAGCTGCAGTGCATAGTCGAGTGCCGATTACCGTTAAACCCAGTACCACCGTAACTACTGTACTGCCATAAAACCGTACTATGCAGTACTACTCAGTACTTGGTACTTAGTCAAGCACGCGCCCACCAACTTCATGGCAGAGCCTGGCTGCGATTGGGATATACGCCAAATTCCATCGCCGCTCGTGACCATCAATGCCACACCAACCCTAATAGGTAGCCCGCGCAAGAACCAGTCGATGCACAATCCACCAGGCCACCCGCCGGCTATTTTATCCTGCGCTCCTGTGCTAGTGAAGGCACCAGCCAGGCATCACGGCACTAGATTCTTATTATCACCCCTGCCATAACAACAGAACGTTTTAATATCATAACCATCTCCCACGTGCCTTCCCAACATACCACATCACATCACGCGCGTGATATGCCCTGAGCCTAGAACCTACGCCGCAGAGCTTGATATAGCCGGCCACATGCCTGGCTCCTCCGTGAATGAATTCATTTCTCGCACACTCCTGTTCCCATCTTTGCCGGTTTGTACAGCTGGCCCATCCTTGCTGCCCGTTTCGATGCATGGCCTGCAAAATGCGACCCGTACAGACTCCGTGGGGCCTCCCCGATTCCCAAGTATCCTACCCAGCCTACCAAGCGACTCGCATGGTCCCTAGTCAACCCCCCAGCCCCAACCTCACACACCGGCTGTGCATTGTCCTAAACCCTTGCCCCCCCTGCCGAGCCCAGAGCGGCCAGGAACCGACCCTCCGTTTCGCCAGTACTACCTACACGTCTTGTGGTACGCAGCATGGCGCCTCAGCTGCTGTCCGTGAGGTGCTCCACCAGGGCCAGTGCGCTGTCCAGTGCTGAGCCGCTGTCAAAGTCCTTGAAGGACAGCCACTGACCATTGGACAGGTCCAGTTTGAGCACATCGGACAGATCGCCTAAGGATGCGTGTGGGGCCCCGGGAGTAGGAAGAGGTGAGGTGGAGCGGAACAGCCGCGTGGGGAAGGCCCCGGGCGGGTGGGTAAATGAAGGGAACTGAAGTGATAGAACTGCAAAACTCAAACCCGCCGACGCCAGACCGACGGCCGGAGGGACAGCCCCTGTGGAAAACTGATAAGGGAAACGCTGCCAAACCCAAATCTCCAAGAGTCCTCCCAAAGCCCAAATCCAGACTTCCACTTTACGCTGGCAAGCGAACGGTTTACAAGGTCCGTCACCGCACCGACCTGACTCAACACGTCGGCCTTACCTTTGCGCGCAGGCCGCTGCCTGGTCGCCTTAACCACCAGGCTGTGCGGCACCTTGAACGGCGCCTTGCGGCCCCGCTCCTCCACGCAGTAGCACGTGTGGCGGTCCGTGACATACAGCGTACCTTGGAAGGCCAGCTGGAGGGGACCGGCGTGGGGGAGGGAAGGGTGAGCCCAGGAAAGCTTCCAGATGGATGCAGATGTGTGTGCAACAACGAAACGATATGGTTGAGTGGTGGTGCTTGCCATAACATAACGCAACCGCGTTCAGCAGCTATTACAATCTCTCTTCAATCTCACGTTTTCCTTCCCATTGCACTTGTTCTTCTGCGCGGTGGCCCCTTACAGGTATGCCGCGCCTAGTTCACATACCCACCCCCACCCCGCACCCAACCTTCAACCAGCATTCGCGCACAATCATGCCAGTGCATATGCGCACACAAATCCGCAGCGCATAGCGATCACGGTCTGTTCCATATTGCCCAGCAGCGCCGTCGCCTTCCCCCTCTCCTTTGCCCCGGTGGTACGCTATCCGCCACTCCGGCACCCACCTGAATGGCTGGCGTGTGGGAGTTGTGGTTACACGAGTAGGTCTGCAGCAGCTTGCACTTGAAGTGCTCCACAAGATTCTCCTCGGCAGAAAGTCCAAACAGCTGCTGCAGCTCCCCGCTTGCCTGGAAGGGGCCATCAAAGGGGGCAGAAGCGGAGGGAAGCTTCGGATAAGGGAACCACAGACGTGTGTGTTGGGAGGTACGACCACAGGATACCCAACCTCAACCCGAGACCTTCAGAAATATTGGGGCAGTTTGGAATGCCTTCCGTCTCGGCACTCAATTCGCCACTAGCCAGTCCTCATTAGCCATCATTCCACCAGCCACATAACCTGCTCCTTTTGCCCACTGCAGCTCCGTATCCACCGCCTCCCTACCACTCTTGGATCACTTATGTTTCGCTCACGTTTCCACCCTCAAGCCGTCAAAAAGCTCTCAGCGCCCAGGTCTGGCCCTTTGCGGCTACATTCTGGCGACTGAAGTTCCCCTTCTTGCCCTCCTCTCTCAACCGGGTCCACCTCGCTGCCAGCCCGCCCACAACACCTTGCCTTGTTGGCACTGGCAACCAGCTCCGCTGTCTCGTCCCTGGCCGGTGTTGGTGCCGGGTCCAGGGAGCCCCACCAGCTCGTCAGGCCTCCCGCCAGCTTGGTAAGAGAGGCGCCAGCACCCGCGGAGGCCTGCTCAGCGCCACCAAAGGCGGAGCGCAGACCGGCAGTCAACTGCAGGGAGGGAAAGAATGGATTGGACACTGATTCACGCTAAAGCGCCGGTGGCGGGATGGGTGAGGTGGGTTGCGTGGGCGGTGAAGGTTGGAGCAGGTGGTGCATCAGGTCAGGGCCGAGGTGGTAGTTGCAGCAGAAAGCGGGCATAAGCAGGGCTAACAACACATTGCCAAAATAACGCGGATGCTTGCCACATTCACCGAAAACACAGGGCGCAGCTCATGTGCTTCCACCGACCCACACCGATGCATTAACGCGCTGATCCTCCTGGCTGGCCAGCGCACATTAGCTGCATGGGGCATACACGCGCGGAGCGGCGCCCCAGCCCAACGTGCTCCGCTTCACCTGAGCCCTGTAGGCTTTAGCCAAGTCATGACCCTCCTCCCAATACCCTCCTTCCAGCCACTCCTTGCGAGGGGCTCACGTAACCTACTGATTCCACACGCCCGGGGGACACGCAGGCCCCGTGTACGCGCACCTTGCTGGACACGTCGAGAGCGAGATGGGAAACCTCCTTCGCCACCTAAGACCAAACAACATAGTTCGGAGTTGTACTGTCAAACCAGAGAAAGTCCGGAGGTAATATGCCATCTAAAAATGTCACGGGCTTACCTTGGCTGCCTGCGCTTCAAGCTGCTTAAAATCTAGGTCCACCCCTGCGCCTGCGGACTGGCTGGGCTCGGATTGCTCAGCCGCAGTTTGAGCAGTTGCCGTAGCCTCCTCAGAATCGCCGGCCTGTGCTAAGGAGGACTTTGCTGAGTCGATGGACAATTCTTGCGCAGTAGAGCTGGGGGGAATCCTTGGCGCTGTCTCCTGCTGTCCATCCTTTGGGGCTTCATCAAAAGATTGCGCTGGAGAAGAGCTCCTCTCCGTCTTAACAGTTGCGTCCGCGGTCCCGGACGACTTCTGTTGCTTGCCCGAGTCCACCTCTTCCTCCTCTTCCTCCTCCTCTTCTAGGACTTCCTCATCCTCGTATTCGACTACCTCTTCTACGTACTCCACCTCTTCTTCGACCTCTACCCCCACTTCAGTGCCGCTAGATGTCGCCATAAGCTCAACGTGCTCAATACTGGAATTGGTACTGCTTGGAGGCCTAACTTGTGAGCTACCAGCCTGCATTACAGGCTTTTTACGTACACAAAGTTACAGCTTTCCAGGTTGTGCAACGGCAACAGTTTCGCAACAGGGCAAGTGCAGACCAAACCCTGTAGTCCTGCCAATCAAAGTAGACTTCGGTAAAATTTACAGTCTTTATGACACTATGCAAGCCACGCACCACGTGAGTCAGAAAGCACGAACGCACGCGGTTTCAGTGCAGCCCCGTAACAACTGTCCCCAGAAGCCGGAACTACATCAATTCCATGTCGCCGAAGGCTTCAAGACAGCCCCTACAAATTGCTGCACGATGTAGTGACTACTACTATACAGTTTTGAAGCGGCCTGCCCCAAGGGCCACTTTGCCTGCTAGTGACGCAGTCCGAGGGGCCAAACCATTTCTTATCCACGAATATTGTATGGCTCGACAGCATCTTAGCACTGCATCTTAGAGAAGAGCGATGTGCTCGGTGCCGAAGAGTCGATATCCTGGTTGTGCTTGTTGTTTGCGCTGTCAGGCCATACACACAGTCAGCACAATGCCCATTTTACATCCCAGCGCCACTAGTTACCACAGCATGGCCTGGCGTCCAGTCCATGATATCTGCAATAGTTACCCGTCCGGTCCCGATTCCTCACCGGCCTCAGCCAGCCGCGGTGGAAGGCATCCCGTGCTTAGGTCACGTCGGTGGAAGCTCTCCTCATGTTCGGTTGCGCTTACCAACCGCGATGCCAATATCTCCTGGTTTCCTAATGCACTTCTATCTGCGTGGTACCTGTACTGAGCGTTCTAGGAAGGGAGAAGCAGATTCCACTACCACCGAGAAAGCAGGTTCTGTTCGCGCCGGCAACCCACAACTTCTGCAATTTGCAGCCTCGTCAGGAGCCGCGATGCTCCTTACACACACACACACACACACAGTTTGCACCTCCTGAAGTGCGTCTCGAAGTCCCAAAGAGTCCAACATTCGAATCCACGCTATTCTGGAAGGACCACAAAAGTCTACGAACGTAATGCGGCGTAAGAAAACAAAAAAAATCCAGGTCGCACAGCGTTCCCGGGTGTCCGATGGTAACTCCATATGCGTGGGAGCTCCCGCACGGAAAATCCGTAACACTCCGTACGATTTGCACAGAATCTCGCCAGTCCGTCATATGTCATACCGAGTCGTGTGTCAGATCGGTTAGGTTGCGCTTCACTGTGTCACACCCCACGTCCGACCAAGCACCCGCCGGGACCTCCTCTTCGTCGACGATGCCGCAGATTCACCGGTGGTGTAGCGGGTCTCCTCCCTAACCAAAATTTGCACCGCACATGCAAGTGCAAAGATTGGAAGTGATGGAGCTCCACCAGGCGGCTTTGCTCTGTACATCGCTTCGTCCCCTGACTACCCAAACCCCGACTCAACGGGTGCATTCAGACACCCGTGCCCGTTCGCCTCGTCCTGCAGCACCACATGCCCCATCGCTGCTTTCAACGATCCCTGCATCGCCCCTGCAGCGATGTCGGATATCTGCAGCCACATTCGCTTTGCTTTGCGCCTCGCGTCCGGGCACATCCAAAGGCGCTCGCTCACCATAAGGCCTGGCTAGGAACTGCGGCAAGACACCGTTGCAGCATGAAGTACAGCGCTAAACATAGCCGCCAAGCCCACCAGCAATTTGCAGTGCCTCGCCGAGCACCCGCCATGAGCCCGGAACCCCCTATCGCCCTGCACCTGATCCACTCCCTTCCGCCGCATGCGCAGCCGACGTGCAGCCACCCTCACTGGAATCGGTCCGCAACCGACCACAAGAGCGCCCATGGCCTGATCTTAGGATAACACAGTCGAGGACTGAGGAGCAACGGGGTTGGTTGGACAGGAGGAGAACCCGGCTGCCGTACACATCCATGATGCATTAATGCCCGTCGAAGTAGCACATGATATCTGACGTGGTCCAGTACATGGACGTGTCCCGGGCATGGCCAAGCGTGTACACGGGGGACATGAGTTCCACCACATCCTGCGTGTGCGGGGGCCGAGGGAGATCATGTGTGCGTGTTACACTTTTTGCATTACGCTTTAAAGGTGTAACGCGCTCAGGTATGGGCGTGGATCAGCCGCAAATTGGATAAACTGCCGATGTCGGTGGGTAAGAGGAAATATGCACAGATTGCAAAAGGAATACCGGCGTCCGGAGCAAGGAATGGGGAATTAAACATGATACCGCTGCGATATGGGACCTAAACCCGCTTTATTCCAGCACGAACCCACCTGCAGAATCAGGAAACCAAAAAGAGGTGTGAAGTCTAGCTGACCGAACAGCGGCGGCAGGATTCCGCGGTAGATCTGCAGATACGGCTCCGTAATCTGCATGCAAAAGGGAAGGGAATGGAATCAGGAATACGTGCACCGCGAATCACACCAAGCTGGAATAAAAGGCTCCAACACACCAAGCTCTATTGTCCTACGCTGCCTTTCGTTTGCAACCTCTGCCGCACACAAGGCTCTAACACGCAACTTTACGGCTTGGTCCTGCGACATGACCAGGCCAGATGCCTTGTTTAAACCCCTGCCATTCGCCCGGCATCATCCGCCCGCGCGCAAAATGGCGCCATGGGAATTTGCTCTTCGGCCCGGAGAACTTCCGCTGGACCGGAGAACTAAAACAGTCTCAGTTTGCCCTAGCCGCAGTCTCTTCCGCGCCACACAAGGAGAGCGGACTTGAACCTTAAAGACTAGGTGGCAGCACCTGCACGTCCGTCAACAGGCCCCTCGGTCCAGCTTGCTCCCCAAGATGTGACGAATGGGGTCAGTAAGGTGTGTCGGGCAACTACCCTTCCGGCAGGGAACCCCCAGTTACCGGGACAGACAACGGGCGGCGATAATTCGGAACCGGGCCCCAGGCATCCTGCACGCACTAATGCCCTTCCCAGAAACCATCCGCCAGCACCATCTCCTGTCAGCCCTGACAAGTCCTTTCCCCGGGGACCCACATCACACGTGCTTCACCCGCCTCTCCCAACACCTCCATGCGCATCATGTGACGCTCGGGGCCCCCCTCGGTCCGCTAACGTCCGTTTTCCTCCCTGGGTCCATGTCGCCAGGGGTTCGCGGCTTCACACGCCAGTTATGTTATAATTTACCAAACCGCGGGAGGGAGAGGTTTTTGAATGAATCCAAAGCTTCTTTAACCGCTCCAGCACCGTCCTCCTTTAAACCCCTGGCATATAGCCCCCTCGGCAAAAGCTCGGCTCGACCTACAATACGAGTTCCTATATCCCCATCCGCGCACCAGTCGCAGGAACGCCCAGGGCTGTGCATTCCAGTCAATGGAGGGAAACCAGGACAGCAGCACTCGCATGAAGAGGCAAAACAGGTACATCTGCGGATTGAGAGCAGGAATGCAGGGACGCAAGGAGGGAAACAGTGAGAGGGAAACTTTTGGAATGCCGAGCGGGATGACACAGCATGCGGGCGACACACGCCGTATCCAAAAGTGTTGAACGTTGCTACCGAGGTGAAACGAGAAGTTAGCATGGGTGGCCCACCCGATGACGAACTTCGAAAGTAATGGTGAAATGTAAGAGGGTTAGGGCGGCCGTCTGCAGGTCAGAATTCGAGCGGACGAGCGCGCGTACGACTAAGCTACACCCCTGCCGTCCATTGAGTCAGCTGAGGGCCACGCTCATGCACTCCATGGGCGCGCACCCACGCCGGCCCTATGAACGCCCCCGGCGCTGCTGCTGTCGCAGTGCTGCGATATTGCGTTTTGCGTAAAGCAGGAGAGGTGCTGGGACAGCGCACCCCCTTCCCATCAACAAAAAACCTCAAACCCTGGGGGACCCCGCTGATGGGGCCTGATGAAACAAGGATATGTGAACGATAAACGCGATGAGCAGCGATACATACCCAAATGTATACACATGTTCATATCGACCTGTCCCTACCCAAGCCCCCTGACCCAGGCCCCCTAGGATACAGCGACCTGACCCTGACCCCCTGATGGCGACCGAACCAATCGCTAACAAGCACTATTCGTTGGTGCGGCCATGTCTTTGCTTGTCTTATCGCATATGTATGTATGAACCCTGCAACTTCGGAACCCTCGAATGGGCGGGAGAAATGGAAGACAGCATTTGAGCACAGCCTAGAGCCTGCTCTAGGGCTGCATCTCACGCCCCTCAAGGGGCCCGTACGTGTATGGATCTGAGGTCCCTCCGTTGAAGCCCCATGATGCGTGGGAGGATGAGGGGAGGGGAGGACGGGCGAACGTGAGGACTGCCGTAAGGTTTGCGCACCTTTGCAAACCCAAAGGCTGCCCGCTCAAAGGTCCGCGCGTATACCGACGTGAGAGACTCCGCTGCGAATGCTTTCGCCAGTGGCAGCACGAACGCCAGCAGCCGAGTGTGCTTGCGCAGCTCCTTCACTTGCTGCTGCCATTCCTGCGGGCCAGCCAAGTGACGCCACGCAGCTAACGTCGAAGGATCCGCTGGACCTCCACGCGGTGGTAAACGTGACCATATCGTGTGCCAATCGCCGCCTCACAACCCGATATTCGCGATCTGCGTGCCTGGCAAACCCGGCATTCACCTGCTGCGCACCCGAGTTGCTTGGCGCTGGAAGCGCCGCTGCAACAGCGTCCCGTGCCTTATTGACGTAGTTGGCGACAACTTGAAACGTGGCTATCACAAGAGACGCAGCAGCGCAATTCGCAACCAACTGCTGCCCGAAAACTGCGAGCGGCGCCGCCGGCGATTCCGGCTGATCCTGAGCTGGCTGACGGTGCTTTTCAGGATTTACATCTAACGATATTGACACAGCAGCACTCGCAAGCGGCAAAATTATACTCAGCCCTCGAATTGGACGCTTTGGTCCGAGCGACATTGTCATCCGTGCATTTCGTACTTGATGCCGGTGCTGCAATTGCATTCCTACTTTTGATTTCAACATCGCCTATGTACAATCTCTTGAAAGAACAATCTTCCCCAAAAAAATTTCCAAACTCTTAAAGGAGAAAGGATTTCTGGATCCAACACCGTGAACAAATCAAGTAAAAGTTTAACACAATGCAGTCAAAACAATTACATAGGGAAGTGCAGCGGCAACGCGACTCTGCTGCTTCACGAATAGGGCCCTGTGTACGGATCAAGATAGGATCCGTACCTAGAATTCTACAGAGGACATTCGCTCGATCATCTCACATGCCTATTACTTTTCATAGTACCTTCACTTTAGGTACATAAGGTCTGTGGGGAGCTTCATTTGCCGCGCAGCCAAAATGCAGACCATGATGAAGCAGCGTGCCCCAGCGGCTGCGGGCAAGCAGGCCCAGGCCCTGCCCCGCGTCGCACCCAAGATTGGCCGCGCCCGCAGCATTGTCCTTGCTCAGGCTGCTCCTGCGACCGCGAAGGTCGACAAGCCGGCGATCTCCCGCGACCTGGTGGATAAGTGTATCAATGCTATCCGCTTCCTGGCCATCGACGCTGTGAACAAGTCCAAGTCAGGCCACCCTGGCATGCCTATGGGCTGCGCACCGATGGGCTATCTTCTCTGGAACGAGGTCATGAAGTACAACCCCAAGAACCCAGATTGGTTCAACCGCGACCGCTTCGTGCTGTCTGCCGGCCACGGTTCCATGTTCCAATACGCGATGCTGCATCTGACTGGCTATGATTCTGTGCCGGTAAGTTTGCGGATTGGGTCGTGTAGCTGACAACGCTGCGCTCGTTCGCTTGTCTAGCATGGCAACCTTCTCTTTTGCCTGCTGTTCCGCAGTTGAACGAGGTCAAGCAATTCCGCCAGTGGGGCTCTTTGACCCCTGGCCACCCAGAGAACTTTGTGACTCCTGGTGTTGAGGTCACCACTGGTGCGTTTGGCGACGCAGCGTGCGTTTCATCGATCGGCGTTTTTACCCACCATCCATGATCTTTCGCACTTCTGTCGTTCAAAGAATGGTGTTATTAGAGTTTATTAATTTCTTTTGGCCTAAAGATTCTATGTTTCCTGCGCCGCCGTGGAGCTACAGTGGAGACAATTATATGCATACTGGTTCGCTCAACCCGAAATTATCGTTACCTTGAAATGAAAGTTATTACCTATCATTAGTGGTCAGGGTTCTGCTTTGCGATGTCATACGTTCAGGCACACAGACAATGCGGATTCAAAGGGTTGTTCCGTTTGTGCCCCATGAACAGGTCCCCTGGGCCAGGGTATCTGCAATGCCGTGGGTCTGGCTGTTGCTGAGGCTCATCTGGCGGCCCGCTTCAACAAGCCGGACTGCAAGCCGATTGTGGACCATTACACGTAGGTCCCCGCCCGGAAGTGCTTTGTGTATGTTAGATCTGCTTGTCACCAACATGTTCCCACGTCGCACATTCCCTCAGCTACTGCATTTTGGGTGATGGCTGCATGATGGAGGGTATCTCCAACGAGGCCTGCTCGCTGGCCGGCCACTGGGGCCTGGGCAAGCTGATTGCGCTGTACGATGACAACAAGATCTCGATCGATGGCCATACGGATATCTCGTTCACTGAGGACGTTGCCAAGCGCTATGAGGCTCTTGGCTGGCACGTGATTCACGTGATCAACGGCAACACCGACATTGACGGTCTGCGCGCTGCTATCACCCAGGTAAATTATTGGCTGATTTAAGGGAGCTGGTGTTGATGAACTGAATTTGGCTCTATTGATATATAAGCCCATGGGGTCTGCCGCTTACAGCCATCTTTTCCCTTATGCAGGCAAAGGCCGTGAAGGACAAGCCCACTTTGATCAAGGTCTCTACCCTGATTGGCTACGGTTCGCCCAACAAGGCCGATACCCACGATGTGCACGGTGCACCGCTGGGCCCCGAGGAGACTGCCGCTACTCGCAAGAACCTGGGCTGGGAGTACCCTGAGTTTGAGGTGCCGCAGGACGTTTACGACGTCTTCCGCGCAGCCATTCAGCGCGGCGAGGCCTCTGAGAAGGAGTGGAAGCAGACCTGCGAGGAGTACAAGGCAAAGTACCCCACAGAGTGGTAAGTGATCAATTTAAACCGTGTGGATTGTCGAACCTTTTGCACCATGACGTGCCGGTGTAATGGTGGGTATGGTTTTGCTTCTGGAATGTCCCATCTTCTCTTCTTGCAGGGCTGAGTTCGAGTCCCTGACCAGCGGCAAGCTGCCAGAGAACTGGGCGAATGCGCTGCCGACCTTCAAGCCTGAGGACAAGCAGCTCGCCACCCGCCAGCACAGCCAGACGATGATCAACGCCCTGGCCCCTGTGCTGCCCGGTCTCATTGGTGGCTCGGCTGATCTCGCGCCCTCCAACCTGACACTCATGAAGATCTCGGGCGATTTCCAGAAGGGCTCGTACGCTGAGAGGAACGTGCGCTTCGGTGTCCGCGAGCACGCCATGGGTGCCATCTGCAACGGCATTGCTCTGCATAAGTCGGGCCTGATCCCATACTGCGCTACTTTCTACATTTTCACGGACTACATGCGCAACGCGATGCGCATGTCGGCGCTGTCGGAGGCTGGTGTGATCTACGTGATGACCCACGATTCCATTGGTTTGGGCGAGGACGGCCCAACCCATCAGCCAGTGGAGCACCTGGCGTCCTTCCGCGCCATGCCTAGCATGATGATGATGCGCCCAGCGGGTGGTAACGAGACGGCGGGTGCCTACAAGGTCGCCGTCGAGAACCGGTGGGTATTATTCCTCGTACAGGCGGATGGAAGTGCACTTTCACCTGGGCATCTATGTCGTAATTCTCATCCTCTAAAAAACCGATCAGAATACCCGTATCCCCTGTTTTATGAATGCAGCAAGCGGCCCACCACCATCGCTCTGTCTCGTCAGAACATGCCCAACCTGCCGGGTACTTCCGTGGAGGGTGTGGCGAAGGGCGCCTACGTTATTCGGGACGCTGCTGGCACCCCCGACGTGATTCTGATGGGCACCGGCTCTGAGCTTCAGCTATGCGCGGAAGCGGCTGACATCCTTGAGAAGGAGGGTGAGTGTTAGTGCAGGCAAACGTCCTGTTGCACCGACCGTTCATCAATGGCTAACTGCGGGTTCACCACCACGATGAAAGGTCCACACGTGGATTTTTCTAATGTGATTCGCTATCGGGTGCTATTGCTCACTTTACCGTCCCTTTCACCAACACAGGCAAGAAGGTCCGCATTGTGTCGTTCCCCTGCTGGGAGCTCTTCGAGGAGCAGTCGGCTGAGTACAAGGAGAGCGTGTTGCCTAGGTCAGTGGAGGCCCGCGTGTCGGTTGAGGCTGCCACCTCGTTCGGCTGGGCCAAGTACCTGGGCTTCAAGGGCAAGCACGTCGGCATTGATGACTTCGGTGCTTCGGCCCCGGCCCCTGTCTTGTACGAGAAGTATGGCATTACGACCCCGAAGGTCGTGGAGGCTGCCAAGGCTGTCATGGCGTAAGCCGTTGTCGGAGGTTGTAGAAGTGGCATCGGCATAAGTCATCGCGTTGCACGAATGAAGTATGTTCGAAGCTACAATCGCAGATACCGGCCACTTTATGTGGCGTCTCGGGAACTGTTCGACTTGGCTGTCCTCAGCGCTTATCTCTGTACGCCTTGAATCTGGGGGTGGCTGTCCTGCGTGGGTGCTAGTACGTTTGCCAGGCCAAAGCAGGAGCAGCATGAGCACTAGGAAGAACAGCTGAAATCGGCCTGAGCTGTGCGGAGAATAACGGAGTGTCGCTTTGTACAGGGCCGCAGGTGGTGCTAGCGGTTGTTCGGCGTGGGGCGTTGGGAATGATGCATGCGCTGTCAATGCGGCAGTGTCCTACTCGTGTCCATTGGCCCCTGTATCGCAAGCGAGTCATCGCGCCCCATGTTATTTGTTAGGTGTGCGCGTCGTGAACCGATCAGGGCCGGCTGGTCGGGAGTTCCCTACCAGTCGGGGTGCAGCTGTCTGTGCGTGTATGTTTGTTATAGGTCGCAAACCTGTGACCGTTTGGGTTTCAGTCTCGATTGCCAGTGGCGGTAATGGCTATGAACGTGAAGGTTCGCATGTTGACCGTTGGTCGGTGTTTGGCTGAGTTTTGAAGGGGCTTTTGAGGTTGCGTCTGCAGCTTCTTCCCCGTTTTTGGCAGCCGGTCGACTTCGTGTCCAAAGCGCTTCCTCTGATATCGGAAATATGTGCAGGGAGCGTGGCTTGCGGTTGGTTTGTGCTGTGCCTCGCTTGGGACGATGATTGAGCGTTTTGAAGTGGAGATTTCTCCTCCGAAACTAAACTCCTTAAAAGGTATCGTCTGTAAAGCAGGTGCGCCATGGACGAATTTCTACGCCGACGGACCCCCATCACCGCAATGAAGCGCATGAATCTCGATCAATGATCATCCCATATCCACCAAGCCTAAGAAGCCGGAGAGTTGAGAACGACTTCGCCTACATGTTTTTAGAGTTCTTGGGCTTGACCTAACAAAACAAAGCAGACATGCATTTTCATCCCGACAGCCGCCTCGCCTCGGGGTCCCTGTCTTCATGAGATTCCCTTTGAACATCTGGAGGTGGCGGGTCTGGGTTGAGGCCGAGCGGCTCGCTATTTGTGATAGCTGAGGCCATATCGCCGCTGGAGATGTGCACTTAAGGTTGCGGTCACTTGTAGCTGTTGCATACAATATGGTGCAACATGTCTGGGGAAGTACGGCGCGGTTGGTATCCGCAGGGCTGACCCGGTAAGGGACCGTTGCCGTGCAGGCCATCCCGCAATTGGTGTCGACGTCAGTAAACAAATTCGACGCACGGTACAAATGGGCTCGGAATAGGAAAGGGAATTGATGCGCTTTGTTGGGCGGCCAATACCTGTCTACCCCAGAGTAATGCTTCAGGTGGAGGGTGGGGAACGGCAGCTCAGGCATGTGCGTTGATGACGGGCCGCTGGTCGTGTTGGGCCTTGTGGGGACCATTCGTATCACGATTCATCATCGAAGCTTCGTGTACATGAACGAGGTGGTGTCCTGCGCAACAGCGCGTCTGGGGGTTTCAGCGAGCTAGGAACTCGAGCTGGGTCCGTGTCCCGAAGGAAAGTGCCACAGGAATGGCGCTGGTGCAGGACGCAAGCTGCTTGATAAGCTTTCAAGGTCTTACAAGGGTTTACATTGCCGACGTTTGTGGGGCATTGGTTTATGGCTCAAGCCTCGCCGTGTGGTCATTTTATCGGACCATCCGTACATTTATTGCTCGTTGACGGAAGACGAACAGTTTGCAATACGAAGACGTTTAGCTCACAGTTACTCTTACTAAGGTAATGATAAATGATGTACAACGGAGCTTACACTTCGCAGGGATCTGTGCACACCATACACTTCTGCAACGGCAGACCGGTGAAGTCTTGTCCCGCGAGCCGCATCCTTGAAGATTCAATGGCGAAGGAAGACACGCTGTAATACTATGATTTCGATACAGTTTACTGTTTTAAGGGGACTATGCGTTCTGTCCCTTCTCCATGTCGTCAAAGCCGACGCCCCGAGACCTTCCTTGCTTGTTTTCACCGGCGTCCATCGAGAGCAAGCCATAGACGTTTGGGCTCTGACGAATCATCTCGTTTCGTCACGAGGTTACGTGGCCCAGGTACTGGCACCCGAGCCTTTGGCGGAAGATTTCCGGCAAACAGCTGGCATCGAGGCTGGCAAACCGGGACATGAGGATTGCCGCTCAACCTCGTTGACCCTTGTAGCATACCCCAGCATTTCCTTTGAGGAGTATCACGTGGACAGCCGCGGAGCGATACACGAATTGACGGGCATGCTGGACTTCCATCTTGCGAACTGCGCTGGGTTAATCACCAACCGGACGTTGGTGGACTTATTGTCTAGGCAGAACTTTACCGCCATGCTAGGTGTGGCTATGGATCCCTGTTCGACCCTCCTTGCGGATAAGCTCAAGGTGTGAGACACACACATAAGACCCCAAGGGGAGTGGGCTTACGGGGCGAGGGCTCCGCCGTGACCTTTCCGTACCTCTTGCTCTTCCTTCATTACTCGATGCTATCTTGCAATGCAAGGTTTTACGAAATCATGCCGATTCTTGAGGGTAACGACCCAACAGCAGCGCATAGGAGGCATGCGGTGTGGGTAGGTTCTGGTGGTACCCCGCGAAGCTGTCTCGGAATGGATCAATGACCCGGCTTGTCCTACGTTCACTCAAATATTACTAGCAGGATATCTGCCATTCATTCCAAGGCGCTTCCACTCCACTCCTGCTGTACAACATTACGCACTTTTACCGTGTGCATGTGAAAACACAAGCCACCGCAGCGTGCGCATGTAGGTGGTCTGCAACGCAACGGGAAGCTCTCCCTGCCCGTGTCCCCCGATTGGTTTCATCCCCCACCTTGTACCCCATCTCCCCCGGCCCCCATGCCAGATCCGGCGCCGCGCCGCGTACGACGACGGCGCCGCTACAAGCCTATTGTGGGGCATTCTGCTGGGCCAGGGTATACCCACGAGCCACGTGGCAGCGTACGGCACGCGTCTTGGAGGCGGCGACATGAGTCTTATGCAGCGCATCCATAATGTCGTACAGTACCACCGGCTGCAGCTGTGGCACCGGCGGGTGTATGAGCCCCGGTTGGCGGCGTTCCGTCAGCGTCACCGTCTGTGGGCCCTGCCTGCGCCTGTGGTTCCTGGAAGCGAGGGGGGTGAGGGAGGCCTGGGGCCAGCCGGGGTCCGCCCGGGTGCTAGCAGAGGGAGGCCCGCATGCCACCTGCGGGGTCAGGTGCGTATGTATGGATGTATGCATGCGCGGCGAGCACTAGCACTAAACTCAGGACTAGCGCTAGCATTATAAAAAGAAATGTACCACGGTAGTGTGTAGTTTCCGCCCCACTCGCAAACCCGCCGCCACTGCTCCGCGCTGCCAGACAGTTGAGTCTTTGCTTCATTGCCTCATATGAACGTGGTTCTCACCCCCGCCCACCCACCCCACCCCACCCCACGCTCCAGGTGGTCATCACGGGTGCGGACTGGGGCCTCGTGGAGCCGCAGCCCCTGCTCCCGCAGGTTAAGATGGTGGGTCCTATCAGGGCGGCGCTGCCAGAGGCCCCTGTCACTCTGGCACCAGCGGTGGGGCCGAAGGCGGAGGCGATGGAATCGGATGCAGCAGCCACAGCAGCAGGGAGTGTTGCGGGTGTTAGCGCCGCGTCCGCTGTCGCAGCCGCTACGCCGGCATCCCTGCTACAACCCCCTGAGTTGGCGGCGCATGTAGCAGGGGCTGAGACGGGCGTCGTGGTCATCTACCTCCCCTCGGATTACAGGTGGAGGAGGGGAGGGGAGGGGAGGGGGTTTTCTGGCGCGGGATGTGATTGCTAGACCTGGACACGACCCTGAGCGCGAACGGGCTTGCGGGGGTCCTCCTGGCCGCCCCGGTGTGCCTCCGTTCCATCATGGGGTCATTTTGACGGAGGGGGAGATGTGGCTAAACCCCTCCTCTTACACTTACTCTTCTTCCCCATACCAGGGTTGCCCCGGTTGGGGTGGGATTGCCGGGAAGCCCCCTGAGCCCCTCTTGAGTATTTTCCTTTCCTCGTCCCAGGTTACCCCTGCGGGCGCTGTTGGCCATGGCGGAGGCCGTCATCGACCTGAAGCAGCGAATCGTGTGGCAGGCGGCAGCGGCAGACATTGCCAGGGTCCGCCAGGTGGGGCTGGTGGGGGGGGTATTTGAGGGGGTGTGGGGGAGGGGAGGGGAGTGCTATATGGAGGGCCTTTGCTTTACACGCAGATGGAGCCATGTGGGTATTGCGGCATGCCGCCCGGTCTGCCCGGTCTGCGTTCTGGATTTGGATCCGGTGTGTTTACCGTACGTTTCGCTGGATGGTGAGTGTATTCCCTTCTCTCCGACCCCTCCCTTTCCTTGGATCCCTCTCCCTTCCCCCTCTAGGACTAGGACTAGGACTAGGATAGTTGGGTCGGTCGGGTCGGTCGCGCGTTTTTGGGGGTTTGGGAAGAGCACTTGCCTGTCACCAGCTTTTTATTACCAGCTAATCAGCCAGTTCTTCGTCGCCAGACCTCGTCAATGCCGCCGCCAGGCCGGCGGCAAACTTTATTCCAGCTTCACGTCAGCAGCTTTTTACTACTTTTCCGCCGCCTCTACACCTACCTTTACTTCTTTATGGCTTGGCATTACTGCTTTTCTTCCGCGCTTTTTTAGTCTTGGCGGCTAGGTAGGTAGTTTTTCCGACATCATCTTCACTACGGTCGCCGCCCTCAAGAAGACCTTTTGGTCAGTTCTACGTCTGGTACACTCTTGCCCTGGCAGCAGCTTCACTCGTTCGTGGTTCATCTTTCCCTTTCCCCCCCCTCCTGCCGGGGCCTCCTCCCTCACACCCCGACCCCCCTCCCATCCCCATCTGCAGCTGTACCTGCCCCTCAAACACGCCCGTCACGTGCTGATGCTCCCCTCCCTGCCCCTGAGGGAGCTCATGGCGCACCCCAAAGTGGTGTCACTGGTCACTGCGGGGAGTGTGCAGGTGGGCAGGGGGGAGGGGGGGGGCCGCCGGGCCGCGGAGGGTCCCGGTATGGGGGGTGCGGGTAATGAAGGGACGGTTTGGGAGCGGGTGGCTGCCGGGTGGGTGAACCTCGGCCTTGCGAGCTGCACCCGCGGAGAGGTTGCTCCGGTCAACCGAATACTAAAATCTCCTCCAAGCTGCTGATGCTGCTGTTACTTGGCTGCTGTTACTTGGCTGCTGTTACTTGGCTGCTGTTACTTGGCTGCTGTTACTTGGCTGCTGTTACTTGGCTGCTGTTACTTGGCTGCTGGCTGCGGGCCCCAAAGTCGCCATCCCTGCCACAAACGCCTCTGCTGCCGTCTGCAACCCCCAACCCATGCACACCACTACCCTGCATGACGAGCTTCCTTGATACAGCCATTTTGCCATCTACACTACCTACTCCGCCTTCCTGCGCCTCGTGTACCGCTTGGCTTTTTCTTTGCCTTCCAACCCCCATCCCCACCCACCTCCACGCAGGCAATCTACGCCGCACTGTACGTTGGTAAGCCCGTCATGGCGGTGCCCCTGAACACCGCCCAGGAGGGCCTGGCTGCCCGGCTAGCGGCGCTGGGTGCAGGCCAGAGACTGAGTCGCGCTGAGCTGGAGGGTGGAGCGGCCTCGTACCGGGTCAGTGTGGCCATCGAGCGAATGAGCAACGTGTACAGGTGAGGGGGTGCGTGTACGTGTCAGGGGGTGGGTGAGTGGTAAGGGTTTGTGAGTGCGGGTGGGTGGTGGATAGGATGCGTGGTAAGAGCTACTGTTTGTGTGTGCGTACCTTGGGGCAGAAAGTCGCCTGGAAATCGTCTTGAGGGACCCTGTCACACGCACCACGCTCACCGCCAGCCAGGCACCAGCTGTTGACACACAGCCACAACTCCCGCGGACAGAACCGCTTCCCTTACTGGCCTCGGTGCTTTTGTAAACTAAACATCCACCAACATACCTTCCCTTTTGAACGTTTGTTTAACGCCATGTTCCGTACCTGTCTCCTCCTGTGTTTCTTCCTCAACAGCTTTACCCAGTCCATGCAGTTGCTGTCCACACAGCTCCGAGCGACCCTTGGGTCGCAGTCCCCTTTGGAGCGCGCTGCCGCCTGGGTGGACTACACCATCTCTCTTGACGAGGCGGGCCGCCAGTACCTGGTCCCAAGATCGATCCCGGCAGGGAGCCATAGTGGAGGCAACGGTGTTGGTGGTGGCATTGGCACTGGCGCGCCCGCCGCAGGTGGCGGCGGCGGCTGCATGGCCCCCTTGGAGGCCGCAAATGCAGCGGCATACGGCATGCTGGCAGCTGCAGGGCTGGGCTCGGCGGCGCTGGTGGCACTTGTTGTGCACGTGTGTACTCGCGTGCCGCCGCCGCCGCAGCTGGCGGCGGCACGGAAGCGCACGCGGGCCATGGTCAAGGCCAAGGACGAATAGCCGTATTAGGAATATGTATGTTCGACAAGTATATTCTAATTGACGTACTCGGCGTGACGTCAATGCCAACCGACCTTGACGCCTAAGTACGGCAAAAAAGCAGGCCCAGTGATTCTGTTTGGCGTCGGGCATGTCTCAGCGGTCGCTCGTTTAGTTTTGGTCTGCTGTTGTGTGCTTCCATGAGGGGTACTGGTGCTGGTGGCATTTCGCTGCTCGGGGTCGGGCCATGGGAGCCAATTGGGTGGGGACCCGATGGGCCCGATGATAATGACCCGTGGGACTCAGGACACGTGCTTCTTCTCCGGGAGGCCCCCATGGTGGTGATATCCCTGGACGTCCTCTGAGAGCATCACAGAGTGAGAGTCCGCAGGTAAGGTAGCATTACCCAGTCAGCAAAATGTATAGCGATAGTGCGGAGTGCATGTGGCGTGCGTTTGTGAGATCGAGGTGGCGCTGGCTGTTGGAATTAATAAGATGATGCGCACACGCTTGACTTGACTTTGCGATGTTACTGACTTGGTAACACACGCATATATACAAGTATATACAAGCACGCACAAGGCGGCGGCATTGGATACACACATGAAGACGTTTGCAGCGCGCCATGCGCAGTATGTACGGCAGTCATGGTACGGCATTTGTGGATGCGGGGTTCGCTCGGCCGCCATCGTGACCGAGCAGCTGTGGCGGGATAAAATATTTGCCGTGGAAGGGTACAGTGATGTCCGTATGTATGTCGCCAGGATTGCGACGTGCCAATGCACAGCAGCTAGAACCTTTAGCGGCAGTACAGACACAGTAGGAACACCTGATTTCCTTGGAGTGCGACTTGGGGTCCATTGCTAAAGTCGCTGGTTCGGGATCTCCCGGTCATGTCACATTACATGCTTACAAGGCTTCACTCTCTGTTGGTATGCTGAGCTGCGCGCTGCCAATCCTATCGCCTCATTTCTCTTGATGATGCAGCAAAGGCAAAGGTGCAGCGCGCTGCTATGTATGCTGTAGCATGTGTTGTGCACCGGGCATCTAGGAGGTTAAGCGCGGGTTGCGGGACTGACGCCTCCTCAAGGCCTCTGCTGCTCGTTGGCGAGAGGCAGGGGGCTGGAGGGCCATCGACCGGGATTGGCTGGAGTGCGGTTGGATGGAGGGATGTTACCGTGCGGACGGTACCCGATTTGCTGGACTGGCGTCCGTTAGGATTGCCAGAAAGGGAGGACGCCGCATAGGGTCAATTAAGTCTCCAAGACATGACCTACACGGATAGAAGTGCGCAGGTGCCGTTACATTATCAGTGCGTACACGCATACAGGCAGCCCCCCTGCCGCAATAACCCTTCTTTTGCGGCCCAGGGGGCCTGCAGGGCTCTGTGCTGTTGGTCATGTTAACCGAAAACAACACACAAAAACGACACATTGCTGCCTTATGCTTGGGGCTGTCCGCCTCTCCTGGGGAAAGAGGAGAAAGGGATCCATAAACGAGTGTGTGAGAGTCATGCATACCCCTCATGAGGTTCCAAATGACTGTTGGGACGAGGTTGTGCTGGCAGCGACGGAGCCGGGAGTGCACCGCCCGGTGCTATCACGGCACCACCATTGGCTACATCTTGCCTGCAATTACGGGCCTTCCATGCGCGGTTGAATTGCACCTACATCACCCCAGCCGCGTGCTCAAACAATAGGCCCACCAGGTGCTTGACTTACCATGTTCTCTACCCTGGCCTTGACCTCATCGACCTCCCGCATAAACTGTTGTGAGCATCGCGGGAAACTCTCCCTGCCTCCAAGAAGCACAGAATGCGATTCGCAAGAGCTTAACAACATTGCATCATATGGATGTTTTCCTAAACTGGGTTACGCTAAAACTAAAGAGCCTGTGCGATACCGGATTTACGATTATCCACCACAATGATGAAACCAGTCCGGAGTTCTTCATGGGTCCCATACATATCATTCCGTAGGGTTATGCCAAGAAGGTCAGGGGAGGCAATCGGGAGGCTATGCTGGTTCCAAAATACGGCAGTTTAAAATTGCTTTTTATAAATTGCTATCGCGTAATTTCTTTAGCAGCCGTGTTCATCATAAAGTGGAGCTTACTATACATCTAAACCTGCTTTTTACAGCAAGAATTAACTCTTTTGTGCGCGTGTGACTTCGGCCATCGGCCATCGGCTATCGCCACTAGTCCTGTTAATTTAATAATGGCTCCTGCGCCTAGAAGGAAACAACCTCAAAGGGTAAGGACGTAGAATTTTGCGGGTTCTCCAGATTGAGCTCAGGGTGTAGGTTGCACATGAAGGCCAACTGGGGCGGAGGCGGAGGGCCACCAAAAGCGCTGAATGAAAGCAGATACATACCCTTAACACTCGAATCATTTCCCGACGATTTTTCTGCTCGCTGCACAGCACACAGTATTTGTAATCCTATGCCGTTATGCGGTTGTGGGTGTGCTTCCTGCAAAGTGCAACCATTCCTGGACTCAATCGCAAGGTCATCTCAATCTAACCCTGTGTTCCGCACAGCAGAAACCCACCGACAAACAAGATGCACTCCCCGAGCCTGACGCCCCAGGTGATGGATAGGAACAGCACGGTTTGTTTGTTATTATGGGAACGAACAACCACCCTTGCCGAAGCACATGCTTCACACAATTGCCCCTTATAATCCCCTGCTCCCTCTTCCTGCTCACATTGGCCAACGATGCAGCGGTGCTTAAGGTGGGTCCCTGTTATTACCTTTCGTGAGGGTTTCATGTCTGCAGTCCTTATCAGTGCATATAGCAAGAGCGTGCCTGTTGTGAGATCTAGGTATAATAATTTGGGATAATTTTTGGGATAATGATTTGGGATACCCTTGTCAAAACGACTGGTCTTAATTGCGGTGATAACGGTTATTCGTTCTCGCAATCCTTTGATATCAGCAGGCCAAGCTCGCCAAAGAGATTGAGGTTGCGAAGGAGAACTGTTTGCGTGCTTTGGAGGCGCTGTTGGTAAATAGCCACCTTGCACCGGGGGTTGTCGAGCGGATTTTTTCCGGTAAGCGGGAGACCTTCGAGGATCTTCATCTTGGGGAATACGGTATCAGGTCCGTCTCCAGGAATGAGGCCCCCACTGCTATCTCCCTGGGAGAATTTGCCAGTCGTTCCTACAGTAGCCCCTCGGCAAGTCCAGCCAGCAGCTGCGACAGCTTCTCGCCTCCAGCACGAACCCCTGGCCGTCTTGACTTGAGCACCACCAAGGTGCCCATGGCGGCTGACCATGCAGCTGCAGCAGCAGCAGGTGTTGATGTCCGTCCCTCGGCAGCCTGCTGGTCCACACCGCTCCCGCCAAGCCCTCGTGATGATGACTAGAAGGTCTGTGCACACACACTTGCTCGTACGTCGATGGGACCTCACACTTGCTAGTATGTCGATGGGAAATCGGGTATGCCATTTGCAACTGTGGAATGGGTGCAGCAGGCCCTTCCTTCCAAAATCACAGGGCGAGTTCAACTCATATCATATTTGGGCTTTGTGTAAATGATCAGGACTTAAGGGCATGCAGCGCCGCAATGGCGCGCGGGCGTCGCCAACAGCTGTGATAACTGCGTTGGGACCTGGTGTGCGCCAGCAGGGGCTCTTAGTGGTATGCTGTCATGGTTTAGAGGCATCGGCATTTGCGCATTGCCAAGTGAGCATATATCAGTGCTTGAGACTTTAAGGTGTGGGCATAACGCAAACAAGGTGAAAACACGAGTTCCTGGTGCGTTAGAGGCTGTTGTCGTGGCAGGCGTCCTCATGTTCTGATGCTGCACCATCGCAGCGGCTGTTGTAAACTGCAGTAGGTAGCGTGGCGCTGCAGGTTGGGATGTAGGCTGCTTTGGAAGGCAAGTGCGGTGATGGCATTGAATGGGATACAACTGGGCTTGTAGGGTCGTTTTCTTGCAAGTTGTTGTATATTAGGTTGCAATCCGCAGGAAGGGTCAGGGTTTACTCTGGGTGGCGGGATGTGGCAGGGATTTGGCGGGCAGCATGCTTTGCAGGGTTTCGAAGCCAAGCGTGTCAACTGTGCTGCTTTATGCGAGGCATTCAGTTGGACGCTGCCATAGTGAGTGAGGATTTCGGCACTTCTGAGGTGCACATCGTCTTGGTGTAACTTCCTGCATCGATTGCCTCCGAAGGCGTGCTTTGTCTTTTCATGGCCCACGTAGCCGGTTAGGGTTTGGGTGCTGGCTCTAGGATGTGTTACTCACGGCAGGACTAATAGAACACGATGTATGCAAGGCTAGGAATATGGGCGGCTCAGAATCCATGCAAGGAAAATTCGTACGAGGCCTCATGGAGCCGCGTGGTGGCTAGCCAAGGGCATGCAATTGGGTTGGGCGTGTTAGGCATTAGACATCGGCTAGGCACCATAGCCAGCATCAGTTCTTGTTGAGGTTCGTTGGAGCGTGTCACTTAATGATTGAGGCGGCTCATTCTTGGGGAGAAGTCATCGATTGGTGCAGGAGCTGGAAGCTTGTATTTGAAAGGAACGGTACCGAGAAGTGGTGCCTTGCTTGTACGGTGGGCCGGATACTTCTTGCAACCTTGGGAGGTTTTAGGTGCCTCCACGTAGATTGGCTTCTTCTGCGAAACTGACGACGCTTCGTGGGGTTCCTTCGGCAAATTGATGAGCCCGACAAGCCCAGTTGAGTGGGGCCGCGTCAGCTAATCCGGTCGGACACTAGGAATTTACCTGTTTTTTGGGGGCTACCCATGAGCAGTTTGAGCCCTCGACGCCTGGTTCGTTTTGGGCCTGCTGCGGGTCGAGTTGATGAGAGCTTGTCTGTAACACAATTCCTGAAATTATCCATTTTGTTAACATAGCAGTGTAGCTCCTGAGCGATTTTTAAGTGGGCTCCAAATGTGTAGTACGCTATGCCTTCGAGGTCTATGTTGCCCATGAAGCCAACCGTGCGTATCTTCATTGCTGACATTGCCATTCCTCCCGACGAAATCTTCACAACGTGAATGTATTGGTCTGCATCTAACCGTGTTCATGTTCTTCCAGCAACCGTTAAGCTAACCAGTTTGGATGGGTCACTTAGGGTCACTACTATGCCTTACAAAATGGCGGCGAAAGGCACCTAGTCATGGCGGACACTTAACTCCCAACACTCTCTCACACACATGGATGTATAATGTTCAAACCCTTTGAACACACGCGCGGTTGGTAGACTTTGCAAAGATAAGGCCGTTGGTTGCAACAGCATGCGTGTGTGTGTGTGTTGGGGGTGCGTGACCCCATACCTGTAAGACTACCCATACGAGCCGAAGGCCCAAGGGCAATATTACAACGCCTAAAAGCCACGGAGGAAACAGCATGCGCATAGGGCCCCCTCGGCCGGCATAATGACTGAGCAGCTGTGGCAGGATAAGTATTTGCAGTGGAGGGGCACAGTGATGTCAGTATGTAAGCCAGGTTGAAGCCGCCGCTAGGTGTAGAATTAGAAACTGGCTATTTCGACGGCCAGCGATATCAGCTCTCATCTTTCAAATAGAACAGTCGTCTCGCCAATGCAGCCCAAACAGCACTTTTGAGTCCTGCAGGCAGAATCCTGTTTACATTTGTAAGCGCCGCTAATTACAGCAGTTAAGTCTGAATCAAATAATAAATTGAATAGCCGTCCGATTCCCTTGGGTCCTTTAGAGCGAAATTTTCTGAGAGCAATCGCGCCATCTATAAGTTTGTGAAGTAATCAAAAGTAGAAGTGTGCATGTTGGGGTTTTAGGCGGCTGGCGCAGGCTATACAGGAGCAGGAAGAATGTTTAAAAAGTATAATCACAACATCCTTTCAACGGTCTGGCTCCGAGCCCTCCACAAAGGCGACGGAAGCTGCCAAAACGTGAAGAACAATAATCGACATCCTGCAACTGGAACAAGCCCTCGGAGTTACACCTTAGCATTCCCTTCGGCCCTTCCCGCTATCAACCGAAACAAAACGGCAGGCGCATATACTCCTATGATCTCTTGGTGACGGATGGTGGAACGCAGCACCTGTTCCGAGCACTGAGCGACGCACATCTTTGCACGAACGGCAACTCGACACTACACCAGCGAATTTCGTCCGTGCGACACTGCGACAGCATGGCGCCAAGAATGCGCACAGTGATCTCTGCATAAAAAGGAACGCAGCTCCCGCCGCTGACAGTAGGGCAGGTGCAGCGGTGGTGCAGCCCATTGCGGCGAAGGGAGCTGTTGTGAAGACGTACACCCTGGAAACGGATGTCATGAATAAAGAAAGCACGACGGGTCCGAGGAAACACACAAAGAAAACACCAACGAGACAGCCATCACGGAAACCAACGGCAACAGTCCAGGCAAGGCAAAGTAACGGCACAACAAAGAAGGTCACAGCTATCTATCTTCTATCGCCTTCCCCCAAGCATCATACCCCTGCAAAAACATAAGCAGCCCGGTCCATCCACTTAACCATAATCGATCAATGCCTCCTCCTTCCACACACAAATGTAACTTCATAGCAGAGAGTGTCACCCCATATGGAACCGACAACTCGATCGGCTCTCCTCCCTTTTTTCAGAAGCTATTCCAGACTGCCCCAGACAGCCATGCGGCTATATAGGCGCGACAGCCAACGGCACGTCATCATCATCATCATCTGGACGGCTGCCATGAGGAGGCGCTCATAGAAAAACACAAATCATCAAACATACCAAGATGGCAACATGTCGTACTTTCGGAAGCAAGGGACTCTCGAAAGGGATGCGCCATTTTATGACGTGTCGTACTAAAAGTGGCCACTTCACGCGGTGCATAGGCGGCTATTCAAACTTCTCCCACACAAAAAACAGTAGGTAACTATTCACCCGAGAAGAGGTGCACATACACGCACGGCCTCCTCCCTCCTCCCAGCTCCGCTTCAGTCCTTGTCCCCTCGCGAGCAACGCAGCACAGACATCCACACACCCAACGGGTACCACTGCTGCTCTCTCTTCCCCGTCCCTCCAAGCTACTCGCGGGTCTGATTCCTCAAAAGCTCATTCCTTACGAGGCCAGCATCTCCAAGCCGCCGCTTACCAACGCCAGGCAGTGGCGGCCATCGCGGCGACCAGCAACATCACAAACAGCAGCAAGGGGGTGGCCTGGGCCCGGCCAGCAGCGCCGCCGCTCGTGCCGTTGAGGCAGTTCGTCGGGGGACAGGGCCTCTCCACCGTAGCGGTCACCAGCTTACCGGAGCAGTCCCTAAGCGGGGTCAGGTTTGGGGGAGGAAGGTGAGGTCGAACGGAAGTGCGAAGGGGTGAGGGTGAGGGCAGCGGGTGGGAGCCGTTCTGAGGGCAAGGATGCACTACTCGGTAACCTGCTGCATAAGGGGGCTCACACAGCAGATCCCACTCGTAGATGCCGTCGAGGCGCATGCAAGGCACGACCCCCCTTCCCCCTTCTAGGCGTGTACCCACATCCACTCGGCACTCACAGGTAGACGGCTGGGCAGATGGGCTGGATGGTGGACCCGCACCGCTGCAGCGGGCAGTTGGCCGAGGTGAGCACCGTAGCTCCGGAACCACTCAAGGTAAGGAGACCGTCAGCCGAGGTGGTGGACGGGGCCACGGGAATCAGAGAGCGGACCAGGCGCGGCGCGGTCTTGTCGTTCGCGGCTTGGAGTACCACAGGCATGATGAAGGTGACGAGGTCGTGAAGCACCACGTCGGGTCGCGCCACGGCCTCCTCGAACCAGGCGGTGGTGCCCATCGCGTTGGCAGTGCCGTCCAGCCTCAGCAGCCCGTTCTGAGTCCGCAGGAACTTGAAATCGGTGGCCGCGGTGGATTCGTTCAGGCGGTAGCGGGCCAGGAAGGAGGCTACCGTGTACTGGCTTACATTGCCTGAGTGCAAGACGGCACGACGGCGGTGGTGGCGGCGGTGGCGGTGGTGGTTGTGGTGACGTGTTGCGGGGGGAGACGTGACGGGGGGACGAGGCACACATTCACCACACACGCGGGATCACGTGGGGCTGCGTCGCTGTTGTTGATGTTGATGGTAAGGGGACGGCGGCCGGTGTCGGTCTTAGCAACCACCCAACAACAGGTCACTGTGCGAACAGGGCCGCGGAACGGTGCTTTGTTGCGAGGGTGCTGTGTAGCCCCGCAGGGGAACTGACAGCACAAGAGGTACACAAATCACACAAGCAATCTTGCCCAAGGTAATTGGAACACGTTGTTGTTGAGGTAATTGGAACACGCAACCATGCACACACATCCACGCTGTATCGCCGTCCCTGCAGCCCAGCCAACCCCCACCCCGCAGCCGTGCTTCCCAACACCGCAATTCGTCGAGACAGTGGGCTCCATGCGCCATGCATCCTAGCCAGGACAGGTGAATGGATTGCGACTCATCCACCAGTCAGCACCAAACATGCAGACGGGAAGCGCCCGCTGCCGTACACTCACCTGGAACGTACGACTCATCAATGACGATGTCCACGTCGGCCAGAATGGTGCGCAGTGCCGCGGCGGTGTTGGTGGAGTTCAGGTTGTACAGCACCAGGTCGCCCACAGTGTTGACCTGTACGAGGACCAGGACGGGGGAGGGCACCCTCCGGGCACTCAGCCTCATCAAGAGGTGTGCCGGATATGCGGACACCCGCTGGAGCACGTCGTGGTCAGACGACCTACTTACTGTGCTTCCCGACCGCTACCCACCAACCCCACATGCATGCCTCCCCCACTACCGACCACCCACCTTGACGTCGGTGTAGTTCGCAAGGACGTTTTTCAGCTGGGCCAGATTGGGGAGCACACCGCCCGCGTCCTGAACGCAACAACAGTGACAGTAAAAAGGAACAGAGCAAGCATTCAAGAAATGAAGGGAAGGCCTACAATGGTATTTCCTGATTTTGAAGGTTGGGGGATCCTCCGGCACTTCCACGGCCAGCAGGCAGCGGGGCCGGGTCTGAGGGGCAAGGGGAATGCACCATCACATCCACGACTGCGCACGTCTCTTTCTGCCGTACCTCAGTGTACTGCACTCGGAAGCTATGGAACTTGACCTGGATTTGCTCCGGCGAACTGGAGTACTTAGCCTGGTAGTACAGCCAGGCCACCACGGGAGAGGCGACTGCGAGCCGCAACCCACACAGTTTACCACCCCCCCAACACACTTACGTAAGTACATACATACATACACAGGCAGTCACAGGGAAACAAACCTATGCGTGAGATGCGGACAGAGCTACAGAGCGAGTGAGGCAACGCCAAGAGATACGACCTCGAAAGCTAGTGGAATTAGGCGGCGGCCGCGGCCGGAATGTGCGATTTGGAGCTCTGAATGCCCCCTCGAGCAGATGACCGGGGGCAGCGCATCCAGGACCAAACCCGGATCTGCACGTCGTGGCGGCCCCCTACTGGAGGAATACATGGCCCCCCCCTACTGTCAAGATCTTGATCTAATGACTTCACCAGCTGCTCCCCCTCCTGTTATGTCGCCAACCGCGTTCGGACCCCGTCAACAGGGCGCCACGCCTCGCACCGTTGTTGTTGGTCTTGTAGCTCAGCACGCTGGCCGACAGGTCCGTGTAGGCGTTGTAGACGGCGGTGAACGCCCGGTTGGCGACGGCCTCCCTGTTGAAGAAGGCGGCCACGTACTTGATGTACTCCGCCGCGTGAAGGGGACCCAGCTCCACAGTGGCGCTGTGGGTGGGTGGGTGTTAGGGGCGTTATGGGCCGTTGTGGAGGGAGTTAGAGGCCCACCACCAGGTAAGGCTAGAGGGACGGAGAGGGGAAGGAGGGTCCCTTTCACCGACCGTTTTCAGATAGGTTGGTGATCGGGATACAAAGCAACCAGGGACGTGCGCTTCCAAGTGGGAGCTCGCGCGCTCTCTGTAGGTGTGTGTGCGCGAGATGGTGTGTGTGTATGTACATCTGTGTAATAGATAATGATAATGTAATTGGTAGAGCTGTAAATCAACCTGTGAGTGGCTCTCACATCAAAAGGGCATTGCAACCTCATCGCAAGCGATCCCCAACAGTCGCCGCACTGCTAAAACGGATATGCTGCTCCTGCTGCCCCGCCCAATGCCGACCAACGCAACAGCCGACAGCCCCTACTCACGAAATCATAATGGAGTTGGAGGCATTCGCGTCCTTATAAAAGCCGAACTTGCCGTCCACCGCGTCAGCCGGGGCGTTGTCGCTTGAGCGGCCTCCACACACTGATGCGAGTGGACAAGAAAACGATCAGGACACCGTGGCCAGTGAAGGCAGCCCAACAGAAGAAGGCAATGGAGCATGTGGTTGGAACTTTGCAACTGCCGAGGTTGTCAGGGGCTCGGCGTGCAAGGGCTCCTTAGCTAAATACAATACGTGCGGAGGTATGCAAGGTAAGTTGAGAGGGGAGTGGATGTGAACCGCATAGCAGCAAACCGGATGGAGCACAGGGCGGAAGGGAGGGAGGGGGGGCGGACGGGAGGGAGGGCCATCTACCTGAGCTGCTCAGAAGCTGCATGCAGGGGTCCACGACGTACGGCGTCACGTACGACACGCGGTCCTTGACTCCCAGCATGTCCTGCAAGTCACCAGCGGTGTTGTCGGGGAAAGGACAGAAACGTAAACCCTGCTGGTCCAAAGCCACCGCCGCCAAACACCATTTCATGTATCATTAACAGTGAACCCCAATTGTGCAGCCCATGGGCGTAGCGCGCACTTGGTGTTCGGTGTATGAGAAGAGGGAAACGTCTTACCATGAAGTACATGGCGGTGGTATCCGCGACGCTAACGGCCTGAAGCGGCACTGAGAAAACCTTGGTGTCCTCGGGCAGCCCGATTTGGGACAGGACGGGCTTCGTTGTCCCACACTGGTACAGGAGGTAGGTCTCGTTTGTGTCACTCTTAGCAATGGTGACAATCTGTTCGGAATGGTCGACATGGAGTTAGGACGAGAGCAGTGAAGACCGAATGGGTATCGTGACTGGACTGTGGCCTTCATTGATAATGAACCGCATGCGTGAGTTTGTATATTCACATATTACAGGAAGAAAAAACGAGCATTGGTCTACAGGCTTTGGGGGAGTCGGCCCCCGTTGAACTAGTGGGGCAGGTTGCACAGTTAGCTAACCTACCTCCCAACTGTTCGACACACAGCCCTCCGGTACCCCGGACTTTTGCCGGAAAGATGCTCACCTTATATGTGTTGCCATAAGCAATTTCAAACTCCTGAGCAACAGTTACCTACGGTTGGCGGCCAGTGTCGGCGGCAAGGTTAGGAACACAAAGAGCGACGACGCTGTTTAGACCAAAATACACAGAAGGACGACCCAAGCCCTTCATAATAGCAATCGGGACAGCCGTTGCAGTCACCCATTCCGCGAGGACTGACTTACCGTCGTCCTCTCCTGGATGGATTGCCTCGTGATTTGGTGCGTCGATGGGTAGACATCGCCAGTGATACTTAGAAGGTTGCTACTCACGCAGTCGACAGGATTGCGCACTGGTGCTGCAGCATGGGCAAACCCGAGGCAAGCTGCGACTGCAAGCAAAAGTAGGCAGTTGTGCGCCGCCATCGTGTACTTTGATGTGTCACGTTACCAATAATAGATCCAAATATAAAGACCCCAATTTCGGTAGAAGTACACACCGATTGAGTAAGGGAATTTCCTCGGGCTCCGAATCCTGTACGGTTATTATTTATAATTAAATCGGTCAAAACGATTCAGAGAAGGAACGTTCATGCTTCATGAAACCGAAATAATTGGTCATGTAGGAATGCGCTGCATTGCTACCCAATCTTTCATCTTCCACCCCAACACTGCCTCGGGCGCGTCACCTCGCCAGCCCTCGCCCGTCTCGCACCCGCGCATTGCTTCCGCTCTGCCACCTCATCATCGCCATCATAACCAGCTTGTTATTTCCGTTGCATCTACTCGCGGCAACTTAGCTCCCTTCCAGCGCGCAGCTCTTCCCGATCCTCACCAAGCTCCTGTTACCCCTCCGCCATCCAGCGCCCATCTGGGGCGAGCTCCCACCTCTCCCGAACCCATCAGCACCACCATTACCACTACCAGCACCAATCCCACCAATACTGGTGACCTTTACGAACCCTTTCATTGCAGTAAACACGATGACCGCTGGTTGGAGCTCCTCGCCCTGGACGTCGAGTACACGCACGTGCAGCTGCCGGACGGCTCCCGTCAAAGCTTGGCAACCTGGGTATGCCTCGTGGACCGCTTCGGCGGTGTACCCCTGAAGTCGTACGCCGCCCTGCCAGATAGTGAAGGCGGTGACGGCAAAGAAGGGCAGCTGCCAGCAGGCACACGCATCGTGGGAGGCGTGCCGCGTGCCGCACTTGTCGCCGCGCCGCCGCTGTCTCGCGTAAGAGAAATGGTTCTGGAGCTGCTCTGCAGCGGCGGCTGCCGCGTGCTCGTGGGCCACGGCCTGACTAAGGATCTGCGCGCGCTGGGCATTGGCGAGCGCGTGGCGACGGCGCTTCGGCGGCGCCATGGTGTACGACTGTACGACACGATGTCATTCAGCAAGTTTCGCGGGCGCGGCGGCACTGCGCGGTCACTGGCGCGGCTGGCGGCGGAGTTTCTTGACGGTCGACGGATTCAGAATGGTACGGCAGCGGCGGGGGCGAAGGGCGCCGGCGGGGGTAGCGCCGGTGGACGGCACGACCCTGAGGAAGACGCGCGTGCCGTACTGGATCTGTACGTGCGGTACGTAGATTATTCGTACATGGTAGAGTACGAGACGGCGCGGATGCTGGAAGAATACCGTCGTCGCAGCAGCAGCAGCAGCGGCAGCGCAACGGCAACAGCTGAGGAGGAGGCGGCTGCCACAATGGAAGACGCCGCGCACGTCAGGCGTGCAGACGATGGGGATTCTGGCGCGGCGGGTTTGGATTCTGCCCCCTAGTTGGAATCCCCTCGGTGGGCCCCTCGCGGTGGGCTCATGATGGCGAGACAGAGAGGGAGGGGGAGAAAGAGGGAGAAACCGTGTGCCGACATAAGTTGAAGGGGTGTGTGTGGGTGGGACCGCGGGGAGATCATCGCTACGGGCGACGAACCACCTCGTTGGTGAGTTGGTGCTGGTGGAAGTGGAGATGGGAATGGGAGGTGAGCTGCGGCGGCAGATGAGGTGTATTGTGTCGAAAAAGTGGCGGAGTCATCGGTCGCATTGCTGCTTAGGAGCCTACTAAGAGCTGAGCTGCTGCACCGCCCTGGGTCACCATAGATGGGGGACGTGGGCGATGAAGAAGCACCGGTAATCTATTCCGGTGCTGTGTGTTCTTTGTTTTGGTGACGATTCGGAATGTTTTTTCATTTGTTGCACCCACCATTGGGTCGTGTTATAGCGCACTGAGCCGCTTGGTGTGTTGATTTTCAGGGGGGAAAGCTGCTGAGCTGCTGCAGCCACCCCCGACCGACACGGTGATCAGCCATTTGCCTGGATGCGTCTGCGGCATTGCGGTGGAAGTGCTGGATGATGTCTGCATGCATCCAGGCATGTGCGGTGACTTTGCGGAGACTTGGGAATTGTAGGGTAATGCTGGGCCGGACTGCCTGCTATCGGCCCGCCAACGGCCGCGTTTCCACTGGCAAATACAAAAAGACAGCTATTACAAAACTTCGTTGTCCAAGACAGTTTGAGTTAGCACTGGCTACGTCGTCTACGTTTAGCAACAACTAGTTTAGCCTCCGTTTAGCAACAATGTCATTACCGCTCCGGCATGCCGCCTCACGTTGCCAAAACGCGACGCGGGATCCGGTATCGGAACTGACATTTCAATCCAACTGAATCAGCTGCCGTTATCATTATCTTCACATAAGGAATTCTTAGATCCTTCTTCTTCCTTCTTCGGCGATTTGCGGAACCCTACCTAGTGCGCTGACGCTACTGGGATCGCACCATGAGTGCGACAACGTCTTCCCGTCGTCAGACACGCGGTCCCCCGCAGCCCCCAGCTTTGGAGGTCGCTTGCACACAAGAATTGCAGCAAGCGGCCCTCAGAACCAACCTTTTGGTGGTCTCGTTTACCACCATAATCAGAGACCGGTCGAGGGCAGAACTGGAGGGCCATACCCGGCCATTTCAGAAATCACTCTACCAAGCACTCCTACCGCTCCTGCACTCGGCAATTGCCCACCGCCAGGTACAGATGCCAGGTGCAGCTGGCGGGGAGCGTATATCCAACTGCGCGGCGGGGCTATCTTTAACATATGACCTCGCCATCCCCCAGCAGCAACGGCACCAGCTTATCAACCTCCTGGACACACGCAGTCAACTGTGTACCGCCGTGGCCGGCCACACACCGGTCTGGTGGGTTGCCAGGGAGGGTCCCTACTATGTCATACCACAACCGCTGCAAATTCTCACCCACGGCGGCTCAGTGAGAGCCCCCGCCAGTAGACGCCATGCAGCAGGACTCATCCACCACCGCTGTGGGTCGACGGGCCGCACCCGCTGCTGCCGTTGGGCAGCGGCAGGATGCTACAGCCCACACCACGCGGCGAGAGCTTCTGACCACTGCCAAAGCGAGAAGGGATTTCATTACCGACAGCCCGTCGCAGGCAGACCTGGCAGCACCGGAAGTGGACCGGCCGTGTATTACACACTCAGTTCGACGCAGGACCTTGTCTGGGACCTGTCTTCGGAGAGTGCTGAAGATGACGCACCTATGGAAAATGCCAACGAAACTTTATCACCTCTTGTAGACCTCCAGCTGGATGGCTTCCCACTCGCCAACACCTGGCCGGAGGCTTTACAATCCCTTTACTCCCCTTCGGGTACTGGCCCTGACATGGACCTGGACCTCATGTAATGCCCAGGAATCGCCACTCGAACAGGCGGGCCATGCAACTCCTATGCATTGGCTCCCACAACGTTCGCAGCCTCCTGGGATCAGGATACAACAACGCATCCGAACACACAGCCCACTTCATTCGTCAATGGGCTCGTCAACGGCTGGATATCGTCTGCCTCCACGAAACAAGGGTAACGGCTAACCGTGCGTCTCAGGCACGAACGATACTCCACAACCTGCCTCAGGCGCTCCACCTGGGCCAGTGGGCATCCTGGTGGGACCCTGCGTTGGATAGTCGGCGTCGAGGCGGAACAGCAATCCTTGTCCGCAGCACACTACTCACCAGCGGGGCTTTAACCTTCCCGGGGGCACAGGCCCAGCCTACAATGCCAGGAGACGGTCATCTTTTGCGCTTATCCGTATGCTGGGGAGACCATACCTTTACTTTAATCAGTACTTACCTTCCTAGCGCTGATCCCCCGGCCCAAAGGACTTATATTCAGCAACGCCTCCGGCCACTTATGGCGGATGCTGGACTCCATATCTGGGCAGATGACTTTAACTTTGTCAACAATCCTGACCTCGATGCATCCACTCCTTCAGCACAGAGGAATGATGTCAACACCACGGCAGAGTTTAACGTTACTTGCCCGGGGATGATTGACACGTTCCGCCTAATACACCCCCGCCGGCGTGCTTACACATACGTCCATCCAGCGGGAGCCTCCCGTATTGATCGCATAATGGTATCGCAAGCCCTGGAAGCGGCAGTCTATGGCAGCGATACAGCCTCAGGGACCCCGGCGGATCACCAGATCACCCACACTACCCTCCGGGCAGCCCATAGCACGCACACACCAGGACCTGGCCTGCCCCGTACTAGGCTTCACTTCCTGGAACACGATGATCTATGTGCAGACTTAAATATGTGGGTAAATAACACGGCAGAATCCGCCCCCACGGACCCGGACGACCTTATTCAATGGTGGCCAATGGGGACGCTGCCATACCTCCGCGTCGCTGCACATAGGCACCCTTTTTGATATTAAGACACTTTTTTCTGCTATCGCATTTACATAGAATTCTTGCGCCAAAGTGTACCCGTATACGGGAGGCACGTAAAATAGAACAATTCCTGAATTCAGGGTTGCAGACAAGCACAGCGCTTCTCGGCCGAATCGCACGCGGCGGCGCTCTGAAAAACACCTTAGGGAATCAAATTTCTCAGCATCATCGCCCGCAACGCGCCCACCCGCAGCCCCCTCTTCCCCCTCCCTACCCCTGTCCTCCCAACACTGACTACTGCAGCAGACACGCCAAGAGCGCCAGCAAGGGTGCGCAGTACATCCTGTACCGGGCAGCGCATTACGACTCCATAGCCCAGGCCACCGCGGACTGCGAAGTGAGGATGGGGCCCCTTAGTGGCCCCTTATTGGGGCCCTTAGTGGCGACTTAGGTAAGGGGGAACGCCGGGGGGGGGGCCGGTTGAAGCCGTTCGTGCCGTTGAAGCAGTTCGTCGGGGGACAGGGCGTCACCACCGTAGCGGTCACCAGCTTACCGGAGCAGTCCCTGAGCGGGGTCAGGTTTGGGGGAGGAAGGTGAGGTCGAACGGAAGTGCGAAGAGGTGAGGGTGAGAGCAGCGGGTGGGAGCCTTCCTGTGGGCAAGGATGTACTACTCGGTAACCTGCTGCAGAAGGGGGCTATTGTTCCGGACTTGCTGCCATCTCGCCAACCGCCATACCCATATCATCGCACCTTCACTGAACCTCGCACCAGAGTAATCACAGCCCACTTTCTTAACACCTCACACAGCAGATCCCACTCGTAGATGCCGTCGAGGCGCATGCAAGGCACGACCCCCCTTCCCCCTGCTAGGCGTGTACTCGGCACTCACAGGTAGACGGCTGGGCAGATGGGCTGGATGGTGGACCCGCACCGCTGCAGCGGGCAGTTGGCCAAGGTGAGCACCGTAGCTCCGGAACCACTCAAGGTAAGGAGACCGTCAGCCGAGGTGGTGGACGGGGCCACGGGAATCAGAGAGCGGACCAGGCGCGGCGCGGTCTTGTCGTTTGCGGCTTGGAGTACCGCAGGCATGATGAAGGTGACGAGGTCGTGAAGCACCACGTCGGGTCGCGCCACGGCCTCCTCGAACCAGGCGGTGGTGCCCATCGCGTTGGCAGTGCCGTCCAGCCTCAGCAGCCCGTTCTGAGTCCGCAGGAACTTGAAATCGGTGGCCGCGGTGGATTCGTTCAGGCGGTAGCGGGCCAGGAAGGAGGCTACCGTGTACTGGCTTACATTACCTGAGTGCAAGACGGCACGACGTCGGTGGTGGCGGCGGTGGCGGTGGTGGTTGTGGTGGCGTGTTGCGGGAGGAGACGTGACGGGGGGACGAGGCACACATTCACCACACACGCGGGACCACGTGGGCTGCGTCGCTGTTGTTGATGTTGATAAATGAAACAAGCACAACAACCATGCACACACATCCACGCTGTATCGCCGTCCCTGCAGCCCAGCCAACCCCCACCCCGCAGCCGTGCTTCCCAACACCGCAATTCGTCGAGACAGTGGGCTCCATGCGCCATGCATCCTAGCCAGGGCAGGTGAATGGATTGCGACTCATCCACCAGTCAGCACCAAACATGCAGACGGGAAGCGCCCGCTGCCGTACACTCACCTGGAACGTACGACTCATCAATGACGATGTTCACGTTGGCCAGAATGGTGCGCAGTGCCGCGGCGGTGTTGGTGGAGTTCAGGTTGTACAGCACCAGGTCGCCCACAGTGTTGACCTGTACGAGGACCCGGACGGGGGAGGGCACCCTCCGGGCACTCAGCCTCATCAAGAGGTGTGCCGGATATGCGGATACCATGCTGGAGCACGTCGTGGTCAGACGACCTACTTACTGTGCTTGCTGACCGCTACTCACCAACCCCACATGCATGCCTCCCCCACTACCGACCACCCACCTTGACATCGGTGTAGTTCGCAAGGACGGTTTTCAGCTGGGCCAGATTGGGGAGCACACCGCCAGCGTCCTGAAAGCAACAACCACAGCAACCATAGCAATAACAACAGTGAGAGTAAAACGGAACACAGCAAGCATTCAAGAAATGAAGGGAAGGCCTACATACCATTTATTTTTTATTTTTTTTAAATGGTATTTCCTGATTTTGAAGGTTGGGGGATCCTCCGGCACTTCCACGGCCAGCAGGCAGCGGGGCCGGGTCTGAGGGGCAAGGGGAATCCACCATCACATCCACGACTGCGCACGTCTCTCTTTCTGCCGTACCTCAGTGTACTGCACTCGGAAGCTGTGGAACTTGATCTGGATTTGCTCCGGCGAACTGGAGTACTTAGCCTGGTAGTACAGCCAGGCCACCACGGGAGAGGCGACTGCGAGCCGCAACCCACACAGTTTAACCCCCCCCAACACACATACACACTAACGTAAGTACATACATACGTACACATACATACATACATACATACAAAGGCAGCCACAGGGAAACACACCTAAGCGTGAGATGCGGACAGGGCTACAGAGCGAGTGAGGCTACGCCAAGAGAGAGATACGAGCTCGAAAGCTAGTGGGATTAGGCGGCGGCCGCGGCCGGAATGTGCGATTTGAAGCTCTGAATGCCCCCTCGAGCAGATGACCGGGGGCAGCGCATCCAGGACCAAGCCCGGATCTGCACGTCGTGGCGGCCCCCTACTGGAGGAATACATGGCCCCCCCCTACCGTCAAGTTCTTGATCTACTGACTTCACCAGCTGCTCCCCCTCCTGTTTTGTCGCCAACCGCGTTCGGACCCCGTCAACAGGGCGCCACGCCTCGCACCGTTGTTGTTGGTTTTGTAGCTCAGCACGCTGGCCGCCAGTTCCGTGTAGGCGTTGTAGACGGCGGTGAAAGCCCGGTTGGCGACGGCCTCCCTGTTGAAGAAGGCGGCCACGTACTTGATGTACTCCGCCGCGTGAAGGGGACCCAGCTCCGCAGTGACGCTGTGGGTGGGTGGGTGTTAGGGGCGTTATGGGCCGTTGTGGAGGTAATTAGAGGCCCACCACAAGGTAAGGCTCGAGGGACGGAGAGGCGAAGGTTTTCAGATAGGCTGGTGATCGGGATACAAAGCAACCAGGGACGTGCGCTTCCAAGTGGGAGCGCGCTCACTCTCTGTATGTGTGTGTGCGCGAGATGGTGTGTGTGTGTGTATGTACATCTGCGTAATCGTGCGGGCGGGGGACCACATTGCCAATAATCTATGATACTGCGCTTGGTGGCAGCTTTTAAATGGCACAACATGCGGAACGTCCTAATAAACGATAATGTAATTTGTAGTGCTGTAAATCAACCTGTGAGTGGCTCTCACATCAAAAGGGCATTGCAACCTAATCGCAAGCGATCCCCAACAGTCGCCGCACTGCCAAAACGGCTATGCTGCTCCTGCTGCCCCGCCCAATGCCGACCACCGCAACAGCCGACAGCCCCTACTCACGAAATCATAATGGAGTTGGAGACATTCGCGTCCTTGTAAAAGTCGAACTTGCCGTCCACCGCGTCAGCCGGGGCGTTGTCGCTTGAGCGGCCTCCACACACTGATGCGAGTGGACAAGAAAACGATCAGGACACCGTGGCCAGTGAAGGCAGCCCAACAGAAGAAGGCAATGGAGCATGTGGTTGGAACTTTGCAACTGCCTAGACTGTCAGGGGCTCGGCGCGCAAGGGCTCCTTAGCTAAATACAATACATGCGGAGGTATGCAAGGTAAGTTGAGAGGGGAGTGGATGTGAACCGCATAGCAGCAAACCGGATGGAGCACAGGGCGGAAGGGAGGGAGGGAGGGCGGACGGGAGGGAGGGCCATCTACCTGAGCTGCTCAGAAGCTGCATGCAGGGGTCCACGACGTACGGCGTCACGTACGACACGCGGTCCTTGACTCCCAGCATGTCCTGCAAGTCACCAGCGGTGTTGTCGGGGAACGGACAAACGTAAACCCTGCTGGTCCAAAGCCACCGCCGCCAAACACCATTTCATGTATCATTAACAGTGAACCCCAAATTGTGCAGCCCATGGGCGTAGCGCACACTTGGTCTTCGGTGTATGAGAAGAGGGGAAAGTCTTACCATGAAGTACATGGCGGTGGTATCCGCGACGCTAACGGCCTGAAGCGGCACTGAGAAAACCTTGGTGTTCGCGGGCAGCCCAATTTGGGACAGGACAGGCTTCGTTGTCCCACACTGGTACAGGAGGTAGGTCTCGTTTGTGTCACTTCTAGCAATGGTGACAATCTGTTCGGAATGGTCGGCATGGAGTTAGGACGAGAGCAGTGAAGACCGAATGGGTCTCGGAGTCAAGGGGCAAGCGGCTCAGCGCGATGTGTATGTTAAAAGGAAAGCCATGATATGGTTAACGGATGTTGCATAGGCCCTGGCCTGGCACTTGCAGATCATTATGTGCAGATCATGCACATAAATTGTGGTGAAAATGGATGTCGCGGTACTTGACGTTGTCTGCATGTCGTCAACATGGACTGTGGCCTTCATTGATAATGAACCGCATGCGTGCGTTTGTATATTCACATGATACAGGAAGAAGAAACGAGCATTGGTCTACAGGCTTTGGGGGAGTCGGCCCCCGTTGAGCTAACAGTTAGCTAACCTACCTCCCAACTGTTCGACGCACAGCCCTCCGGTACCTCGGACTTTTGCCGGATAGATACTCACCTTATATGTGTTACCATAAGCAATTTTAAACTCCTGGACAAAAGTTACCTACGGTTGGCGGCCAGTGTCGGATGCAAGGTTAGGAACACAAAGAGCGACAACGCTGTTTAGACCAAAATACACAGAAGGACGACCCTAGCCCTTCATTATAGCAATCGGGACAGCCGTTGCAGTCACCCATTCCGCGAGGACTGACTTACCGTCGTCCTCTCCTGGATGGATTGCCTCGTGATTTGGTGCGTCGATGGGTAGACATTGCCAGTGATATTTAGAAGGTTGCTACTCACGCAGTCGACAGGATTGCGCACTGGTGCTGCAGCATGGGCAAACCCGACGACTGCAAGCAAAAGTAGGCTGTTGAGCGCCGCCATCGTGTACTTTGATATGTCACGTTACCAATGATAGATCCAAATATAAAGACCCCAATTTCGGTATAAGTACACACCGATTGAGTAAGGGAATTCCGTCGGGCTCCGAATCCTGTACGGCTATTACTTATAATTAAAACGATATAGAGAAGGGGCGTCCATGCTTCATGAAACCGAAATAATTGGTCATGTAGGAATGCGCTGCATTGCTACCCAATCTTTCATCTTCCACCCCAACACTGCCTCGGGCGCGTCAGCTCGCCAGCCCTCGCCCGTCTCGCACCCGCGCATTGCTTCCGCTCTGCCACCTCATCATCGCCATCATAACCGTCTTGTTATTTCCGTTGCATCTACTCGCGGCAACTTAGGTCCCTTCCAGCGCGCAGCTCTTCCCGATCCCCACCAAGCTCCTATTACCCCTCCGCCATCCAGCCCCCATCTGGGGTGAGCTCCCACCTCTCCCAAACCCATCAGCACCACCACCACCACTACCACCACCAGCACTTATCCCACCAATACTGGTGACCTTCACGAACCCTTTCATTGCAATAAACACGATGACCGCTAATTGGAGCTCCTCGCCCTGGACTTATAAGGTAGTGCCCAATTGAGGTTTGAAAGGAGGGAAATCATGCAGGGAAGCTCACTGCTACGGGGGTTTAGGTTCGTAATCCGCACCTCGGGTGTGTGCGCAGGCTTCTGAATTCGCGTTTGGGATATTGATAGTCGATTGGTCCCTATCGGAGGGTACCTTGCTACCCAGGCGGCCCAACCTGACCGCTTCAGTTTACCGTTTCCGTTATTCAGCGGGGCTAAGTTCTTGATAATCTGTGTGAGCTGAGGGTGTATATTTACGGCATCAGGACGTAGTCTTAAAGATATCATTACTTCCGATGGGTTTGTGATAATTTCCATATTGGTCGTGCTAGAGCCTAGCGCGTCGCTGCACATAGGCTTGAGGGTACCCTTCTTGATACAAAGAAACTTTATATCTGCTCTCAAATCTTCATAGAATTTTTGCGCCAAAGTGTACCCGTATGCGGCAGGCCCGTAAGATAGAACAATGTCTGAATTCAGGGATGCAGACAAGGACGGCGTTTCTCGGCCGAATCGCACGCGGCGGCGCTGTCTCAAAGCACCTTCCAGTTCACGGTCTGGAGTACTTATCGGCACTCGCCTGCAAGTCTGATCCAAGAGGTCGCACGAAATGGTACGTCTTGCGCCGACCGGGATACACAAGTGATCACCACATGATCGCGCATGTGAAAGGCCTGCGACGTCAATTATTGCTAAATATATTCATAGCAGGCAGCACAACCCATTATAAAATCCCAACCTGCTGTTGGTGTTCGTCCTACAAGGACGAATGGTGCTATCCTACTTTCCTGCTGTGATTTGGGTTTCGAGCTTCCGGCCACGCCCAAATCGCACTATGACGGACCCCCTCGAACTCGATACTTCTGCGATACCGTTTACGTACCCCCTTTCCTCTCCGAAACCTAGGTACGGCACGTACACAGATGAACAATATCAGGCCCAGCGCCAGAGCGAGGAGCGCGCGCGGTGGGCTGCCGGAGTCCGGTGAGGCCCAGCTGCCACCTCCCAACCGACCGCAACCCTATCTTCTCTTGAAGACGGCTGGCGTTGCTCCATTCACGTCTCCGTGATCTCGTGCATGGTTCTTGAACCCCTGGGGGCCGGGCCCCCCTCCTCCATGCACACCATCTTCCTTGCTTGCATGTTTGCATGCACCTCCCCCTCCCTGACTCGTAGGGCGGCATTTCCTCCTCACCCCCGTACCCCTCCCACCTAGGACCCTGACGGGCAACCAGTCCCAGCTCTCCTGGGAGGGCTCCCTCCTGGAACCCCCGGCGCTGCTGGACGGGGTCACGGTGGTCATCATATCGCCCAGAAAGCCCGTGACAGTCGGCACGGTGGCGAGGGCGTGTGGCAGCTTTGAGTGCGAGGACCTCAGGATAGTCATGCCCAGACAGGAGTCGTACATCACCCGGTACGACGGAGAGAGGGTGGGGGTACGAGAATGAGGGGGAAAGACGAACCACGAACGAGAGTGAGGGGGACCGCATGTAGCAACCAAGGGGGGAATAGAGGGGACACGGCGGGCGGAACGACCCCCTGCACTCCACCGCTCGGGCCCGACATGCATTGGGTAGGAGCTGCCGTACAGACCGTACAGGCCGTACGTAGTCCGTGAAGACCCTGCTGACTCACCCGATACACTTCCGAACTTGCCGTCGTCGTCGTGTTTCCACGTATGTTTGCATTTATGTATGTATGTACATCGACTCGAATCCCTCAGCATCATCTCCCGCAACGCGCCCACCCGCAGCCCCCTCTTCCCCCTCCCTCCCCCTGTCCTCCCAACACTGACTACTGCAGCAGACACGCCAAGAGCGCCAGCAAGGGTGCGCAGTACATCCTGTACCGGGCAGCGCATTACGACTCCATAGCCCAGGCCACAGCGGACTGCGAAGTGAGGATGGGGCCCCTTAGGAGGGCCCGGGAAGGGGAATACGTGCGAGGAAGCAACCACCCAAAGGCGGCGGAGGGGAGGGGGGAACGATGGGGGGTTGGCGCGGTTGAAGCCGCTCGCGTGCCTCTGTGTGTGCACATATGTATATATGTATGTATGTACGTATGTATGTATGACTTAGACTACACTGTGGGCCGCGAGAGCCGGGGGCCGAAGCCGAAACACAGCGCAAGGGTCGGGAGCACACAGCACAAGTCGGTTAGTCTTGTGTGCTTCCGACCCCGACTCAGACTGCCAACACTCTACGCAGCCACTCTGCAGCCCCTCCATCCGGGGATGGCGCTGCAGTGAAAACACCACGAAGGGCTCTCAGGTCCCGCTAGAGCGAGTCCACAAGTCTCAGCTAGGGCAAAGGCTCTCTGAAACAATCCCCCAAAACACCACCAACGAAAACGGGATTCCAAGGGAAAAAACAAAAAAATACGGTTAGGGCAGTCCCGGCAGGGGAGGGCTCCTGATACACCTAACAAGCCAACAAAAAACCTCCAAGAGAGAAAGGCTAAGAGAGCTCGACACCACAAGACGTCTTGCAGCCACCTTACAACAACTAACCTCCACTACCTGTCCCTTCCTGGGCTGGTCCAGGGGAGAAGTAGCCATATAAAGAAAAGGGACCACGCACAAGCCCGATCACCACTGCAGGGGCCCGGGATAGACCGGCGAAACCACAAAAGCGATAGCGTTGCCACGGCACAAAGCATGTATGTATGTATGTGTGCGAGGGCGGAAGGGGAACGTTGGCAAAGCCCCCGACGGGGGTTGATTGCTGCACTCGGCCACCCGGGGGGGGAGTACCCAACATTTACAACGCTATACCTTACACAACAATTACGGACACGCGCACGACGTAACGCCTACGTAGCACCGGACATCCAAACCCACACGCAGGTGCGCATCGCCTTCACCCGCTGGTCCCAAGCCAGCTCGCCTCACGTGTTCAAGGTACGGCAGGGCGTTGCAGCAAACCGGCACGATACATGTGTACGTCCTCGTGTTGTGTCTGTCTATCTGTCTATCTATCTGTCTGTCTGTGTGTCTATCTGTCTGTCTATCTGTCTGTCTATCTGTCTGTCTATCTATCTGTCTGTCTATCTGTCTGTCTGTGTGTCTATCTATCTGTCTGTCTGTGTGTCTATCTGTCTGTCTATCTGTCTGTCTATCTGTCTGTCTGTGTGTCTGTCTGTATGTCGGCTTTCCCACTCTGTGTGTGTGTGTGTTACGCAACCAACCGAGGGAAGCCCTATACACCTTACTAGGACTTTGTCGTACTGCCGGCCCTCACGTCCCCGCGGCCTCCTACCGGGCTTTAAACCGGGTACAGTTACCCGGCCCCGGCCCCGGGCCTCTCCCCCTCCCATGTCGCTTCTTGCACATGATCACCGCCTCCCCGCCCCGGGCCCCCTCTCTCCCCCGCATGCCCCCCCCACACACCGCCCACGGTCCCAGGTGGACATCAGCAGCCTCGCCGACCACCCGGCTGTGCATGACGTCATCACACAACCGCTGAAGGACACGGGGACGAGGAGAGCGCCCCGAGCAGCCACCGCCACCGCTGATAATGGCGCTGGTGCTGGTGCTGGTGCTGGTGGCAGCGATATCTCATCGCCGCCGGCGCCGCTACCTTCGCGGCCGACACCCGCGACCTGGTCGGCGGCGACGGCCGCTGCAGCGGAGGCGGCGGAAGTACGGCTGGCGGCGGCATCGGTGTTGTCCAGCTCTGGCGGCAGTGGTGATGACGAGAACGAGGAGCCACCGCCGGCCCAGCAACCTAGTCAACAGCAGCAGCAGCAGCAGCAGCGGGAGGCACTCGCCACGTCATCAGGTTGGGCTTCCACGGGCTGCGATAGCCGAGGTACAGACAGTTACCCCAGCTCCGGCTACGAAAGAAACCCCGCGGCCACGAGCAGTTTCCAACAGCCACATCATCACCACTGCCACCACGCCGAGCACCAGCATAAGCTGCAACCCGCTTCCTCCAGTGACGGCAGCAGCAGCATGAGTAACGCGGCTGTTGTAGCCGGTGCGGGTGCGGAGGGACCCACGGGTCGGCGGCCTCCTCGTGTGGCACTCGTGTTTGGCCGCGAGGAGCTGGGTATGAGTGACGAGGAGGTGGACAGCTGTGAGGTGTGCTGCTCCATACCCATAGGCAGGCTGCAGGTGTGTATGTGTGTGCATGTATGTATGTATGTACGTGAGAGAGAGAGGGAAGGGGAGGGAAGGGAAGGAAGGATCATTAGGAAAAGGGTTTTTATTGTTTTCCTTCCTCCTCACTGGCAATGAGCCGCCCCAAACCGTTTTTGAGTCTGCATGGTGTGTGTAAAATTGCTCTGCGCGGTGGTGCTTGTGAAGGATTCGGGATTTCGTTCGTTCTCCTCCCGCTATTATGTGGTTCCCATTGTTGCCATTTGTCACTGGACTTCGGGCCGCGTCGTGTCCTTGTCTAACCCTGGCCGCTTGTCACCTAACCGGCCGCTCCCAGCTTTCTGGCCCCTTCCCGCCGTTGGTTTTGAGCTTCCAGAGTTACATATCCTCCCCCCGGGAAGTTGCATCATTGCTCCAACACCAAACTCCAACAGCGCTTGTTCTCTTAGGCATGTCGGCAGCTGCCGCCTTTGTCTCCCGCGTGTAAGGTTCCCCCCGCCCTCACCTAGCCGTTTCGGACCTCTTGGACACCGGCAGCAGTTCACTTCCCACTTTCTCGCGTGCGATTCAACCCCCTCTTCTCTCCCCCCCTCCCCCCCTGCAGGAGTCCCTCAGTCTATCACATGCAGTCAGCATCGCCCTGTGCACCCTCTACCAAGCTCGACTGAACCACCTAACAGGCGCAGCGGGGGAACAGGCTATAGCAGCAGCAGCAGCAGCTGGTGAGGCGCAGTTGCTGCTACAGCCACACCTGCACGTGGCGACCGCAGCAGCAACTGCAACTGCCGGGGCGACGATAGCCTCCCGGGGGGAAGGACCGTCGCTTTCGGAGTCCGTCGCTTAAAGCGCTGTTGGCACGGCCACAGCCATCACGGTAACGGCCGTGTGAAGCACCCAGCATTCCAGCTGCCTAAGGCCGCCATCACCACCATCACTACTAGGGGTGGGAGGGGTTGAGGGTGAGGTTTGCGTCTCACAACCCCACTCGTATTCCTGATGCAGTATCTGACTGGTCCTGGCGTATCCGTCTACTTCTGGTGTCTGCTTCATTCGTCAGTGGTTCGCATTACCTCCCCGTTGTGGACAGGGGCCCTATGAAGGCAGCCCCCGATGCACCGGTCGGAAAGGCGACAGGCGGTCAGGGTACAAGCGGCTGCCTGCACCCGGGGGACCTGCTGGGGGCTGTGGGAGGAGAGCCAGGAGGAGGGGGTGTGTGGAGTCCGTCCCTTGGGGAGGTGTGAGCTCTCAACGCGGTCGTAGCACCCGACTGGGGCAATGAGTAACAATCTGGCAATGAGTAACTATCTGGCTTGGAAGATAGGTTGAGACTTTGGATTGACCGGCTGATGGTTCGGTTGGGAAGGCCTGAAGTGTTATATGAATACATACATACTTACAGGTCCTTGCCGCCGCACGTGGTACGGAAGCTGGGGTTGGGCTGTGTGTGGGAGATATTCCAGGAGGGCCGTGCAGCAAATTGGACGAATGGAGGACCCACAAAGTGGGGAACAGGGCGTCGAAGATCTGTGTGAAGGAGGTTGCCGGTTTGAGCCTGCATCGGACCGCAAGCTCCATCATCACTTTTTCAGCTCTTGAACTGAGTTTGCAAATGCTTTTGTCCTTTGTCTTATGACGCTACACTCCACCACACTTCGCCAGCAAACCCCCATTACACGCAGTGTGTGGAATTGCGGCGCCGCTCCCGTCGGTGGCCCCAAACCACCCTGTGCTGACCCGCGGTTCGTGATCCAGGTGCTGAGCTGATTGAGTCGTCTGTGAGGGGGCGCTTTCATTCAGCGGGTGCGGGTCTCCCTTTGCGCATCACGCCCTTGACCTCCGCATCGTTTGCTTCTCAGCCCGCGTGCATGTAAGAGAGGACACGACAGACACATGGCAGGACATACTTCACAGAGGTGTTCCCGCGGTGTTCTCATCTTCACTGAGGCTGCTCTTAGCGGTTGCATGTGCTCCCGCGTGTGTGTGTGCGTGTGCGTATAAAGTAGGGAGAGAGAGTGTGCGTTACACCACCTGGAGTTGTGGAACTACCCTTCAAAGATATGACCTACGGGACCGGAGCCCGGAGGGGGCCCAACGGCAGATAACGGTTGTTTGTGTTTTTACCCAACACAAGGTACTGCGATAAGCCTTCCCCCCCACACGTGCAACCGCGAGCAGCAGGTCAATGAACATCCTACACCAAAGAGACTCGAACGGGGGGCTGCGTCTTCCCAATTCGCTTCGTCCCACCTTTCCTCACAACCCCCACACATCCCGCCTCCATCCAGCCAGTGTCCACGCAGCACGCTGCTGAATCCCTCAGACCACATAGACCACATAAAACACAGGTATCGCCCTCTTTTAACCCCCCATGCATGCAAAACCCATTTCACCCTCCATCACCATCCCCTTTTCCCTATCCTTTCCCCCCGTCTTCCTCTTCCTCCTCTTTAACTGCGAACCGCATCACCGCACCGGTCGGCCGCACCGCCGGTGGCGAGGGCAGCGGTGGGCCCCTGACTCCATGGCCAGATCCCCGCGCCGGTCCCCCCTCCACCCCAGCTCCTGTAGCTGTCTCTGCCCCCGCCTCCGCGGCGGCCCCCTCCACCACCTCCCCATTCACGTACTTCTCCTGCATGCCTAGCCAGATATCGCGATCTGATAAACCCGCGTCCGCGCTGCCGTACAGCATCTCCGGCGGGTACGGTGTATGGCCCCGCAGGGTGGCGAAGCAGTAGCCGTTGGCCTTGTCAGCAGCCACCATCAGCTGCTGCAAGCTGGCCTTGTCCTTTGAGGGGCACGTTGCGGAACAAGGGGGCCGAAGGTGGCGGGGGGAAGGGGAAATGATGCGAAGCAGAAATAGTTAGGCCAGGCCGGGGACCTGGGTTAAGGTACTGGGCCAGGGGGAGAACATCCAGGCCGGGTGGGGGAGAACTTGAAGGGTACACAGGAAGCAGGTTTTGGCTTAGAAGCGAACATTAAAGGAATGTTCCCTCTCCAGCGGGATACAGGATCACGACCGTCGCAGTCGCAGTCGCAGCAAAGCAGAACCGTGGCCCCGGCCAGCTACGCTTTCGTACCTGTATGGCAAACGGCATGAACGACACCAGGCCGTACTCTTCCACCACCTCACACAGCCCCTGGCTCAGCTTCCTGCGGCGCAGTTGTTTCATATTGTCATATTGATGTGCGTCTGAACAGCAGTCGTGGCTTGGCAGGAAGATATTCAACAGCATATTACAGCAACAGCATCAAGACCGACGGCCATCGGACATCGCCCGACATCCGCAACGGCTCTGGCGGCGGTTGATTTCCGCCCCCTTATCCGCCCCCTTACCGGAACTTCTTCGAGAAGGGCTGACTCCCCATGGCGTGCACCAGAAAGCCCAGGTCCTGGACCTCGGTGTAGAAGTCCAGGTTGAAGTCTGGACGCCAGGGAGGGGACCCGAGCAGGGGGCCGTGAAGGAGCACAGGAAAGAGAGGGGTTGGAGAGGGCGCAGCATCTGATCGGAGGGAAGGGGGGAGAGAGAGCGGAAGGGTGCTCCACCAACTCGCCCTGCTAACCCCGCACCCAGCCGTTCCTCTGACCACTAGTTATTACACCACAAACCAGGGACCACTAAGACGACAATGAGCTAAGACTGAGCCCCCGGCTCCTACAAGTAAGGACTGCAAACGAGTCATCGTCCGGCACACCGCAGGCAGACGCCCAAATCTCCCCATCGCCCCAAACTGAGTCAGCGTTCGGCGTCGGGGAAACATTTTCCTGTTAGGTTTGCCTATATGCCTAAAAACGCTCCTCACCTAGCTTGCCGTACTGTCGTACGAGATCCATTTTGGACAGTACGTTGATGTGCGGTAATTCCAGATGTAACATCGTGCTCAGTGACAGCAGCAACGCCGAAATGTACCTAAGTCCGACGACGGGTACGACACCACAATAACAAGAGTTTTAAGAGGGATCAGCAGCAAAAGTACAAGTAGTACCTGCAGACGCACAACTACCAGCAGTAGCAGTAGCAGCACACGCATATGCGCAGCACAAGGCCCCACAGCAGCAGCCAAGGAGTCCAATAAGGGCCGGAAATCCGACAACTGCCAGCGGCCATAGCAGCCCCCTCTCCCCACCCCGCCCCACCTCCCACCCCACCTCCCACCCCAACCCCGGGGGGACCTCACCCACCCCCACCCCGGGGCCCGCACCCCTCACTTTGCCGGGTCTGTACACAGGTGCGCGTCCACCAGCTGTACGGCAACTAGCCGGTAATGATACTGCGCCCCCGTTAACTCGTCCAGTACGGCACGTACGGAGCCGCCGCCGGGCCCGGTGAATAACTCAACTTGGCCCGGGCAGTCGAATAGGAAGTAGTAATCATCTGGCGGGCAGGGAACAAGGCCCCGGCGTGTGCGTGTGTGTGTGCGTGTACCAGGGTAAGAAGGACGGAAAAATGACAGACCAGTCTGGTTGATGGGCTGCGAACCGCGGGGCAGGGAAGCGGTTTCTGCCCACCACACCACCTGAGAGGCAGTTGTGAAGGAGGAGGGCGAAGAGGAGGAGAACGCGGGGGAGATAGATAGCGTGGGAAGCAGCAGCGGGCGGAAGGTCTCACCCTCCCTTCCCTCCTTGTTCGGGAGGGATCCTCAAGGCACCCCCCTCACCCTCGCCACCCTTCCAGAGGAAAGCAAGGAAGGGGGACGATACAGCGCTCACTCGCTCGCACTTGAAGGACAGAGAAAGAGGGGGGCCTGCTTCCCCTCCCTGCCTTTCTGTTGGTCGGCTAGCTGACTGGGTCCTTGAACCGCATGTCGCTAGGAGCGGCCCCGGGGCCCCGTAGTGCCCTCCTGGGCCATTGGGAGACCGCGCCTGGGGGCCGTCTTCGGAGCCCGCTTTGGGCGCTCTCATTGCTTACCCTTTTCTAAGGGCGCCAGCTTCTCATGCAGCCAGTCCAGGTTCTTGGCCAGATAGTCCATGCAGTACAACATGCCTGGTCGGAGACGGGGCGGGGGCGGGGCCGGGTACAGATAGAGAATGTGTACAAGAACGAGTAGCGCTGAAGAGGGATGTGGGATGTATGCAGAGCCAAAACACAACAAATCAGGCCGGTGCACATCGCCGCGCCCGGACTATCAATCTACCTCCATTCGGTCCGAGCTTGAGCTCCGCCATGACCTCTTCCAGGCAGACTAAGTCGGCGATGTCCACTGCGGCCTCGTACGGCAGCATGTCGTTGGCGGGGTCAAGATTGACGATCGCAACCTTGCGGCCCGTAGCCTGCATAAATTGCTGCATGCCCCGACAGTAGGTTGTCTTGCCGCTGCCGGGTGGGCCAATCACGACCTGGCCGAAGGGCATCTTGACGGACAATGAAAGATGAGCGCTGCTACCAAGTCGGAAGGTAATTGCTAATACATATAGGACACGACATAACAAAATCGTTACATTTGTATCCTAGGATGCGAAGTGCGGCAAGCCTTCTACTTCTAGAAGCGAAAAAGCAATACCAAAGCACCCCAGAAACGTGAGTGTTAATCTGACCTCAGCACAAAGGAAGACGGAATGCTAGGTTAAGGTAAGTTGAATGCATTATTTATGGTCACTCCTTGTTCTAACGGTTATCGGTTTCCTTGGAGGTCGTTATTTTGTTAGATGCCCATTTACGGCGGCGACAGCAGCTCCGACCGTATCGCCCTCCACGAAGTATTCCGCAGCTGAACTTTGCACACGTACACTTCAGCGTTGCTAGCCGCAGCCCGGTACATATTTCTGAGGGATTGCTCTGGGCTCAGCACCTTGAGTTCAGGTGGTTCCTCCCTGGGCCTCTTCCCTCCATCGGACTAGTCCTTCCTCTTCAAAATCCGAGATGCCCTTTTATGAATTCACCTTATTCCCAAACCCAACCCTCTTGAGGTGAAGCGCGATGTTTGTCGCACTTGCGGCAGCGACGGCGGGTGCACCGCCACCCCCAACGTCGACACCACCAAGGCCGCGGGGCAGTCTCCACCAGCATGCGTCATAGCACAACCCCATCTGAACGCCCCATTCCAGGGCCGGCATGTCCGCCTGTTTCTCCTGTCGAGTGATTAGATGTGTACCGTTCAGGCAACCCTGCCACTCCGCTGCAGAGAGGAACGGCAAGAGCTTACATGTTGCCACATGTTGCCTAAAGAGGCAAAACCCGGAGCTAGAACTAAAGGGGGAACCCCAAAGTCATCGTCCCCCAGATCCTGCTAAAAATAAAAACGTTTCTATAGGAGCCGCAAGAACTTTACTACCACCACTTCCCGATTGGCAGCGGGCTGTAATAACAAGACGGAGACCGCGCACACGGGTAAAATTCCTTAGTGCCGGGCACTGCACCGACCGTGCCCTCCGTCCTGCCCTCCGTCCTGCCCAACAATAAACAATAACAGTAGCAGCTCAGGTTGAGATCCCGCTCGGAACTCGCGTGTTGGCGGCGGCCGCATTGTCGAAATGCCAACCCAACGCACAGCTGCGTGTGGCATGGTCTGAGACCGCACGCGCCGCACTCCCCTCCCTATCTGTCGCACTCCCCATCCCATCCCTACCTCCAGTTCCCCCTTTCGAATCCCGTCCAGATCATCAGACCTGCAAAATCCAAACCCAAATACCTAAACCACCCTTCCCTACAACCCTTCCTGCCACCATCCCGGGGCTCCCCGTCGTCCAGCAGGGGCACTACCAGCCGCACGACTGCCCCAAGCAAAAGCAACTGCGCCCTCCATTTCCCCCTTGCCCCCTCCTACGCCCTGTCCTCCTCCGCCGCCTCTTCCTCCCCTTGCTCGAAAGAGGAGAAGCAGTGTCATGCGGCTGGTCGGTGGGGTAGGGCGAGGCGAGGCGAGATGCGGTGCGGTAACGCGAGGTGGGGCAACGGGTGGCTATGCGGGCGGCCGGCCGGGCCCTCAGTCCTTGCCCACGTCCATGGTGCAGCGGACCACGGGCGCATTGAAGTTCTGAACGGCGGGACCACGTAGACGACAACAACAACAACAACAACAAGGGGAGGTGGAGGTGGAGGAGGGAAAGAGGCGGGTGGTAGGGAAAGGCTAGAAATATAAATTGCTGGTGGAGGAAGATAGGGAAAGGAAGGCAAGCACTGCGCTTTCAGGGAAGAGGAAAGCAAGAGGAAAGAGCGAATGTTTCCACCATTGCAATGGTGGCAGTGACGAGAGGTGTGGCTGCTGGGTTAGGTTAGGTTGAGCTGGGTGCTGAGGCGGTTGTGGTTCACGTGTCCCCCCCCACAAGAACCCCACCTCGCCACCACCCGCCGAAGTACTCCGCAGCTTACCTTCTCATAAATCTTGGTACCCGGCGGAATGGGCAGATCCCGTACGAGCAGATCTTGTTCCAGATCCAGGTGCCGTACATTGACCTCAATGTACGGCGGAATGGCGTTGCCAAGCGCCTTGTACCGCACGGTGCGTCTGCGGTTGAGCGTTTGAATGCTTGATGACCTTGTGTTTGCATTACGCGGGGGAATTTGCTAAAAGGTAGCGCCGGCCCCCTTCCCCCACATCCTGGCACTGCCCACCGCCCGCCTCACCACAACCCACCCGGCCCGCCGAGAACACCCCACGCCACTTCCATACCCGCACGCACTCCCTCCATCCTTAGGTATTTCCCGGTGCCTCGGCAATGCAACGGAGACCCGCGGCACGGATGCAAACCCCCAACCGCCACGTGCGAAGTGCTCATCAGGACCTCAATATAACCCAAGGCCCTCAAATTTTACATGCTCCCCATCCTTTCATGACCCTTCGCAGCAGACACCCCCCCACACACGTCGCACTTTGTCTAGCTCCCTGTACTTCCTGGATTCGTCCCCACCCCCCAACGCCCCAGCAACCACCTCACTTTAACATGCACATCCAGCCGCCCTTCCGCACACCAGGCGCCATCTCGTCGTTCACCAGCCGTACGGGCACGTCCACCAGTACGACGCGGTCAACGGGGCAGTAGATCATCTCAATGCCCTCCAGCCGCTGTGTCACCGCGTTCATTTGCACCCGCACGGGCTTGACTCGCAGCACCCCCAGCACTTCACCGCCGACCTCGCTGCTACTGCTGTTGCTGCTGCTGCTACTGCTACTACTGCTGCTGCGCGTTATAAGGCTGCTTGCAGCAGCGGCGGCTTGGGCCGGGGGTGAAGAGGACGTAATGGCGCCGGAGGAGATAGGCACAGGCGTTGCGGAAGTTGTCCCGGCATCAGGCAGTAGCGGGACGGGAGTTGGGGGCCCGGGGGGCCGCAGCAGCTTCAATTGTAGTACTCGTGCCGTACAGCCGTTACGTCCAAAAGTTCGGACCTGACAGGACAAGAGGGAAACGGCAGACGGACGGACCGGGTGCTGGGTGTTGGCAATGTCAGAGCCGTGGCCCCGGAGGGAGGGGACGGTGCGGGGGAAGTGACACTGAGTGAAGTGATGGCTGCAGAAAGGGGGTGAGGGGGGGAAAGGGGGGAAGATGAACCACAGACGAGTGATGCGAATGAGACGAGGGAGAAAGGGGACAACTACTGGGAGATAGTTGGGGTTGTGGCTGTAATGTGGGGTGTGGCTGTAATGTGATGTCCTTCCCGCCGCCCCCCGGAGTACCCAGTCCCCTCTTCCACAACCACCCGATCAGCTCTCGCTCCACCCCCTGCCCGTCACCGCGCCGCCCCCCGTTGCCCCCAGATCAATCCTCCATCCTCACAGACACCAACACCGTGCCCCGGTCCGACCTCCACAAAACCCCAAGTCCCTCCCTCCCACTAGCTTTCTCCCCCACCTGTCATTCCACACAACCCCCTCCCAGCTCTGTTTCTTTAAACCCCAATCCCAACCGAACTCCAGCTTCACACCTCTCCCCATCCCGGGACCTTGTCCAGACGACATCCCACCTTACCCGGGTCCCGATCATCTGACCCAGTGTCCCCCCCCCACCCCACCCCCCACCCCACCCCACCCCGCATTTGCCGCCGCCCTCATGTGGGTTACAGCCCCTCCACCCTCCGCATGGCCCCGCCCAATCCCATTCCTTGGAAGGTAAGAACCGCACTCGTTGGAGCCGCTCACACGCGGGGCTTCACTGAGTCACTCACGGAACCATACCGGGAAGGTTTATTTACCCTTCCGTGACCCCATCCGGCCCCCAGACAGCCCCCCTCCTCCTCCCCCCGGTATGTCCCCTCCCCAGCCGAGCTCAGCTCCTCCGGACTTGCCTCTTACCATCCTCGCTAGGCTCGTTTCGTCAAAATGGACGTTGAGCTCCCAAACCCCCCTTCCGCCAGGCCCCGGAGAGCCCATCAGGGAGTGCACCTGACCCGGCACGCGCCCGGAGCGCCTGAGCCACTTGACGGCGCAGCGGGCCATGCCGTGCTCGGGGTCCCGTACATGGGCCTCCAGGGAGGGCAGCTCGGGTTCCACTTGGTGGGGGGGAAGGGGTGCGGGTAGGGACTGGGCGGAGAGGACCAGGGATGAGCGGCGGCGGCCATCCAGGTGGGAGTCGGCGGCGAGGAAGGCGTCTAGGGTGCGGAAGGAAAGGGTTTGTGGGGTTGAAGAGGGGGGTCGTTGCGAGGGGGGAGGGGGAGGGGGGTTGGTAATCAGCGGGAAGGGGGCCGAGGAAGAGTCGTGTGACATGCAGAGGAGGAGAGGAGAGGTGTGGGGGCGGCAAGGAACAGCACGGCTCACTGATGCTATGGAGCTCCTGCAGGATGGCCGCCTGTACCACGGAGAAGGGCTGGCGTTCCGTTAGGGTGTGCTGCCTCCGGCAAGAAGTGAGGTCCGAAAGCCAACCGTGTGGATCAGAGCTTTGGACTAGCAGGGTGCAAAGCCAGCCACGTGCGCCGTGGAGCGGAGTGATGCCGCTGCGGAATGCAGCGGCGCCGAGCGCCGCGATGCCCAGCGACATACAGCTAAGATAAGCTAGTTTATTGTACAGAGTATGCAAATTTTCAGGCCTCAAATAGCCATGCTACGCAATTGCGTCGCAGCAGCAAATCCAAAGGGAAGATGTCAAAGTTTAAGCATTTTGCTTATTTTGCCCATATAGCCCCTTCGGTTGCATTACGGGGATTTCTGATTATTCAATGTGTGCACTTCAACGGAGTTGGTAAGCAGTACTGCAACCGAATAGCGAACGGGAAATGGTCACTGGACTTTTAGTGATCACTTGTCCTATACAGACGCCTTTATATAACTTTAAAGACAACACATGACACGAAAATAGTTACACTACGCACAACATCCTTATTGCAACTTCCCATCTGGTCGCCTGTGTTGAAAGGCCTGCTGCACGGCTCAGGCGATCATAATGGTGAAGGAGGTACACGATGAAGGGTACGCAGTCGTCGCACGCTCGGACGTTGAGGCGGCTCAGGTATGCTTCGTCATCCGCTTGCACTGTTCGACGGGACGTCTGGGTTCGTAGAAGGGACATGAAGGTACTCAATTTTTGTCCCCCAACCTCCTGAAATATCGACCCCGGATACAAGCTTGCCACAATAACCGACCACCCTTTCAACCGGCGCCATTTCGCTCGCGCAGGCCGAAGCAAGCAGCAGGTCCGCACACCAGCCCAAGCAAGCGCGGAACCAGACGGCATTCTTCATGGCCCTTGCGATAGGGTAGGTCTCCCAGAGCCCTCCTAGATAATGTGGGTCGCACTAAGCTGCAACATGCCAGCACGGCACCTGCAACGACGGCCACTCCAGCGCGAGTCCTTAGCTGTTCAATTCGATGCTTCAATTGCAGCTTTAGACTCCCCTGCGCATATCTCCAACTTTCTTAAACTCTAGATTTTGCTGGGTTTTAGAACCGGCCCAGCAAAGAGGACAGCAGGAAAATAGATAATTCCGCACCCCGCCGTCGCTAGAGGGTACCCTTCGCCCTCGATTCCAGCTACCCATGCTATCATGCTCAGTTTTACCACCAAGGCACAAATCCAATGCTCAGACCTTGTGCCCTTTCGGCCCAGCCTCTTCCCAACCGCATTCCAACCTCCTCCACGGCTTTCCCCTTCCCTATCCTCCCCCACAATGCCCCCACAACGCCCTTTCCCCAGATCCATTGCCTCAGCGCTGGGTTTTTCAACGCTTCAGGAGAAGGTGTTCAACATCCCGGGCTTCACGTACGGCGGCTGGATGACCTTCATCACCTACCTGACGTACTCGGCGTGTGGCCTGGCTGAATCAACTGTCACCAGAAGCTTCAAACGCAATGCCAGTCTAAGGGTACGCGCTCGTCGCTGCTGGGGGTTGTTTTGAGTGGGAGCGTGGTAAGGGCCACTGAATATCGCATGATTGGTGTTGGTGAGTAAGGTTTTAAAACTGGATTCAGCTGGATCGGGTTTTGCAGGGCTGGTTTAGGGTTTAGGGGTTTAAGGGGGTGGTAACCGTGTGTGTTTTGTTAAGGACTCCGTGAGAAGCGAGGACCTGGGGAAAGCTTCTCCATTTATGTAGCCCTTAGCCCTCCTTTCCCCCCCCCCCCTTTGTCCGATTTCGCAACACATGCAGCAGCTGCCTTGTTCCTAAACCCCCGGCCCACCTCCGCAACTTCCCGCCCCGATGCAGGACTATGCGCTCATTTCCATTCTCGCCATGGCGGGCGCCTACTTCACCAACTGGGCCCTCAACTACCTCAACTACACCACCCGCATCGTGTTCAAGTCGTGCCGTGTCATACCGGTCATGGCATTTAGGAGGTAACGGGTCTGTGGGTGGGGCTGTGGGGGAGGCTGAGGTGCGGGGGGAGGATGGGGCGCAGGGGACCCAGGAGGGGCTCCGTGATCCGCACTGGGCCCCCACACACCAGGGATGTGGGTGCGGGGACGCGGAGGGGTGAAGCAGCCCCACCCCGCGCCCACACGCCGCGATTACCATCTGGTTACCACGGGCAGTGGTATATATTAAGCCCGATTTTAAACTTCCACTCTCCTAATCGCCTTACAACTCGCATCCCGTACCCGCGTGTTCGGGTTTCGTCTTGGTCCGCCTGTCTTTACCCCGAGCCCCATCACTCACACCCTCCCCACCTCCCTTCTCCGCTTCGCTTCTTTTTCCCCCGTCCCGTCCCTCTTCCCGTCCCCCTTCCCACCCGCCGTTCTGCACTGTACCGTTGTGCCCGAACAGTCTGGTTGTGGGTCAGCGGTACAGCGCCCTCCAGTACGGTGCGGGCGCCCTGCTGGTGGTAGGCATCAGCTTGTTCACCGCGGGGGATGCGGAGGGAGCGCCAAATTTCAGCGGAGTGGGAGTGGCGCTCATTGCGGTGGCGCTGGTGAGGGCAAAGAGGGGGGGAGAGGGGGGGGAGGGGGAAGGGAATTCCCGATCATATGTGTAATATTAAGAAAACCACTGCCGACGTCCGGGGATGGGGGGAAGGAGGTGAGGTTTGGGTTATGGGGGTATACCTGGGCGACAAAGGGGAGAGGGAAATGGATACGTGAATCTTCCTTTGCGTGACTTCACCCCTGGACACTGTCTTCCTTCCTCACATGTCGCCACCTCCCCATGCCCCGGCCGCGCGCCCGGGATGCTGGCGGCTGCTGCGGTGCTGTTGCCTGTGCGGCGGGTGCTCGTGATACTGGTGTCGCCTTCAGCTGTGTGACGCCCTCACGGCCAACTTGGAGGAGCGGCAGTTCTTCCGCATCCGCACTCCCGCCAGCCACGCGGAGGTGATGACGTACTTGTCTCTCTTTGCGGCATTGGAGTCATTTCTGGTGCTGTTAGCCACTGGTAAGGAGAGGCAAAGGGGTGGTGGGAACGGAATGGTGATTGGTGATTTTTCGCAGGAAAAACCGCCTCTGTTTACATGGACATCCGCGGGGGGCCTTGGTAGGGAGGGCGTGTGGGAGGAGTGAAGGGCAGGGGTGAGGAGGGGGGTGGGGAGGTTTGCCAAGTGAGGTAGTAGGGAGGGAGGGCGGAGGGAGTTCGAGTTTTAGGGTTTTGTGGGTCTCCGACCATGTTTTAGGGTTTTAGCGCGACGTGCTACGCACTGGCTGCAGCACTAGCCGTCACCTGGTAAGGAATTGCAAATAATCACCGCCATTGTTGATGCGCGCTATTCCTAACCCCTCACGTGTTTGTGTTTTCACCCGTCTCCCGCCACCACCTGCCCCCCAGGTGAGCTTCAGGCCGCCCTGGCTCACTCCTCCCTGCACCGGGAGACGGTTCCCACCATTTGTGCCTTCTCCGTACTGGGCTACGTGACGGTGTGTTTGGTGTTGCTGCTCATTAAGCACTTTGGAGCTACGAGTGCGGAGGTGGTCAAGTCCATGCGGAAGGTGCGGAGGTGGGGGGGAGACCGGGCGGGGCCCAAGGGGTAAAAGTCATGAGCGATACACACCGACTGGTTACCATGTCTAGGTGTTTGCGGTGCAAAACAACCGTGAATCACGGTTGTTTTGCACTTCCCAGTTGCTTCTTCTGATGTACGTTCTTTCGAGATCCATGCAAAATCCTTTTTTCCTTGACCCAGCCCCCTCTCCTTGCCCCCTCCTTGCCCTTTTTGCTCCTCCCTCTCCCCCTCCCTGCTCCTCCACCCCGCAGGTGTGCCAGGTGATTCTGTCCTTCCTGGTGTTCCCTAAGCCCATGAGCTGGAAGTACGTGGCGGGCGGGGCGCTGGTGGCGGTGGCGCTGTACGCCCTGCAGCGAACCGGCAAGAAGCCCGTCGGGGCGGATGCCAAGGAGAAGGACAGGGAGGGGAGAAAGTTAGGCGGGGGCGGGGGCAACGCCGCGGTTCCCCCGGCGGGCGCAGGAACGGGGACGGGGGCGGGGACGGGGGATCATCACGCTGGGGGCGGTGCCGTCGGGTCGGGTTAGGGCGCCGAGGGAATACATGTCCAGGCCCCGTAGCTTATGTGGGGAGGAGCTGTGCATTGAGGTATGGAAAGTGGGGGAGAGGTCGGGTTACCGGCGATTGCTGGGTAGTAATGAGGTTGGTAGGTAGGGGCGGGGACATAGGTAGGCGCGCTGGAGTAGCGGGCTGCTGTCGGAATGCGGAGTAACGACGGCGCGCAAGGAGGATGTTAAGCAGGGGGATTAGGATGACACGCAGGGCCTGCGGTTGTGTGACTGTCTGTGTCTGCGTCTGTGTGTGTCTGTGTGTGTGTGTGTGTGTTTTCGGCCGCGCGGGCGGCGGCTTGGGTAGCTTGGGAAAGGGGTTGCTCGGATGTCGTCGTGTCTCTGCGACCGGGAGCCTGTGCGCTCAGACAGATTGGGCTCCGTGGGTGAGGTGCTTCGTTAGGCTACTTTGGACACAACATGAGACATACGGACGGCACACACGAGGGGTTTAACAGCGCGTCGTAGGGTTTTTGCAGTGCCTGTGCTTGAAGCCCTATTGGATGTACGGCCGGTAAATGGTAAGAAGTGCAGCGATGTACGGACGTCCGGCCAAGACATCCACGGTGTGACACATGTGCCTTGGGTAAAGCTATTAATAGTACCTGTACGAGATATTGCTTGGACCTGAAAGAACTGAACTCGGATTTGCGGCTTGTGTGATCAACGAGGTCTTGCCTTAAAATTGCTGCGACCTTGGGGCTGGTGGGTGGGTGCGTGGCATGTCCGGACGCTTACAGATCGTCCTAGGGCTGCCTGGGAAGCGCTGGTGATATATGCAACTGGTGATAAGGCGTGACTCGGTCGGAGCTGTGTTTTGCTACGTCTCTTGTTAAATACTGCTTGGGAGCCTGCCGTATGGGCTGCCAGAAGCTTGGTGGTTGTCTGTTTTTTCCAAAGATGGCTTTTGGGTGGAGTTATCTTTGTAAGCTGCAATAATCACTTGATTATTTACAGCCACCTGTACGGAGGCTACTGCCGCCTCGGGATACGACATACGAGACTTGAAAACGCCTGATAACATTTGAACTTATGATATTATCATTTCTGATCATTGAGTGGATTTTCTGCAAACAAAACCTTTTAACTGCATCGCAATTTTGGGAGGCTGCTTCCAGCTACCGTTGTCTAGGCGTTCAGTAAAGAACTGGTTTCGCAGTGAGCATGAATCGCTCTCGACCTAATATTCTTATAACGGGAACTCCTGGAACTGGAAAGACCACAACCTCGGAGTTGGTCGCGCGAGAGCTGGGATTCCGGCACATAAATGTTGGCGAGTGGGTTCGGGAAAAAGGCCTCCACTCCGGCTGGAACCAGGAGTTTGAATGCTTTGACCTGGATGAAGATAAGGTTCGTCTGCAGCAATTGCCCGTGAACGCTATGGGCAATACGATATGCGTTCTGCGACGCCGCCGAGAGCACCCGCATGCGTAGCCGCTGTCCGCCTGGCTATGTCGCACGTATGAAGATGTCCTGGTGTCCAAGTCTGCGGAGCTCAGCACGTTCTGTTCGCAGCTCATTCCTCTGCGACACCTTCCTCTCCAAGACTCCCCCGCTATAGTTCCCTTGCTCCAGGCCCCTCTCCGGGGGGACTATTGCCCTAACCCCTGAACCTCCTTTCCCCCTAACTCCCAACACCTCGGGGCCCCCTCCGCCGCTGAAACCCCAAAGCCCTATGCAAAGCGTGCCCTAGGCCGCATGCCAAGGCGGCTAAGTCCCTAACTCCTCGAGTCATGTCCCTTTGTTAGGCCCACTGCCACCGGCCCATCTCAAGCCGTGGCGCGGCGTGGGTTGGTTGAACTTTCTCAACACCCCCCCCGTTCCCTGGCAGCAGCTTCACTCGTTTGTGGTTCGTCTTCCCCCCGTTCCCTGAGTGGGGCCACGCCCCCAACTGCAGCACCTGAGTCCTGAGGCGGGTTTCTTCCTCCTTCCTCCCGCCCCCAACTGCAGCAGTTTCGACGTTTGTTTGCCGGCAGCTCATTCCTTTCCTTCCTTGCACGTGACACCTTCCCCCCGCAGGTCTGTGACGCGCTGGAGGACCTGATGGCGGAGGGCGGCAACGTGGTGGACCACCACGGCTGCGACTTCTTTCCGGAACGGTAAGTCTTCCCTTCCCAAATACCACCCCTCCCCTCTGCCTCCCTCATTCCCCTGGACGTGCTAACTGACGGGAGCAGCACCACCCGGGGGTAGGGTGTTGGGGTGAGGGGGGGGGGGGAAAGGAAAAATCTCATCATACTGAGGGCACTGAGACAACTGCCCACAGTCCCCAATGGGCCTGGGGCCAGAGGGGGGGGAAGCACTCGACGAGGCATCAGCGGGCGGCCCGCCCAGCCCTGTTAGCCCTGCCCCGCCCAGAGCCATGCTGGACCCGCTGGCCCGCGCCCACTGCCCCCCGAGGGCCCTCGTCCTCCCGCTTGTTCTCCCTTTCCACCGCCGCCGCCTGTGTGCTTTCGACGCTGTGGATATCTGTCATGTCGACCTGTGTCTTCTCCGTGCGTATGTATGTGTGTATGTATGTATGCTGGTTATTGAAACTTAAGCCGCACTGTGCCAGTTGCGTGCTGTATGTGTTTGTGTTCGTCACAGCTTGATTTGCGTTTCTCGTCAAAGGTTTCGCAGGCCCATATGAGCCCCGAGGGCTGTCCGAATGAGACAGATGTCATAAAAACGGATGTATGCATGTATGTATGTGCGTGTGTGTGTATGGATATGTGTTTTCGTGCAGGTGGTTCGATCTGGTGGCCGTGCTTCAGACCAACAATACGGAGCTGTACGACAGGTTGCAGAAACGGTGAGTGATCCGGTGAACATGGTTTGGGTGGAGCGCGTGGCCGGGTTAGAGGGCGGGCTGAACCTTCCCGGCGGCAGCTGACGGTCAACAAAACGTGGGGGCTTGGGGGCCGCGCCTCGGGCCCAATGCCAGATCTCACACACGCGACATTGGCGGGCTGAACCCCCCAGCCCTTGCCAACCCCGATCCTTTAAATACGACTTAAATTCACCTACTCATCCTCTTGTCCTCGCATCATGAACTGATGTACTTGATCAGCTTTCCCCCGTTACCCCGTCAACCTGTTCTTGGTTGTCTAAGTCGCCCATCTTTGCTTAGCCTTTGCGCCGGCAGGCTTGAGGTTCACACCGCAGGTTTGCGACAACACAAGTTTTCTGATATTGCTTGATTCTCCTTCCCTTCTCTGTTGCTGCTGTTACCTCGCCGCGGCGGCTGCTATGGCGTCCTGTCAAAACCTCCAGTGGCTACTCCGCGCAGAAGATCAGCGAGAACGTGGAGTGCGAGATTATGTTGGTGGTCCTGGAGGAGGCCTCCGAGAGCTACAGGTCCGCAGAAAGGAGGGCGAGAAAAACCCAAGTCAAGTCTCATGAGAAAGACGGGGTCCGACATTCAATGTGTTAAAGGGGAAAATATTGACTGAATTTTGTCGCTGCACAACTCCCAAACCTAGCTTACCTGCAGTCATTGTCACCCCGGCCTGTACCACGCAGCGCTAGTGGTACCCCATCTGCAACCTGTCTATCCTGCACCTGCCCCGTCGCGCCCGTTAGCCCCTCCTCAGATCCTTCTTTTCTTGAAGGCTCCGCATGGGACAATGATAAGGCCCACTTGTGTTTATTTATCATTTTGTCGTGCAATGTGATTATCCGTTGTTGATGTCGTACGGCTTCCAACGGCCTCCCGCCTCTGCCCCCGTTACCGTGCTGTCCCTCATCTCTTATTATTATTGTTATTCCTCTTTGCGCCTGACCGCATTTCATCCCCCTCTTCCGTTTGGCCCGGGTCACCACAGACCCGAAATCGTCAAGCCCCTATCCAGTGACAACACAGACGACCTGGAGCGCAACGTGGGGCTGATTGTGGGCTGGGTGCGGGGCATGATCGGGGCGGCAGCGGCAGGGGCAGCAGCGGGGCAGCAACAGCATCAGCAGCGGTGAAACGAAAGAGCTAAAGGACGGGGGGAAATGGGATTGGTGGGGGGCGTGTGCAAGGGAAGGAGAAGGCCCGTTACCCGGCCAAGGGTAAGGAACCTCAGGCCCGAGCAGACCGGGACGCGAACAGTTCTGAGGGACACGGAAAGGAGGAAGACGGAGGGGATGCACAAGGATTAGATTAACCTGCAGTAGCGGAATCGATTTCATTATAGAGGCGCAGCATTGCTCCTCTCCAGGGATGTCCGTTTCTATCCTATTTAACGGCATTGATGACAAGAGGACAAAGGTACTCCAGGCGAAGCCTGGGAGGCGGATCCTGGGGTGCGGATCCTGGGGTGGGGGGGAGAGGCCTGTACAGAGGCCTGCACGCACCGGCACGGACGCAGCGGACAAGGGCTCGGCTGTGATGGTGCCAGCATGTTACTGGTGGCGCATGCGGAGCAGGCAGCAAGGGGTTAAAGTGCTCTCTGGGGAGTGAGACCGGCTCTGGGGGTTACGGGGCGGGAGCGGATTGACCAGCATGATGATAAAGTTGGGACCGTTGTTGGTGGTTGCGGAAGTTTGCAGATGCTGCGGTTATTGCAGTTGGGATTTGTGGGGTTGGCGTTACGGATGGAGTGTGGATGCTTCTGTGCTGAGGTGGCACCAACGAGACCATTTTAAGTAAGAGACACGCTTGGGGATTTGTGGGGATGGTTAGATGCTGCTTGCTATGCACGGAACGTTATTGGCGTTTGGAATATTAGGAAAAATACGGTTGTGGGTCCGGGTGGATGTCGTGCCAGCGTTGGCTGGAAGGTCCTGGGCAGGGTACGTGAGGTGAAGGTGGCCATGAGGCGCAACAATTAGTTCGACGGGCGTTACGGCGTTACGACTACGTCCCCGAAAGAGTAATAAACACTGCCATGATTGGGCCGGGAAACATATCATCACCACAGCAGACCGCAAATGTAGGTGGGGTCCCCGCGCAATGGGTCAGCAGTCCACTACGACCACCGAATGTCCTTCAATTCTGAAACGAACTTGAAAAGTACCTTTTGTATCTACCACCGCAGCTTCTGTCCCCACGCCACCGCGCCACAACCCTGTCCTCCCGAAACCATTCCGCACGTAATAGTGATATTGGTTGAAAACCCTGGCATAATGCACCCTGCACAAGAGCTTGGACTGGTGTGCAAAGTGCCCTCATGTACTTGACCGGTCTTCAGAAGGCAAGTTTAACGGCACCAAAGAGCAAAACACCTATAAGCACAGACGTCCGGGTGTGGTGCGTGACGGGACATGGGACGTGACGGGTGATGCGGAATGGGTTGGCATGGAGCATCGTGGAGAGTTCGGCTGGGGAGGCGGCACCGTCGGCCTGATTTCATTTAATTTCGAGTTCATCGCCCGTTTGCTCGGCCCCGTAGAAGCGACGACTCTGCGAAGCAAGCTGTCGTCAGCTAAGCAATTAAGCAATGAAATTCAGTTCTGAAAGCTGTGGAAGGCAATACCATACAAGTGATGGATGTATAGATTCATGTCTCGCCAGCGGAACCATGGAGCAAACCTTTGAGAAGCGTTCGCACATGTTTTTTGCGATCTTACCGATTGCTGGATTTGTCGTTGTCCATTATCACAAAGTCATACGGGGGAATGTATATCTATATTCCAGGAAGCAATGTACTCGATCTCGGTTAGGCCGTACAGTGGTGGAGGTCAGGCTGCATTCGGAGCCCAAAGCTAACTAAAGTTGCGTTGCATTTTGATCGCCACAGGCCTTTGTGACTTTGCCAATTTTGGTGCCTGCCTTTGTAGAGATGCAGCTTCTTGCGCAGCGCCAGGCCCGCGCTGCTGGGCAACGTCGCAGCGGCCAGTCAAAATGTATGGCTACCGGTGCTCGTCGCGGAGTTGCTGCTCGAGGTCCGGCGAGGCTGGTCGCTGGTAGCAGGAGGCCATCTGTCCGCGTGCAAGCCGAGGTTCAGGCCGCTGCACCTACCAGCTCTCCCCTTGCCGTTGGGACCATCGCTCTGCGGAAGGCGGTTGCACAGGCAGCTTACAAAGGATCCAGCGTCTTCGTGACAGGTCAGTCGTGCAGGTCGCTATTTTTCCTGAATGGGCTCCGGTAGCGACCGTAATCCCCAACAGCTGTCCATGGACGCTTATCAGGAGCAACATGTTTGTTAACTATTTAAAAATATTACATTAAGGGTAATGAGATTTGGTCGCTGGCTGTGCTGGGGGAATTGCATCGCTATCCCCTCGGTCGCTTCGCACCACGCAGGTGGCCAGGGCGAGCTATCGGTCCGCATCATCCGTGAGCTGCTGAATGCGGGCTTCAAGGTCACTGCCGGTGAGGATGAAAGCTTCGGCAATGTTGAAGGGGCGCTTTCGGATACTTCGGGGGAATAGTCAGCTCCGTGCGTAAGGGATCCCGTTGACTCGCGCCGACCTGCCTTGGACCATCATGTTATAGACGGGGGCCATATCAAGACCATTGATATGACGAACAAGTGCTGTGGTTCCTGGGGCGTGTGGCTGGCCCATCTGCCGTTTGGCCGGTTGGAGAACGCAGCGCGGCGGCAAGGGGTACATGCCTGCCCCCTTGACATGCTTTGACCCAGTTTTCCGCGGGCAAGCTCCTGACTCGGGAGGTTGCGCTTTTAAACCTGGCGCCTTTCCTTAGGACTCCAGGAATATCGACCCCGCTTCAATTCTGCCGCTGCTACTGTTGCCGCGCTGCTTTGGTCGCTGCCCCTGCCCCTACACACCAGGCGTGACCGACCTTGATGCTGCGACCGCCGCCTTCTCCTTCTTCAAGCGCTATGAGCTGATCGACAAGGCCGCTGCCGCCAACCTCAAGCTGGTGGCTCTGGCCTCATTGGAGAGCGACGAGGCGGCTGTGAAGGCCCTGCCCAAGTAGGAGGGTAGCCAGGGGGGAAGGGGGTCCTGCCCATGGGAGGAAGCGTTATGGGGAACTAAAATCAAGCCCTCCCTGGGCTGAAAACATGGCACCCTTAAATAGGGTGGTAATCGGGGTGATGGGTGAGGCCATGCAACAGACGGCCGCTGTGATGATAGGTTACATGTTGCTTGTGGATGGGTCGGCGGGTCGGTCGATCAGTTGGCTTGTAGGCGTGTGGGCAGGCGGGCGGGTGGCTGGGTGGGTGGTTACCCGGAGAGAGCGGGGGGACAGAGACGGGGTGATGGCAGTTGTGTTTGTTTATGTGCGTGTGCAATCTGGCAGGCAGGCAGACAGGCTGGCTGGCTCCCGAGCAGGTGTAGAGTACGCGCTGGGGGGGACCTCTTCTGAACTGTGTTTTACTGCGCCTTGGACCTCCGAAATCGACAAACTTATTTTGCATGTACTGCGGTAGCTGACTATGATGGTTTGTGTGGTGTTTCGTGGTGTGGTATGTCGTGGTGCGGTGTAGTCGTGTAGTGTGGTGTGGTGTGTTGGAGGGACCACCACGGGGATAGTGGTGGGATGGTGGTGGTGGTGGAGGAGGTGGGGATGGGGGTGGTGATTGACGACACTGGGAATGGGACAATGGCGGCTGCGCTGGTGGTGGCGCGGGGTGGTGGCATAGGCGCGTGTGGGACGCATAGTGGTTGCGGCAGCTGTTGTGTCGTGTTGCACCGTCGCACAGCGGCATGGGATCGCTATCTCCCCCCAGTACCACCCCGACAGCGAACACTGCTGAAATGGTTTTACTTTCCTGATCCGCCACCTGGGGTAAACATACGTGAAGATTGCCGCGGGCAGGTGGGGCAGGGCTTGGCTGGACGGGTGGACGTGAGCCGAGCTACCAAGGAGAGCTAGGAAGAGTTAAGGAGGGATGAGCGAAGGGGCTTACCCGGGTTTCGTGGAGGAAAGGAGGACCGAATCCATGTGGACATGTCATGTTGGATGCTAGTGGTTCAGGTTGTAAGGCCCGGTGGGCACCCGGCGCAACACTCCGATGCTGGGGTAGGGAAGGGAGTTGAGTTACTGATGGGTCGCCAGAAGAGGCGCTTTCCTGGTATTGTTGTCTTGGGTTTTGGTGTTGTTGCTGTTGTGGTAGTGGCGGTGGGGGTGGCGAAGTTGTGATGGAGAGCGTCTTCGGTGGTGCGCCTCGTCATTACCGGCGGTGCCCCGTCCCCTCTCTGTCCCCTTTCCCAACCGCGGTCTGAGGTCCTGGGGACCACCCCCTCCCGCGCTGACCCTCGTTACTCTCATCCTCCTCCGCCTTCTCGGCGGTCTTCCTCCTGATCCTCCGTGCTTCTCCCATCCCCTAACCGCACTACCCCCGGGGCCCCCACCTCCCAGGCGTTCCAAGGTGGTGGTGGTGGATGGCGATGTGGAGGGCAAGGGCAAGACCGGCGCCAAGGTAGGGGTGTATGTATGTATGTTTGTGTGCACCCCGTCTGCGTCCAAGTGAAAGGGTCCGTGTTTGACCCCGGCCCCCAACGGCCCGGGCGGTAAGGGCGTATCAGTTGGAGGACGAGGAAAGAGGATACGGCGACTGCCGGCGCCATGGGGTGTAGCCGCGGGGGTATCGCACCTCTTCGTGTGCAGCTCTATGCGTTCTCGTTCCTGAACGAGAGCGCTCTTCTCTTTCGCCTACTCACCCACCCATTTACACATCCGCTCAAACACCAGTGCCGAGTTCCGCTCTTGCCTTTTCTTTCCATACTCATCCACTCGGCGCTGCAATTTACCCGCCAACCTACTCTCACGCACCCTCTCCGACTCAGCATCCATCCCACCCCACCCCCACCCCCACCCCCTCAGGAGGTCCAGTTCGCTCTGGCCCTGGCTGAGGCTACCTCCGCCAGCCAGGTGGTGCTGGTGTCCACCCAGCCGGGGGCTGCGGCGGCTGCGGCCGGAACCGGCTTCCTCGGGGGGCTGTTCGGGGGAGCCAGCCCCAAGCCGCAACCGCAGACCGGCAAGCCGCTGGACAAGCTGGGCAAGCTGGAGCAGCAGGTGCGTGTGCGTGTCGGGGGCGAGGGACGGGGGGGGGCGCTGGCGATCGGAGGAGGTG